TCGAACGGGAAGGAGATTATTCAGGGTAGATCGAAATCAATTTCCCCTTGTACTTTTTGATTGTTTCTCGAATTTTGATTTTTCTGATTTTTTTTTTTTTTTTGTGATGCTAGGTGTAATTTAGTGAAACATGGAGTCACGCTCCTCACGCGTTCTGGGATATTTTCCCGTTTGCACTGGTCTCCCCATGATGATGATCAACATGAAGACTGTTTGTTGTTCGGCATACACACAGCTCCGCCCAATATGTGGATCACCCTCTCGCCGATCTTGGCCCCCGTTACTATTGTAAGTAGTACACTAGTGTCTATCACCTGAATGCACCATTCATCTCTTTGTCCTCCCAGATGGTCTTCCTTATTTACTTCTAAATCTGGTAATAATGGCCTCCCTATAAAGTTTAAAGCTAGAATATACCTTTGTAGAGACGTATTAACTCCAACACGTGATTGACATACTGTGCACTTGTGCACGGCATCGATCTGCACAAATCCCCGCACCGAGCCTCGGCCGCCCACTTTACCCCAGAATGCGGAGAACCCATTCCACCCCCTCAGAGATTATTGATCCTGGTACATAAACACCCAGAGAGTCCAATGATTAGTCCTAAATAGCTTTCTTTGAGAATAATTCTCTTTATTGACTCTTCTATCATGGCATCCAACCCACCGAATCCCATCCCGTTCTCAGAGCCGCCTTATCTTCGTGGCCTCCCTTCTCCCTACATTACGCCTGCCCACCGTCGCTTCCAACAAGCATGCCGTGAATTTGCAACAGAGAACTTAATCCAGCATGCGTTGGAGTGGGAGCGTGAAGGAACAGTCCCCGAGCATGTATTCCACACATTCTGCAAGCATAATATGCTGTTGCCCAACATGCCGGCCCCATTACCTGTGGATTGGTTGAAGCGTCTGGGAATCAACGAGATCCTGGGGGTCAAGATTGAAGACTGGGACTACATCTATACAGGAATTTACTGTGATGAGGTATGTCATGAAAATTAAATGACTCCGATATATAATCGCAAGGTAATTGACTGACAGGTTGTAAATAGATGGCCCGTTCTGGTCTCAGTGGCCCAGCTGGCTCGCTGAACGCCGGATTCGCTTTCGGAATTGCACCAATCTATAAATTTGGTAGTGCTGAGTTGCAGGAGCGGTTCTTGCCCGATCTGCTCACAGGCAAGAAGCGAGGCTGTATTGCGATCACAGAGCCTGAGGCCGGCAGTGATGTCGCGAACATCACCACAACTGCTGTCAAGAGTGCCGATGGCCAGCACTACATCCTCAATGGATCCAAGAAATGGTAAGAGGCAACTCTGCAGTAATAATAAGGCTGTGAGCTGACACCAATAACCAGGATCACAAATGGTATCTGGTCGGACTATGCCACTATGGCCGTTCGAACCGGTGGACCAGGAGCCGCGGGCCTTTCTGTTTTGGTTGTGCCTTTGAAGGGCCACCCCGGTGTCTCAATGCGCCGACTCAAAGTGTCGGGTCAGATCACAGGCGGGACCACATACATCGAGCTCGACGACGTCAAGGTTCCTGTGTCGAACATTATTGGCAAAGAAGGCGACGGCATGCGTATTATCATGACCAACTTCAACCATGAGCGACTTGTTATTGCCGTTGGGGTCACTCGGCAGGCTCGTGTGGCCCTTTCTGCTGCTTTCTCGTACTGCCTCAAGCGCGAGGCTTTCGGAAAAACACTCATGGACCAACCCGTGGTCCGCCACCGTCTGGCTAAAGCAGGCGCTGAGCTTGAATCTATGTGGGCGTGGGTTGAGCAGATCCTGTACCAATTAGCTCATCTCAGCAAAGAGGAAGGTGATCGCCAACTTGGTGGCTTGACAGCATTGGCTAAAGCAAAGTCCGCTATGGTTTTGAACGAATGTGCCCAAACAGCAGTTTTGTTGTTTGGAGGAAGCGGGTTTACCAAAACTGGCCAGGGTGAATTGGTCGAAGGTATGTTCGCCGCAAGATCAGTCGGTTTTGAGATAAGCTAACCTCACCTTTAGCCATCCTTCGTGATGTTCCTGGTGCCCGTATTCCAGGTGGATCAGAAGACGTGCTGCTTGATCTGTCTGTGCGTCAATTGGTCAAGCTCTATCAGGCTGAAGAAAAGAAGCTCTCACAAAACGCCAAGATCTGATTGTATAGAACCCTTCAAAGTATATCTAGGACTCAATGATATTTCTAACCCAGGCATCTCCGCTAAATATTTCAGCTAATATATTCGATGTTCCATTTATATCACTACGCAATACAATACTATCTTCTATGAGCATTTATTCTAACGCATCTGAGCATAATCAGCCCAAATTTGAAAAGGCCAAGCTTTCGTGGTGCTTGTGAACTCTCCACTAGTCCTATCGAGAATCACCCGGACTGCTCCATCTGGTAGTGCGTCCGAAGCAGAGTCCAAATTGGCCCTCGTCCTGACCTGCAGGTCTAAGTGAACCCAAGGGACATCATATGACACTACTATGAGTCTGATACGCAATCTTGGCCTAGAGATTTGAAAGCTAGATCGTCTTCTGCATTGATATTTGAAGCAATTATTCCTCAATTTAATAGCAACCAGCAATTAACGCTCTCCCCCCCGGAAAGATGAGAGTTGATCTGTAAACAAGTCGTGTAAATCGGACATTCACACCCGTGCACAGCCCCTCGGAGGCAAAACCCACGTGGGTCGGCTTTAGTTCAAGCCTTGTGAGGAATCCTTGTTCTTAGGGTTCTCATAGGCTTCGTGGGTTCCGTGATCTTCTCGTATTCTGTGGCTCTCCTTTTGGGTAGTATCCTGGTGGGCTTCGTCGGCTCTTTTCTCTTTTCCCTGCTATCTTTCGGAGCCTGGTATGACTTCTTTAGGGGAGCTTTCCTTGGAGCCATCTTCCTCTTGACCATCAAATCTTTCAGCACTGGATATCTCTCTGCCGCGTGCAATTCCAGTGGACATCTCCCATCGATGATTTGATCTGCACAAGCCCCGTGCTCTAGGAGTAGCTCTATCAAGATGGTATTGATCGTATGTTGCTTTGTGCCTTTCTTTTGCGTTTGCCACGGGGTTCTCAAAAGCTTCCAAATAATTTCACCTCCGCTTTTCCCACGGCAACGAGTGTTCGCCCCTGGTTTCAAGAGAATTTCCAAGATGCCCGGATTGTCAAGGCTGATATGTAGTGGTGTCTCTCCATAATGGTTCTTTATGTTAACATTGGTACCTGACCTCAAAAGCAATGATACAAACTCCTTTTGGACTTTCATATCTCCCTTGAATGCGTGATGGGAAAAGGCAACATGAAGGGGAGTGTTTCCTTTTGAATCTTGTGCGTTTAAATCAGCACCATAATCGATAAACAGACGGAACAATTCCCCTATCGATTTCAATGGACTCTTGGGAATCCTGTGTAGGCAAGTAGATAAAGTGGGGTCTGACTGGAAATGTAGATCTGCTCCATGAGCCAACAACAACTTGATCACAGCCATAAACTCATTCTCTCCTTGGAATTTTGCCCGATCACCATATAGTATATCACTAGTCCACAAGTGTGGGTTACATTCTCGGGATGTGGCACCAAAATCCATGGCACATCCAAGAGGAGTAAGACCGAACCTCGTATCCACAAGGTTTACATGGGCGCCATGCTGGAGGAGCAAGCCCGTCATGTCGTAGTATCCGAGAGTCGCGGCATATTCCAAGGTGGACATATGTGTTCCAAGATTGACTTGCGCTCCATTGCGTAGAAGAAGCTCCACAATATTCGTACGACCAAGCGCGATGGCAATAAGCAAAGGTGTGTTGATAAAGCTGGATTGGGAGCTCACTGTAATGTTCACGTCCAGGTTGTTGCGCGATATTAGGTGCTGGATCCCCCGTTCAAACCCCCCTTCTAACAGCCATGGCAGTACATAATGTGTAATCTTTCCGCCTCGCTTGTAAAGGATATCAGTCACGGTATAATGAAGCACACGATTGCATCGCAGAAGTGAGAATAAGTCGCCGTTCTGTGGCAGGTACGATGCAACGAGACATATTACCTCGAAGGGCAAGGAGTCAAGAGACATCTTGAAATAAAATTTGACTTCTGTCCACACATGAAAAGAGGGATAATCTACAGTATATAAATCGACGAGTGGGATGTAATGATCATCAATTCAGTTAACCCATGTTTAGTTCTAAAGTTTGTGAGGATGATCAGCCTACTGTGACTCAATGAGCTACTCATATATACCTCACCATTAATTTATTGTTTGTTGATATAGGCTCAACTCATTTCATATCCAGTCATCTTTGAGCAGGTATTTTTGCTTATTTGATAGGCGTCTTAAATCATAGCATCGCTGTGCTTGATCATGTTGTGCGGATATTGACCTGAACATCAATCATACATATAAGTCTAACCTTCGCACTCATCCTTGGAATGGATGGCTAGAAGAACCATGTATATCCATGGAACATTATGCTTCAAAATAACAATTATTCCTCTCTAGAAGGAATACATTGTACCTTAAAAAATGTCGAGTATAAACAGTCTCGTGACAGATTGGGCATTCCATGATAATGATGACATTTAGATGGTCTCCTGTGCGATTCAAATGAATTGTTTGAATTAAGACTCAATCAAAAGCATTTATCTGTCGTTTTCATTGAAAGTTACCTTTAACTATTCATTCCCTGGTAGGAAAATCCGGATGCTTCCGACAATACTTTGCTCTGTTGCTTCAGTAGCACAAGACCTCCGACACTGGGTACATGAGTAAATCGAGGCCGTGAAGGAGTTGGTTCTCCAAACAGATTCCTCGTCTGATTTGATATGTGTTATTTAGTGATGCATAGATCGATGCTTCTAGACTTCTCAATGTCCCCAAAGCTCAAGTAGAAACATAACCGATCAATAGGTCAAGGCAAAACTGAATCATGCTTCCCCCCTTTTCGAGAGCCACGGCTGTAGAGAAGAAAACTGTATAACACCAGGTTGGTCAAGAGGACATTGGCCAGAGTCATCTACGTAGTCTGGACAGACACCCAATAAGCAACTGGATCGTAGCATCTATCCCACTGAACTCATGTAAATCCAATGCCGGAAACCCATCCAAGTAGTCCCGAAGATCGTTGGTATCCGGGTTAGACCAGGCGTTTACCCCGTCCGCAATGAGGTTAGTGAGGAGCCGGGCTCCTTCTTTGCCTTGACATTGGGCTTTGGCCCCCGCATCGAGAAGGAGCTTCGCTAGGTTTTGATTCCATGAGAACGAGATTGCATGCTCCAATGGCGTTTTAGATTCATGGTATCTCAAAAGAACATCGGCTCCTCGGTTTAGGAGTGATTTGAGGAACTTTTCTTGTGATGCATGATGATCGAATTCATTTGCGATCACGAGATGTAGGGAATTCCCCTCAGTATACAATAGGGAGTTCACGTCCGCTACGTGGTCAAGGATTAATTCAAACCAATCGAATTCTTCGCTCAACATAGCGTTTTCAAGGGCATTTGCGAGCTCTCCGGGCTTAGCTTTAGCTCCGTGAGCTGTAAGCAATTGCACAAAGGCTTTACATCGTTGAAAGTCGTAGTATTCGTTTTCAAAAGCGCGAGATAGGACTGAATCCCCCTCACTCTCCTTCGCATTCACGTCGGCGCCAAGGGTTAAGAGACGTTCTATGACACCGTTATCAAGAGACCCGTAATGCTCTACGGCGTCATGAAGAAGAGAATCTTCATTCAAATTGGCGCCATATAAATGCAGCACCTCTACCACAGCCCGAAAATTGTAATTGGGGGCTACTTCGGATAGTTTGATGAAGTCGTAGTCCCGAGGCTTGTGATGACCAGCCTTCACCGCAGCCAGTAAGCCTCCATGGTCTATAGCCCGACGCAGAGTGATTTCATCTCTTATTTTAGCGCCATTTTGAAGGTGTAAGAGAGTCATAGACTCATTACCCCGCCCTACAGCTACATCCAAGGGAGTGAGCGTGCGTTGTGTGAGCCAGACAACGGAAGTGGGCATGCGTTCTGGGAATATCGCATTCGCATCGGCTCCATGTTCCAAAAGCAGATCTGCCATGGGCAAGTTGTCATCCTCGACAGCCAAGTGGAGAGCTGAAGTTGGCTCCCATGTTAGCGTTTGGTCCTTTTCGTCCTCGTAGCACCACAACTCTCTGTTCACATCCACTTCCCAGGATAATAGGTGCCGCATCCCTTGTCTAGCCCCACTAGCTGCACACCAAAACAAGGCAGACCCCCGTGGATCTGTATCAATATTTTTCTTATAAAGATCACGAATTAGAAGGTCATTAAGAAACCTGTTGGCGCACATCAAGTCAAGCACAGCCCGACATCCTGGTAGCTCTGATGCTACCATTCTCAATATTTCGGGCGGTAACTAAAGGAGTGACATTTTTCGAACGTCAATGGTCAAGGGTCCCAGAGAGAGAGAGAGCCCTGGAGATATGAGGATGATAAACAAAACATTCGGAGTTTTGCTAACACGACCCTCGCCTTATCTCCACCGCCCACTGATAATTACATAATCACACTGACAGGTGCCCAGGAGACTACATAAATACAACTCAACACTGGGGATTGTATTCCCATACGGTACTCGCGATACCCGATGATTACAAGCCAAAATTTACATTTGAGATCTCAGTAGGGTAGCACAAAAGAACGGCCTATGAAACATTGTAGAGCCTCAAGCATGTGGTTCCGTTACTCCTCCCAATTGAAATTCACTACAATCCGCCCTGCCACCTGCCCCTTTCGCAACTTCTCAACTCCTTCAGGCAACCGATTGATAGGATAAATCTCAGAAACTTGCTGCAGCATACCCCGCTTGGCAAAATCTAACGCAGCAGCAGTATCACTCCGAGTACCCACCAAAGACCCCTTAATACTAAGGTTCTTGAAGATAAACTCACAGGGATCGGCCCCTAAAACTGTCGAACCAGCAGGCGGCATTCCAATACACATGACGACAGCCCCAATCCGCTGACCAACATACGAGACCGCATTTTTGTACGCTGCAGGTGCAGTGACGAAAACACCGTGGACTCCTACCCCATCCGCAGTTTCGATCACGGATTTGACGGGGTCCTCGGTCTCTTTGAAATCGATAAAAGCCTCTGCTCCCATTCTAAGGGATAATTCGCGCTTAGAGTCGCCCGTGTCTACGACGATAGGTCGCATTCCCATAGCTTTAGCGAGTTGTACGCCCTGAATTCCCACGCCTCCGCCTCCGCCTGGGAAGACCACCCAGGATCCAGCGTGAAGATTTGATTCCACAAGTGAACGATACATCGTGCTTGCGCTACACATAATCGGTGCAGCGACTTCATCGGGGACGCCATCTGGAATAGGCGACGCGTATCGAGCCGGGGAAACAATGTAGTGTTGATATGTACCTATCGATCTATAAGAATTATTTCCGTGAATAAAGGTGATTTAACTTACCAGATGTCATCAAACCAGTATGAATAGCCGTCTTGCAATAGGTCTCCTTATCATCCCAGCACATCGCACAAGATCCGCACGTATCAGTGATCGGCTTGATACCTGCCCTGTCACCCAGCTTGAAGTTCTTAACGTTAGCGCCGGCCTTTACAACGATACCGGCGCCTTCGTGGCCCGGAGATCGCACGCCGAATGTGGACATCGGTGGTACACCGAGATCGCCTTTCATCATATGGATATCAGACGAGCAGAGGCCGGTGAAATTGAGCCGAATCAGGATATCATCGGGTCCTAATAAAACACTCTTAGCAACTTGTCGACCATACAAGATGACGATCTGTATCTAGATACTCACCAGGCTCAGGGACCGGTACCATCTGCACCTCAACCCGAAAATCAGGGCCCTCGTCGACGACAACGCCGGCTTTGCAAAAAGCGGGGATATCAAATTGCGGATTCTCAGTCTTGGAACTCATTATAATGGTTACTGGTGTAAGAAAAGTGAGATAAAATCCGATGGTTCCATTTCTATCGAACTCACGCGCCCGCGTGGTATAAGAACCAAGTCGAATAGTGGATCCAACACTGAGGCAACTAGTTGCGGAAACCGACCGCTACACTGTGGCTTTTTTTGTGCATTTCCATCGGGCACTTTTTTTGTCCTGGGAGATGTTGGGGCGCGTTTCTACCGTATTCCCGTATAAATATATCCGAGTAACCTAAGTGGATTGGCATGCCAAAGAGCTATGTGTGTCAAAAATTGTATTCGAAATTATTTGCCAATCTTCCATTTCCTCTGACTAAAGTCAGTATCTTAAACCTCGGCATCCCGGAACTAAGCCGACTCGTACACGTTTAAGTAGGGGGGCATACAGCAATACTTTCAAACCTCGGTATATTATATTGCAATTTAAGTGCTCTTGCTAGCACCACCCATATCAATTTATACGCTAGGGGTGCATCTGCAAAATGAAGTGGTAAGTGAATTGTACTCCTTGCAGCCTTGTTATTTTATCATAAGTGAAAACCATTCGTTGAATTACAGGACGCAATCTCCAGGGCTGGAGTGGAGAGGCGGAATTCTTCCGTTGGGAGTAGCCCTTTTCGCCTTTAACCCTTGATATAGTATAGTGGCTAGGTCCACATCTTCGAGCTTTCGCTGCTAGCCGATTAATGTCTCGAGGATTGAGTTCGAAGTACCGGTCATCAAACAGATAACACACTAGCGATTGGTTCCTGCGCCGTGCCACCGAGACTAACTAGCCAGCCCTTACATTTTTTCACAAATATTACACACTCACTGCGTCAATATAAATATAGTCACACATCTGAACTCGAACCTTTTGTATAGAGACTCGTGAAGGTCTGCATCCAGCCTTAGATTTAGACTATCTACGTCACAAACTACATGAAAAATCCTTAGGGGATTCATTTGTCTAGTATTCAGGGACTTCAAATAAGACCGCTCCTAGATCTCGCCCATTCCACTAGCATCCACGTTTCGCGGATATGTTGAATGACATAGGGTGGCAAATATAGGCGAAGCCAGAAGGGCATCTATGTACATCAAATAGATAGCAGGCCATAACCGAGGAGTGTGGAGATAATCCGCGGTCGAGTGGATACACCCCAGAACTTAGTCCCCGCATTATAATCCTGGTAGAATAGCCGTAAGCCCTATTTTCCTCTTATATGCCCTTTGAGTGGTCGCTCTTTTGGGTGAATAGCGTTTGGACGCGTTGCCTCAAGGGGCGCATGCGGAGCGTACATGATTGCACCGAAGCTGATCTTTAATGCACCAACCCCTCTTAAATGCTTGATTGGCACTTCCGGCCAAATTCCGCACAGATAAAGCCATACTGGTCGGGTTGAGATATAAACGGACGCGATTCCGGCTTGGGTGGTGCAGATCCAAACAATCCAGTGAAGTCTTCGGCTGATCAGCCTAACCATTTGATCTTGCGCCAACAAGCAATTTGCTAGTGACGCACCTGGAAGGACAAATTGGTCCACCATGGAGATGAACCATGATGAACGCGTGAGTACTCCTCGGTTCTAGTGCCACGACTGTTGCGAAGCTAACAAATTATCCCGTCTAGGCTCTCCATCAGTAAGCACGCCTATCACCTGTGGAAATTTGTCTGTGCTAATTACCTTCCTGTAGAATTGAGGAGGAGCTGGGAACAACCATCTATCCAGGCACAGAGATCATGGCTGATGTGGGCACACACCATTTTGTGAAATCCTCAGCTGAGTCCAGCCGGGTTCTGGTGCCCCAGCCTTCGCAGGATCCTCATGATCCCCTAGTAGGTTTCAAATTCAAAGGATTCTATCAAAAGGAAATGGGTTCTAATATTGCGCTAATAGAACTGGAGCCCGTTTTGGAAGATGAGCGTGATGGCCATTACCACGGCAACATCCTTCAGTCAGGGCTTAGGACCTCTGGCGTTGGCACCTATGTTTCCTCAACTAATGGAATCATTCAATTCCGATCTTGCCGGTGTTGTGCAATTTATAGGAATTTGCATTTTGGTGCTAGGATTTAGCAATTTCTTCTGGTAAACTTCCATCTACTAACTTGAAGAGATACAATCGCTCACACTAGCGATGCAGGATTCCCCTTCAAACATGCTACGGTCGGCGGCCTGTCCTAATATTCTCAACCCTCATCTGCCTCATCAGCAATATCTGGCGTGCAGTAGCAACAAGTTACGGCAGTTATATAGGCGCTTGTGTGCTTAACGGATTTGGTGCTGGTCCCGCGGAGGTTTGTCACTGTTTCAAGAACTCGCTGCTCGGTGATTCTAGTATTGACAATTTATCCCAGACTTCTCAACCCGAGATTACCGCGGATATTATCTTCCTTCACGAGCGTGGCGCGTATAACACCTTGTATTTCACAGCGTACTTTGGTTCAATGATCGTACGAAGATCCACCCATCTCTAGAAGGCCATACATTGACACTTCATAGGTCGGACCTATCCTAGCAGGCTCAATGGCTGAGCACATCGGCTGGCGCAGCTTCTTTTGGCTGAACGTCGGTCTCCTAGGCCTCGTGCTCATCTTGCAGATCGTCCTCCTCCCCGAGACTAAATGGCACCGGGCTCACCCCAATGAGGCACAGGTGGCACCAAAAACTGATCAGAAAACAAACGAGTTAGATCCCGAGAGGTTAGTCGAAGTATTACAGCATGAGAATATCGAAGTGGAAGTAGCTTCTGACCAGGATCCATATCTGCACCGTGGTGCTCCTTCGAAGCAGCAATTCAAGCTATGGCAGGTAGATGGCGTTACCTTCAAATCTGTCCTTAACAGCTTCTGGATTCCCTGGAAGATGCTGACATTCCCTATCGTTATGTTTTCTGCCTTTGTTGTGTCTTGGACGTCAAGCTGCTTCTTGACACTTAATCTCACACAGAGCCAAGCCTTCGCACAACCACCATATAACTTTGACAGTCAGACCATTGGTTTTTTCAACTTTGCTATTTTGATTGGGGCATTCATCGGGCTGGCAACTAATGGACCTTTCTCGGATTGGATTTCTATGAGAGCCACTCGTAAAAACAATGGAGTTCGAGAGCCAGAAATGCGTCTGCCGGCCATGGCAATCTATGTTGTGATTATGATCATTGGCAATTTTGTTGTTGCATTTGGATACGAATATAAATGGGATTGGCGGGTAAGTCCTTTATGTTTCTAATCTTTGCTAAGACTTACCTGACTGTCACAGATAATTGTGATTATTGGGTACACTGCAGCTGGCATCCAGGTTGCAGTTTTACCAGCCATCGCCAGTACTTATGCCGTTGACAGCTATAAGCCTGTTGCAGGCTCGATCTTTGTGTCTATCACTGTCAACAAGAATTTGTGGGGATATGGCTTCAGCAATTTCATCACTAAATGGGTTGACGGAAGTGGATTTATCAAGCCCATTATGATGAATATGTGTTTGTGCACAATGTGGTGCCTCTTTGCGATCCCATTTTACTTTTATGGAAAGAAATTCAGAGGATGGACTGCTAAGTCCTCTGTACACAAGCTGTAGACTAGTACCCTTGAAGCTTGTTGGTTGAAATCCAGCTACAATGTCTAACTATGTTTCTTCATAGCCAAGTTATGTACACAAAATTATTGTGCATGTGTTGTGTAGATAGCCTAAGTCGATCTTACCCAATGTAGTTTAGCTCGATGTGGATGACGAAAGGCACTGCGCCTAGATGGATTTCTCTAGAACTCCTCCTGCGCCCCCTCTTAGTATCTTATGCTATACAAACACAACACACTTTTACTCTAATTACAACTTCAGATACACAAACATGGTGAATGTCGCATTGATCGGTGGTACGGGTATGGTGGTAAGTGTCTACTCGTCCGGAAACTTCCCAAACACACATACTCAGGCTAGAACCCGAGCTAAGTCGCATGACCGATAGGGCTCCCATATCCTCACCAGCCTTATTTCTAATCCTGCTGTAACTCGCGTGGACACCATCTCCCGCCGCACCCCGCCCGCCGCTAGTGGCAAGCCCCCAGCCAAGCTCACCAACTTCGTCTCCAGCGATACCGCCACCTGGGCAAGCCAGCTCTCCTCCCTCAGCCCGACCCCCAGCATTTTCTTCTCTGCCTTTGCGACCACAAAGGCAGCCGCAGGCGGGTTCGATAACCAATACAAGATCGAGCATGGGCTCAACGTCGAGCTGGCTAAGGCCGCGCACGAAGCTGGTACCAAGGTCTACGTGCTGATCTCCGCTGCGGGTGCCAACAAGGATTCCAACATTGCCTACACCCGCATGAAGGGCGAGATTGAGGAGGATATCAAGAAGCTTGGCTTTGAGCGCATGGTCATTCTGCGCCCTGGGCTGATTGCTGGTACTCGTGAGGAAAGCCGGCCGCTTGAGGCTGGTATTCGGTTCATTGCGAATTGGGCTGGTAAGCTGCACTCTGGTCTCAAGGATGGATGGGCCCAAGAGGCAGATGCTATTGGCAAAGCCGCTGTCAATGCTGGTCTCAAGGCGCTCGAAGGTGATGTTCCTGAGGGCAGTGAGAAAGTTTGGATCCTGGCTGGCAGTGATATCATCAAATACAGCAAGGAAAGCTCCTCTTGAACGCCTCGGTGTGTTGAAATATGCTATGTCTGTATGTAAATACAGACATTTATAATTCTTATGGTTTGGGATTTATGGCGTTACGCGGCTATGGACAACTTACTTGATAGCATTGATCGAAACCCAATATAACATGTATTTTGGAAATGCTGAACTCCCTAAGAAACATGATCGTTTATTGCCCGCGATACTATGAACAAAGAAAGCATTCAATCTCGGTACGAAACATGAGTCCCATCCTCCTTCACATGAATGCCACGGCCCTTCTTCGGTGCTCCACGAGAGCTGGAAGCCGCGCGATCCCGATTCCGATCAGGCCCGTCCTCAGCCTCGTGTCTCCAAGCACTAGCATCCCTATTGGCCGGGCTCATATTTAGAGGACTCTCTGTCTTGCCTTCTTGTCTGCTTTCCTCTTCAGTAGCCGCGAGTTCGCTCTCGGGTGCTGTGTTCTTCGGGTCGAATGCAGAGGGGTGCTTGGCGACCTCGCCGTCCGTACCAGATTTGGCGGTCTCTGAGCGCTCCGGGTTCAAGGTTTCACGGTCGAGCGGGTCCTGGCCTTTTTCGATCCGGGGGAGTGGGCTTGTGCTGAAGGGCGTTCTTGTTGCTGTTGGGGTGGCGAGGGATTGGGTAGTGGCCTTTGAGACCTGGCCCCGAGTGGCTCGGGTGGCTTTCAGGCCGGCTGAGATTATGTTTTTCCACATTCTTTGAGACGCGAATATGATATCTGGAGATGGTTTCAGGTGCGGATTGAAGTGGTTCGTATTGATATCTCGTTGAGGATGAGCGTGAGTATCGGGGTTGTAGGATGCAATGAATTGAAGAAAAAGGATTTTTGGATAACAGAATTGCTGGTTCTAAGGTTGTTACTACCAGAGAAAATCCGTTACAAGAAGTTTGTCATACTTCTCTGTTTTCCAAGTTCTGTAGACCCTAGTATCATATTGACGTCACTTGGTCAGAAACAGTTAGGCTAACCTAATATAGTAATGAGCTTGCCCAAAGAGGCTGGGTTCATACAAAAGGAATCAAAGTGCTTTGTAGTTCTAGCACTAATTTGGATTGGTTTGATATATTATTTTACTCAATTTTATGTCAGGATTTGCAGAATATTTCGTTCTAATCTTTCTATTGTATATTATATATAGCTAAAGACAAGGATTTCATAGCAGATGTCAACAGTTTGCGATCAAACTGAATCAATATTGGGGAAAGGCACGAAAAGGCTCTTAACTAAAATTTCCCCTATTTATGCAGTTTTTGGTTGATCTGGAAACTTTTTGGGGCCCGTTTGCCTTATTTATCTCCATGAAAAGGCCACACACCAATGTCGCAGTACCAGCATACTACCAGCTCCTCGATGTACTATATGACGTGGCTGAGCGGAAGAAGGAATTTGCAGATTTCGATAAGGATATTGCAAGTACTGTTAGTGGGGTATCAAGAAGTATATGAAACACTAGAACGTTTATGTACATAAAATAGCATAAATAGGCTCATAAATTCTTATACACTTTTATACATAGTTGAGGAGCGGGTCGAGACTCTCGACCCACGGTTTTCGAGGTCTAACTACACTACTAGATCCTCTAGTGAAAGGAGATCTCCTCCTTGAAATTGGATAACAAAGATGATAGGAAGTACATTTTCCAAGCTCTCCGCGAAGACCTTCACCGTAAATATCCCGACACGACAGAGCCACTTGATATAGCGGAGCCGCTTGAGCCTAGTCAAAAGGAGCAAAAAGGGGGCAGCGGGGTGTGGCAGAAAAGTGGTATAGGTCATTGATATGTAAGCATCCACGCTGGGTAACGTAATTCGCCAGTCTGGGCCTGGGGAAGAAGCTTTCCATGTAACTATTAAACATTCCTAGATTCCTATCTCCTCGGACATATTCTCCAATTCTGCCAATCCAGCACCAAACCCTCCTTCACCTCACAACCTCACAACCTAACATCAATATTATACCTACTGCAACCATGAGAGTCCTCAGAGCAGCAACCCCCATGCTCCGCAATGCGTCCCTGCGGACCTCGCCGCTGATGCGAGCCCCGGCCCGGCGCTTCTTCAACAGCGAAACAGCACCCGTCATATTTACAGCCCACGCAAAGGTCACCGGTGCCCGGTCAGGCCACATCGAGGGTGACGACCTATCACTCGATCTAGCCCTACCCAAAGTGTTCGGCGGGAAATCCACACCAGGAAAGACAAATCCGGAAGAGCTATTTGCCGCGGGCTACGGCGCGTGCTTCCAGTCAGCAATGAATGGGTCGGCGGCCATGTTGAAAATCAGAATGCCATCGAAGCCGGAGGATAGTGTTGTGGAGACGGCAGTACATTTAGTTGGGAATGTTGCCAAGATGGATATGGGTATTCGGGTAGACATGAAGGTCAAGGTCAAGGGATTGACCAGGGAGGAGGTTGAGAAGGTGGTCGCGAAGGCAAAGGAAACCTGTCCTTATTCGAGGGCAACACAGGGAAATGTATTTACTACTGTTGAGATTGTGGATGCTTGAGGCACAGTGTCTTAAAGCCAGAGAGCAGGCTTTATTTGGTCAAGGCCCTGTGATGGAACTGTAAACAGTTGTGTATAATAATATTGTTTGAGTCCTTATTGCTTTTGAACAAGAGATGACTTCTCCTAACGGCCAGCAAAGTAGCCCTTCTAGTAGCCTCACTTTCATTCACAAACTACGGCTCCTAGGTAGGTACCTACCTAGATAGCCTTCCTAATCATGACGTTGTTATCGACCTCGGCCTAACCTTAAAAGTCTTATGTAATCGATGTTCGACGCCCCCCCGGTTGTGACAAAGCTGACGAACGCCTTCTTTTGTGCAGAGCCTAGAATCGAGGGCTATTCATGATTCAGTGTTATGCCCAAGCTCTGGATGTGCTGATTCGTGGTGGGGTCCACTTCGCTGATTATCAACTCTTTATTAAGCAAAGTAATAGAGAAACGAACACAACTGCGTAAGGTCTCTGTGAGTTCTAGTGAAATGCAATCACTTCTAAAAATGCCGTTAGTATCTGCTAGTCACTGTGCCCTTAGAGAATGTCCCGTCGTCATCACAAATGCGGGATTAGAAGCTCAGCAGCAAAATAGTAGCTTTTCACCTCGTCGAGAAGATAGACCCTCGGAAGGAGGACAAAGTAGATTGAATCTCCGTTCAGATAAGATTCTAATCTAACAACTGCAGACTCTCCCCGCCGATGCGGTTTTGCGCTGACGCATTGTTTTGCAGTTGCTCGCTCAAACCAAAAAACCTTGGAAGAGGGAAAGTCTGGACGACTGATCCATACTATAACGCTTTATTTTCCTCCATATCAATGCCTATTATGGATAGGATATCGTTTTATTTCACGGCCCAGTCAATTGTTCAGCTCGGGTCTGTCGGCGGGCTATTAGTAACTTTGTCTCCAATTGGTAACTGTGATGGCGATCAACGAGTTGGTCGGAGGGCATTTGGTCAAGCTTCTCGCGGTTACCACTCCGCACGGCCATCCAAGCTAATTGAAGTTCACGAGCCAATATCTAGCCTTTGTAGTGAGAAAGGTTTGTGGGGCAAGCTTTTGAGATGCCCGATCCCTACGAAAATACTTGCAAATAAGGTCTAGAATATCAAGCGCATGTATGCCCAATGAGACCATGACTATATAACCATTGAAAACCCCCAACGCACCGCGTCTTTCGGCCTTATCAGGGTCCTAAGCATCTTGTTTTTTTATAGAGAAACATCGAATTCCCAGTGCATCGCTACCACCATTGAACAATCTCTCGGCATCTATTTCTGCTACTGGCAAAGTAAGGTGATCCTAGGCTACCTTGGCCATACGACGAAGTTCAAGCCTATTGGCCTTCCACCAGCTCCGTATAGCCTCCATCTAGCTCTAGTGTATTTCGAATCTCGTGCTCATTGCACGAGCATCGAAGGGCGATATCAGACTTAGCGAGTTTGGACTATACAGGCCAAAAGGCCTCCGGAAGCCTATACTCGAAGTTCTTGTAGTTTATGCTTAGAGCAGTTGACACAGGATGTTCTAGGGTGGGGTATTCCTTCTTCTTTCCCCTAGAAATCTATAAACTTAACGGTCCTTCGCACGTTCAGTGGTTGGTCTGAAAGAGCCCGTGTGTGTTTGCTTTAGGTGCTGTTTCAACTTTACGGTTAAATAACGTAGCTTAGATACAAATTGAAAGAATCGATAGGTCGATGGTAATATAATACTTGGGTATCTCAGCTCCAGCCGCTCCATATTTCCTACTCACCAGGTACCAGATTCAAGTTTTATATAGTGGTATGCATATATATGTATAAAGGCTGGTTGGTACAATTCTGGGCAGGAATACTATAAAATTTACCGTGAAATATGTAATTATACCAGTGTCCATACTTTCAAAGTGAGGGCGAATGACCAAGTCAGTCTTAGCGATATTACTCGGTGAGAATTAAGTTCCCGGTGGGATACTTCGTCGCCATGTTGGGCATTATATCCAACATAGGTTATGCTGAATGATGCCAGAAGAAAAAGAAAAGAAAAGGGACCCTAATAGAACGTGATTTCGTGCTGTTTTCACGATGTGTATCGCAGTTAGAGTATCTGGACATTGGGGGGATGACAAGGACTACTGTGAACACGGGAATCCGAGGGCCCACTCGAATCGAGTACAATCTACCAATGGGAGATAGGCTTAGGTCTCACCCTACGCAAGTGCTGATGAAATGCACATACCCCTTTGGTGCAGGACTGGTGGGGAAAGGTCTCGTTAGTTGCATACAACTGACATCCCGGCTGACGGTTGCCATTGGACGATTGGGCCGGCTGCAGGTGAGGATAAGTCGAGCGGTCGACCAATCCCCATACGCCTAAGAAAATGGAGGCAGTGGGCTTTTTGCTGTCCAACACCGAGGGTAGCATTACCCTCAACGATTTGTCGCCGGTCAAAGGCAGGCGTGTGTAGGGTGCGGGAGCCTCCGTTCACTTTCCGATCACGGGATCAGAAGAGCCCGACGCTGTGGGAGCCTGTATGCGGGTCCTGGAATTCAATTTTAACGTTAAGGCACGGGCTTCCCAGTTTGATAGCACTCAAAATTGGCTTGCGGTAGCTCTAACCAGATCAAAAACGCTCTAGTATTTCACCCGGCAACTTCGCTTGTTGGGCAGAAACCACAACCATGCTTTTTCGATACCATCAGCCTGATCCTTGCGAGGAGAAAGATTGGTACACTAAGGATGGGCGAGGGGATATCGGTGGTAAGACGGAGCGAGAGGCAAAAGAGCAGGGGGGCTTCAGAAGTTGATTCGAGAGTTTTTTGGGCCTGGATGCAACCAGCTCGCCGCAGCAAAGAATAGATCCACCGAGTGTGACAGCCATGTTGAGGCTGTGAGCCATCATTAGGGATGCCAGTTGCCAACTCAACATCTTGTCATGGATCATCTTTCTGGGTCCAATTCTGGGCGTGATTGAGCGGCATTCCCCGACGATCGCTTGTCGTATTGGTGCATTGCCCAGAACAATCGGGGGAAACGGCAAGCACGGAATTCTGCATGATTTTCCATTCCATATTGGCAATCAGTCATATTTCGTCATTGTCAATAACGTGAATGGCATCTGGGTCCTCGGTGGAGCTTGCATGGAATCCCTAAACGGCGATCCACGGCCTTCGACCCAGCCTTCGCTACCAAGAATTGATGCAGAAAGCCAGAAACAACGTGCCACGTCAGAGTCTCTGAGCTTTGGTGCAGCTGCATGTGGTTCAGCAATATGTGGAATGTGTCACGGTTCGTGTTTGCGGCGAGCGCCGTACATCAATCCGATCCTATCATTTGCGCCAAAAGGAGCAAGTGGATGATGATGAACACACAGATGAGCGGGGGCAAATGCATGATCCCTTTTTGCAGGAGTGAGAGATCAGCTGAACGAAAATGGATCTATCTGGCCTGCATCCCTAATTTTTGGAGTGTGGCACACGAGATTTCAATTGCGTGGTCCGTGTCCTTGAGCCCGAGTGCCAATGATAGAGCCTCAGAGACTCCAGCATTGCCACTTAAGTGAGGGCCATTGGCTGAAAGCCACGGACCGGAAATGTGCGGCAGGAGTGGAAAGGCGGCCGAGTCTAAACTTTGATAGACTGGCGAGTAAGGCTCATTAGGAATAACACAAGATGACAGGGGCTAATGGTTGCAACCACATGCTGAGACCCAATATTGGTTTCCATTATTGCCCAAATGCAGGAGACGTAAGAGCCATGAAGATGAGTGAAGGCAATGACTCGGGATGTGCATGCGTATGCAATCACACAGACAGCAATATCGGATAGATACTTCTGCGGATAAAACATGGCGTTCGGTCTGAATTCCGTGTCAGTGCTCAATGATAGATGGGGCATTGAGCCAATCAATAATTGCAGTTGTCGAAAAGTCGCATCAAGATAGAACAACCCATTGCGGTGGAGTCACAAGTGGCGTGCAGAGTCCCATCACATTCGTGAAGGCAGTAGCTTTTCTCTTACATAGAGACAGGGTTATCCCTGGGCACTAAAGCCTGATTGTTGCATCAATACGACAGCTGGCAAGTACCGGGGCCGACTCGGCCATGCAGGATCAGGCATGCAAAACGCAAGACAATCACAGGAGTGTGAGTCCATGCGAACAGCATCCACATGAAAGTGGGGAGAGGCAGATGGCGACGGCATAATTGCAGTAGTCGAATCTGGAAACTAGAGAATTGCAGCCCTGAATTGAGGGATTTTCGACCCATCGTACATCATCACCATGAGGAGGGAATCGCCACGGCTGAGGGTTGCATGCATCCATGAAGCAACCGGTTATTCATAGTGGCTCCATTCGAGATACAATGACCATCATACCGTCTCCACTGGCTGGAGAACTGCTCACAGCCAACCGGATCAACCGTCAGGCAGGTGCAATGTGAAATCCACGGACTGGAACCACGGATGATAAGCCATCGGGCACTGACAAACGTCGATCAACAGTGGAACGAGGCAAACATGGGAGAACCAAGCAGTGGCATAGAAATATCGTCCGAAACATAAATAGGCCTGTCAACGCCCCCATGATGTTGTGAAGTTCTCAATCATCCCTCCGGTTTCATAATTCGAGTCTGAAATCTTCAAGCCAGGCCAATAGATCTTCTTCAGAAGAAGGATTCATTCAAAATTTGTTTCAACTTTGTTGAGCTTTCCGGGTCCTTTAAAAAAACTCAGACAAAGGCCGGCCTATCAAATCTGACAAAAGCGGGTGTACTGTCAGGTGCAACCAATAGCAACCCAGTATTCAAGCTGAAACAAAGACGGAGAGCTGTGAGAAAGTGGGTTATGTCGTACGTGCAGATTTAGCAGCACTGACAGATCTGATAGGCATGTGTTTTTACAACCAAAAGAGATATGCGTGTGGAGACTGGAGCTGGACCAGCTTTGCTCACCGATGCAACTATGAGTATCGCACTGGCGAAACATGCGGTATGAGACTCGTCAACATGACCGAGAATGAGAAGACCAACTGTCGTCTCTGCGAAAAAATCGAAACCAAACATCGCCGGCGTAGTGCCGAAGTCGAGCGTTTAGACCGATGGAAGCGAGAGGGTGCCACACTTGTGGCCTCAATGGACCGGTCTCACAAACTCATTATGGACTTGGAGAAAGAGATCCGCTCCCTGCAGCGGGAGCGGGACGACCGAAGGAGCACTCTCCTAAGATAGGATTGGCTTGAGTTTGTAATACCGGTGTTCCTTTGGTTTTCTTGGTTTTTTTTTTCTTTTTCTTTTTTGTTGGATAGGTGAATAGTAATTGTGTTAACTTATTTCAGGCCTTTCGTGGCCAATTGTCCTGTCGTTTTTTTTGTTGCCTGTCACTGTTTCTGTTGGGATCTGCAGCGAGTTTCATGTTTCACCATTTGTCCGTGACAATAAGTCCGAATCGAGTTTCTGCAAGGTGATGGCAGAACAATATCGCCTTTGAAAGATTGACGAAAAAATTTGATTGGTTCAGACTCCATATTGATTTCTGTCCATAGGCTGTTAAGCTCCCAAAAAAATGACAATAGGGACTAGCCATGTCATAAGCGCCCTGTTTCCTGGGTGAGCGGTTCGCTGAGACAGATCGAGTCTCACAAAAAAAGGAGTCGCACCTGCTGCAACCAGACAATAAAGCCATTGAGGCCTGCCGAATGTTGAATGGCCATTCAGAATCGAGATAATCCTTGAAGGGAAAGCAGTAGTGTCTGGGAACTGGTGTCAGAGCGAGGGCACATAGTGTGGAACAAAATGCCCCTCATCAAATCCCCGCACGTGATGAAACTCCTGCTTAGATAACCTAATAAGATGACCTCGGGAACACCTATCACAAAGAAGGTGGATCTTGAGTAGGGTCCTAGAGAAGAGATGGAGGAAAGTGGACGGGGTTCTGCTGTATGGTAGTGTTGTGAGGAGAATCCAGGGCTAAGTGGGCTAAGGTGGGTTACACTTCCCTTGCTCTATACCCCAGAGCTGTGGGCAACTCCAACATTGCAAATCTCCAATCCAGCTCTAACACGATAAGTTTGAGCAATCTAGGTGAAATAGCGACAGATTGAATGGGCTTTAGGGACATTGACAAAATAGAAAAAGGGCAAAGGGAAAAAAGTATTCAGCCCAAGGCCGCAGAATGGCGAGGCTGGGAACTATATATCATGGCACTATAATCGGAGAATTTACTTCTGCTGGCTAAAACCTGCATGGCCCTAAGCAATACCCATGTCTCTTCAGCCTACGTGTACCGATCTACTTGAACATCTTCAAGGTAAACAGCGTCAAATTGGAGTGCGGAACTGGAGAAGAGCACTGAGACTGGGCCGATGTGCATGCCACGTCACAAGAGAACAACACCAGATGCAGCCATAAACAAAAACTCGCGGGAGAGATAACAGACCAATGCTTTGTTTGGACGTGAGGTGATGCTAGGATATTGCAACCGGATGATTATGGTCAAAGTATTGGATTCGAGTATCTGAAACGGAAAAAGAACAAGAGGATTTAATCTATTTTATGTCACCAGCCTCGGGCTCGTCATCAACCTTGGCCAGCCCTTGTTCCCGGAGAAGGGAATCAATCTCATCCGCAGTCCATAGGTGGTGGTAGATCTTGCCATCCTTAGTCTTGCCCACTGTTGCGAACTCGACTGCGTAAGGTAGAAATGTTAGTATGATGAAACACAATGCAAAAGCGACACCGGAGGAACTCACTCTTCTCACTGCTCAGCTTTGTGGAATCCATAGTCTTGCTTAGCACCTTGACAGCCATAGCACAAGCCTCCTTCAGATCGCAGTCCTCCTTGTAATCTTGCTTGAGGAGACTCTGAGCGCTTGCGTTGTTTGCACCAACGCTCGTCGCTTTCCAGCCTCCGTAATTTCCACTGGGGTTGCTCTGGTACAGCTGGAATTGACGGAGGTGGTCGTAACCGGCGTAGATGAAGGAGACACCGAACGGACGGAGACCTCCGTGTTGGGTATATCCTTGCTTCAGATCACACAGTCGGCGGACAAGCTGTTCACATGGAATGTCTTCGTTGTACGTGAGGAGGTAGCGTTGGGCGTTCTGGCGAGCATAGTTGATCAGGATGTTGGCATCGGCGTTCATTCCTGCAACGGCGCAGATCATGTTACTGGAAAATATTAGCTACTTATCCCAATACAAAACACAGTAGATCTGGCTATTTTATTTGAGATAAAAGGGGGGTTGGCGTACTCGTTGATTGTGTAGAGCTTCTCAGCGGAGGTATCCTGCTCCAACAGCTTACTGGTCACCTTCCTCTCAGCAGCGAGGACAATTCCATCCTTGGCTAAGATACCAAGGGCTGTGCCGGCGTGAGAAATAGCCTCAAGCGCATATTCAACCTGGTAGAGTCGACCCTCTGGGGAGAAGATGGTGGTCTTTCCAACAGCGTCATAGGTTAGCTGGAGCTGCACAAAAGGAATGACGGTGTGCACAAACCCTCGAATCGTATCTCCGAGACATCGTGTATGAATAAAGGAAAGCAACAAAAACTCAGAAATGGGCTAAAGGTAAGGGTTGATTGTGCGAGAGAGGTGGTTCGGGATGGTGAAGGTCGGTGGTGAAGACGTAGAAGCTCCAGGCAACTCGCCCTGGCGCGTCCTCTGTCATCCGCCAAGCTCGGACCACTTCACCACACCAAAGCTTCGTTGCGACGATTTCACCACTTTGGCCCGCAAAGGACGGACCACAACGCCGATTTACCCATTACTTTGCATTTCAATTGTTTCATCTCGATCGTCATGCTCAGATCAACATATACCGCTCCTCCCCCTTTGCCTTCAGGGTGGACACAACATCGAGCCCCAACAGGTTGGTCTTGCGCTGGGTCTGAGAAAAGTTTTGGCCATTCTAACTCTTAATCCAGGTCATTTGTACTATTATAATTCTTCCACAAAACAATCGACATACACCCGCCCTCAAGAAACGGCCCATCGGCCCATTCAGACAGCCACCGACACCCCAGAAGCAACATACAATCCCGAGACGCTACCTCCGTTTTCTTCGACACCCTATGGACCGGCAGGGTTTGGCTCTGGGCCAGCGCAATTTAGTCCCCCACAAAGCTCCCGCGGCCGCGGAGGATTCCGAGGTGGAAGAGGCTATCATGATCGTGGACGGAGAGAACCCGAAGATCGACCAAAAGCGAAGCATCCTATTCCTGACTGCGCCCCGTGGCTACTAGTAAGGACCAAGCTCGGAAGGAGATTCGTGCATAATCCCGAAACAAATGAAAGTTTTTGGAAATTTCCAGAGCAAGTTTTGAAGGGCGTGGTCGAATTTGATCGCCTTGAGCGTGAGAAGAAGGAAAGAAAAGAACGGGGGGAGCCCGAGATGCCAGCCAAAAAGGAATCGCCTACACCACAGGACGACCGTATAGAGCCCCAACCAACACCACAAGAGGCAGAACGCGCAGACTATGACTCGGACTATGAAGAGGTCGAGGTTACAGACAGCGAGGGGGAAGAGGGCCAACCATCAAAGCGTGCACGCGCTGAAAGTGAGGATGTGAAGGATCAGCCGTTAGAGTTCAACGAAGAAGACATGGCATACCAACTAGCAGCCATGGGTGAAGACTACGGACTGGACCCTGGGGAATATGGCGAGGTCGGGGAAGAAGATTGGGAAGAGGGCGCAGAGGGCCTACCGTTGACAGAGGCCGATGCTGAGGCCCTCTTCCGCGACTTGCTCGATGACTTCCGAATCAACCCATTCACCACATGGGAAAATATCATTGAAGAAGGCCGCATCATTGAAGATACCCGGTATACTGCACCCTCGAACATGAAGACACGACGAGAGATCTTTTCCAATTGGTCCCGGGACCGAATTCAATATGTGAAAGAGCAGAAAGCGAAGCAGGAGAAAACAGACCCGCGCATTAGTTACCTGGCATTTTTGCAAGAACATGCGACTCCGAAGCTTTACTGGCCGGAGTTCAAGCGCAAGTACAGGAAAGAGCCTGAAATGAAGGACTCTCAGCTTGGGGATAAAGAGCGCGAGAAGTTCTACCGGGACCACATCTCGCGTCTCAAGCAACCCGAAAGCACTCGCAAGTCAGACCTGTCAGCTTTGCTCAAATCTGTTCCTTTGGATTTGTTGCACCAGTCGTCGAATTTGGAGCATCTGCCCACCATGATCATCACCGATATTCGTTATATCGGACTCACGCCCGAGGTTCGAAACCCATTGATTGAGGCATACATATCTACTCTGCCTCCGGCGCCGGAGGTACAGATGACGGCAGAAGAGCTGGAAGAAGTCGACCGAAAACGAGTTGAACGGGAGAAACGCGAGAGGGCCCTTGCAGATCGGGAGAAGCGGGTGGAGGACGAGAAACGGAGACAGCGAGGAGATCTTCTCCGTGGAAAGCATCTACTCCGAGAAGGGGAGGCCGAGATTGAACAAGCAATGCGCGTCAACAAGGAGGGCCTAATGAGCTACATGGATATTGATCAGGCGGCAGATGAGGCACAGAAGCCGAGTCAATAATAGTTGGTCACTGAATATTACATATCACTTTTGTCGAAATAAGGACAGCCGAGTTCATATTGTACATCATCAAGAGGCAGTTTGCTTATACCAATGCCATTCGGTTCCTGAGGGTATCACTGTAGATGAGGGAAGCCTTCCCTTCACGTAGACGATTCGTCATTTCACCATCGAGCCAATCATTTAAATCTCCAATCATCCCAATCCTCGTCGTCATCGTCTTCACTCTCGCTCTCAACCTGCTCCACTGCGCTAGATTCCATCGGCTCATCCTGTGTCTGCTCCTCGGCGCGGACTTTTCGCAGCTCCTCGCGTTTTTGTTTGAGCCTGCGCACCCGCTCCTCCAACTGATCCATCTCATCAAACTCTTCCTCCAAAAGCCGTGCGGCATCCTCTCGCTCCCCTTCCATCTCTGCCTCACGAGTGCGGACTGTCGATGCCTTCGCTCTCTCTTGCTGCGCGGCAATTTCTGCAGCTGTCACGGGGGCCGCGGATATCGTAGCCTCGGCTGTAACAGCGGCCGGTGCATGTGGCTCCTCTGACTGCTCGGCGATCTCGCGTTGAAATGCGGCCCATGCCTCTTCGTCAATAGGCGCGGATGGATCTTGGGGCGGCTGCGCGGTTGGTTCTTCGAGGTCTGCAGTTGGCTCAACAATCTCCTGTTCGTTTTCGAGTGGAGGTTCTGGGCCGGCGATATCATCCTCGACTTGCTCCGAACCTTCGTCCTCTGTGGTTTGCTCGGTGCTTGTTGCGCCAGAGATAGACTGAAATGTGTCTAGTTCTGCGGCGCGGATCTTCTTTCGCATTGCTCCATCTCCACTGTCAACCTTGCGCTTTTTGGTGACCCGATTTCCTGTCGTATTTGGTTGAGATGTGCCCTTGCGGGAAGCTAGTTCACTGCGCAGTAGTGATCGGACGTCGGCCATATTCGCTTGAGTTGTAAGAGGTTGGGAGTATGGAAGTTTTAGTGGGTGAAATAAGTTCGGAATCAAACTGGCGGGAATAAAAGAACCTGTGATGAAGAGTGGGGAACCTGGAGAAGCTCAATCTTAAGATTCACCGAAGGGCATTTCGCCGCGAACCTGTGGCTGGTGACAAATGGCACGTGATAATGCCCAGGTGCCCCCGGTGAATGACAAAGACGGGAGCCAAGCCACTTACTCATCTCTCTTCTCCTCACATCGCATCGCATCTCTTTTCTATCTTTTACCATCCTTCTTTTGGCGTTATTGCTTTCGCCGCTTGATCTTCGAGCAAATACTGCTCCAATCTCAACCCCAAATATCTAGTGCTTTTTCTAACTGGAAAGTGCGTGATTTGGGCTCAGGTCACTTCACGCGACCCCGCTTAGCGCCGAGTGTCGATTTGACGCGCAGCAAGGGATTGCACAATCCACCATAACACCTGCTTGAGCGCGTTCTTCGCCTCCGCGCGTCAGTCCAAGAAATATTGCGCAGACTAGATCGGTTTCTCTATTCGATCGAGCAAAACTGTGGGCTAGACAGTGACGCTGTTGTGCCGTCTTCTTGTGTATTACATTAGCGCCTTGAGCCTGTAGAGACTTTTGTCAGCCTGGGGTAACACCTGAATTTCGAGCAAGTCAAGAGACCTATTATCCTTTCACGCGCTGTAGTACGCGCTGAATCACCATTATCATGGCCGGTAAGCTTTCGTACACCATCACAACACACATTGTTATCCGATCACCTGAGAGTGGAAGGGCAACCCCAAGTCTGGGTTGTGGACCATCTACCAGAACACGGCTAACAGCGAGATTAGACGAACCCCGCCGCTCCGGCCGAGCCACCAAAGGCCAACACAAGAACCTCGAACTGCCAGATGATCCCGCTAAGAAAGGCAAAAGCAAAAGTCCGAAAGAAAAGAGCGCGAAGTTGTCCGCCGAACCCACACCCGGTCCTAGCGAAGCGGGAGGAGACGAAGAAGAGATTATCCGATGTATCTGTGGTGAATATGAAGAGGAAGAGGATGTGGAGCGCGATATGATCTGCTGTGACCAATGTTCAGCATGGCAACATAATGACTGCATGGGTCTCACATTCATGAAAGGTCAAGAACCAGATCAATATTATTGCGAACAATGTCGACCAGAGAATCACACAACCCTCTTGGCAAAGATCAACGCGGGCGAGAAGCCCTGGGAAGAGGTTGCTGAGAAACGTCGCCAGGAGGCTGAGGAGAAGAAGTCCAAGCGGAAAAAGGGCAAGAAGGGAGGCCGCAAAGGCCGACCCAGTGAGAGCCGGACAGATGCCAGCACACCAGCTCGCACTGCCCCATCAACTACACCCGGTCCCAGTGGTTCTCCTGCACCCGCTGTGTCTGTTGTATCTGTCTCAGTCGAACCAGAGAAGAATGGCCATGCTGTTGATTCTCGACGATCCAGCACAAACAAGCGCAAACTCGAAGAAACAGTGGAGGCAGAAAATGTAAATACGTCTATTTCACTCCTTCATCACATTCAAAATGCTAACTCGCTTATCTATCAGGGACCACAGGTCAAGCAACAACGGGTATCCCCACAGTCTACCCCAGCGGCCATTACAGAGGCAACTGCACCCCAAATCAAGACAGACACTAGCCCCGAGGCACCTGCCATTGGAGCCCTGGAGGAGCTGATGCCTGCTCGCAAGACTGTGGCCACACACCTCATCAAGTTGTTTGTAGACCAGATTGCTGCAGCCCTGAAAGCAGGCTCCTTTGCCTTGCGTGCGAACCAGTCGGTGGAGGACATGGCACAACAACTCGCTCTTTCTATTGAGGATGCCATGTATGAGAGTATCTGTGGGCGGTCAGGCGAGCCCAATGAATCATATAAGGCGCAATTACGGTCGATCATGTTCAATGTAAAGAAGAATGCTTCTCTGCGAGATCGTCTGATAATAGGTAGTCTCTCCCCTAAGTTGCTGTCTCAGATGACATCAGCAGAGATGGCCAGCGAAGAACTACAGCAAAAGGACGCCGAAATCAAGCGAGAAGCAGACAGGCATCACACCATTGTCCAGGAACAAGGTCCCCGGATTCGACGCACCCATAAAGGAGAAGAGTTGATCGAAGATGAACACCATGGCGCGAACGAGTCTGTCTTCTCCCGTGGACCTCGTCGCATTGCGGGCGATGATGGCAGTCCAACCAATAAAAGCCCAACCAGCCCGATTGGACTACGGCAAGCAAAGACAGAGACAGATGGATATGTTCGGGGTCTGTCACCTGAGGGTGCTCACCATGACCACGTCTTCCCGGAAGTGGCTCCCGCCATCTACGAGCCACTCCCTAGTGGCAGGGTCCAAGCAGATGCTGAGATCGATCAGCTCTTGCGCGACGATGAACCTTATTCACCCCCTTATTCGCCCAAGGACTTTGACGACGACGGCACCATCTGGCGCGGCAAGGTAACGATGCCTCCAATTGGCGAGTTCTCCTCGTCCGCGAAGCATGTGGGAGGTGCGGACTTGAGTGGGCGGATCCCATGGAGTCAACTGGCGCCCTCCACATTGGTTGTTGATGGCCGTATCGATATCCGACGGGCAACTGATTATCTATGCGGCCTTCAGTTCAGCAAGTCTACCGATGTGTCTGTCATCGCAATCAGTAGTCCTGATCAGCCTACGGATCGAGCAGGCTTCGACAAGATGTTTGACTACTTCCATAGTCGTGGGCGTTACGGCGTCATTGGAAAGCACCCGCTGTCCGCCGTCAAAGACACCTACATTGTCCCAATGGAGATCGGCACCACGACAATGCCCGAGTTCATTGAGCTGCTGGAAAACATCTCACTGGAGGCACCCATTACTCAACGCATGCTTCTTACCATTTTTGTCGTCAAGACTGGCGACTCCAACCCTTCATCTGTTCAGCCGCCATCCCACCAGGCTAGCCAGGAGCCACCTGTCTCTGCGAGCCCCACAGTCACAGCAGCGACTCCCCAGCAACCCCAGTTCAGCGCTGGAATTGCACCAACTCCCCCCTCCCACTTTGGTGGATTCAACCCGAATCCCGCAGCGTACGGCCAGCAGGCCCCTGTACAGCAAGCCCATGTCACCCCTCAACATCAGCCTGCTCTGACCGGCCTCCCCGCCGCGGTGCAAGTCCTCGGCCCCCAAGTTGATGCTCCTGCCATTCAGCAACTTCTGAAGACTGCACCTAATGTGGACATGGCGCAGCTGAGTGTCGTTCGCGACATTCTGGCCCGCCAACCTGCTGCTGCTGCCCATTACGATACTTTGATGCAAGCTCTATTTGAGACCCAAGCAAACGGCCACGTGCCCCAGTAGGGTGTATAATAGAGTTATGCCCATGATAGCCATTCTTTTTCCTGTACAGTTTATCACATTTTGTATTTCCTTTTACAAGGCTACGCAATGCTAGTCTGGTGTTTGGGACTGAAGTCTCCAGGGCTGGGAAAAGGGTTTGTTTTAGGAAAGTGGAATACCCACCGCCAAATGTTTTCAAATTTTATGTCTCCTGGTTCTCTACTCGCAAAAATGAAACCACCTCTGCTAGTGTTAGTATGTATCTCATAGGGCTTGTTTGGGCCCGGTCTTTGTTGTAGCCAGATTGCAGCCATGCTCCATTAAAGTTTTGCATTTGTATGTAGTCACTGAATTTCATTTTATTACTAGTTCTATGTATTCTTTTTCTATTATGAGACTAGTAACAAAACTGCAAGATTCCATCAAATGGGGGGGGGGAAAGATAATGTATACTATACACGATGCTAGTACATATGTATTTAGTGTTGTGAGATATCGACAAGGACAAGAATGAAAAATGAAATGGATATTGAGCACTTATCCTATGACCTCCCTAACCGTCGTCTGAGCATCATACACGAGATAATAAGTAAAAACGCCTGCGCTATGCAACGGGCCCAGAGCCCAAGTCTTCAAGAACGAAGAGAAGTCATCGAGGATTACCATCTTCCACCACCTCCGCGGCGCCGATATCCGCCGCCGCCGCCGCCTCCACCACCACCACCGCCGTACCGAGGACCGCGACCAGCACCGGGGCGACCACCAGAGGTGTAAGGGTTATCGTCTTCTTCGTGGTGACGAACTGGCGGAGCCCGACCCTTCAGCTCGATGCTTAGCTTTTTGCAGTTCTTGCGCATGTCTGAGTATCCCATGTGCATCTTTCCGAAGAAGTGATCTGCCAATCGGCGGTCGTTGTCAAGACGAGACAAGTAAGCACCGCAGACGTCACAAACTTGCAGCTTTTGGTGGCCAGATGGACCGGAAGTATCTTGGAGGTTCTTGAGATCGCGCTCAAGACTTTCCTTTTGGTGCTTGGAGGTGCGGACCTTGTGCATTTCACTCAGTGCTAGTGCGACAGAGCCTGTTTCGCCGAGAATCGAGACTTCTTGGAGACCGGAGTTGATTGTGTTGGAGAGATCGGCGATTTGTTTGAGCTATATAGGAAGTCAGTGAAGCCCCCCAGAGTCCCTCGTATTGGGGATCAAAGGTAGAAGTAAAGGTAGACATACCAAGTCGTTTGTCTGCCGAATCTCATCCGGCGTCTTTTCCAATCGGCGCTGCGCAGTGTCGATTCGGCGGTCACAGTCGTCAATGTACTTCTGCATGTCGCGCAAGTAATCGAATTCGAACCCCCATTTTGCTTTCTCCGAGGAAGGTGCCGTGTCATATTCTGTCTTCAAGCCTTCGCTATGGACTTTCGGGCAAGGTCCGAGGTCTTGCTTGGTGTTGGTGAACAGGTCGTGCGGGCAAGTGCCAACAATGTATGAACGACAAACTTTGTTGTCTGTGATTGAGAGCTGTGAATTGCGACCCTGGGCGCCAGTTCCAATGAGCTGATCAGCTATAGACAGAAGTAATGTTAGCTCAATTTGGAGACTTGTCGGGGTAGGCTAGAGCTTGGAGATTTTGCGAGTCACAAAAAGAGCGACATACCTCCCATGAGCTGCTCAAGCAGCTTTCTCTGTTCTGCTGCCATGCTGATCGTGTATCCAATAAGCTGGAAAGGAAAGGAAAGGCGAAATTGTGTCAACGGGCTGATTGGCGGCAAACGACGAAGTCTTTCGTTTTTGATGCTTTTGGCGCCAAGGAAGGCGGTGAGGCTCCGCAGTCAACAGACCAGATGGGTGTCTCGGGGATTTTGGGGTTTGGCTTGATCTTTCTTTCGATGCGGAGCTTTTTTATTGACTCGGTGATTAATTAGCTCTGACTCTCTGGGGCCACAAGTCAGCATATGCCCATTACTTCGCCGATACCCCCTGCCAATTGACCTGTGATACCCGCATGGACGAAGACCGAGCTCTGGCAAGCATGATATCATGAGGGTCCTTTCACTATTCTCACTTCCTTTCATCGCGCTTATTCTCTCATTATGGAGCTCCTCTGCCTTTGCGTCGTCGGACTATCACGAGCACCTCCTCCTACAACCTCTCCCGCAGTCCTCCTTACTAGCTTCTTTTAACTTCCGAAGCAATACATCACAACAATCATTCGACCAACAGCATTTTAGATATTTGCCTCGCGCCCTTGGTCAAATTCTTCAACATGCTCATACAAAAGAATTACACCTTCGATTCACTACGGGACGATGGGACGCTGAAAGCTGGGGACCACGACCATGGAACGGCAGTAAAGAAGGAGGCACTGGCGTTGAGCTTTGGGCGTGGATTGATGCGCCGGGAGATGAAGAGTATGCTCCTCACTCAAAATATGTCATGGGAGGCACGCGACGCTGACTTACTTAGGGCTTTTGCCAAATGGATCACCCTGACGCAGTCACTCTCTGGTTTGTTCTGCGCATCCCTGAACTTTGTGGACTCGACCCGAACTACTCGACCTGTGGTTTCTTTTGAACCGGCTGGGGACCACTCAGCTGCCGATCAACTGCATCTATTGCATGGAACGCTTCCCGGAGAGGTAGTTTGCACAGAGAATTTGACTCCTTTCTTAAAGCTGCTTCCTTGCAAAGGCAAAGCTGGAATCTCCTCACTATTTGACGGGCACAAATTGTTCGATGCCGCATGGCAGAGTATGTCAGTGGATATCCAGCCGGTCTGTTCTGCAGACGGAGAATGTGTCGTTCAGATCGAGCAAACCGTGGACATGGTCTTGGATATTGACAGGTCAAAGCGCTCTCGCTGTGCGTATTTTCCACCTGTTTACTCTGGCTCAAGATTGCTAATATAGATTTAGCGAACCCAATTCCTCGGCCTGTGCCTAATGAGCAGCTGGTTTGTGACACTTCCAAACCTTACAATTCAGATGATACCTGTTACCCGCTGGAGAATACCAACAACAAGGCGTGGAGTCTTACCGAAGTCTTTGGGCGGAGCCTCAATGGTGTTTGTCCTCTTACAGATTTCGATGGCTCTAGCGATCAAAGCGTCTGCCTTCGGGTGCCTCATGAACGAGGTGTCTTCATATCTGAGGAGGCCAATGAAATCAAGAAAGACGATGGCTTTACGCGCTGTTTCAAATTGGCGCCATCGGTGTCCTTCGATCTTTCGATTCCAGAGCAGCCAGTGAACACTGAAGTTCCTTTGGACGAGCCTGTTTTGCATGCGGAGCGAACAATCGTTGGCCACGGCCAGGAGCGCGGTGGAATGCGCATTATCTTTGGCAATCCATCCAACACCAGCGCAGTTGATTTTATCTACTTTGAGTCTCTTCCGTGGTTCCTCCGACCCTATATACATACTTTGCACGCCACAATCACAGGGCAGGATGGAGTCCTGCGCGAGGTTCCAGCCTCTGACATCGTCAAAGAGACGTACTACCGGCCCGCCATTGATCGCGAGCGTGGAACACAATTAGAACTGGCGCTGTCTGTCCCCGCCGCATCAACCGTCACATTGACTTACGATTTCGAGAAAGCCATTCTTCGGTACACCGAGTACCCACCGGATGCCAATCGAGGGTTCAACGTTGCACCTGCAGTAATTCGGGTCTTAGATAAGGCCCACAATGCGCCGATCTACATCCGTTCTACGAGTCTACTGCTTCAACTCCCCACCCCGGATTTCAGCATGCCATACAATGTGATCATTCTCACTAGTACCGTTATTGCCCTTGCATTCGGAACTATCTTCAATATCCTAGTTCGACGAGTTGTCTCCCTAGATGAGGCTGTCGCTCTTGGAACACAGACTTTGAAAGGCCGGATACTGGGGAAAGTGGTGGCCATTCGAAGTCGATTCCGTGGGAAGGATACCAAAGTCGAGTAGTTTACATTTGAATATAATAATCACAATTGCAATACTTAGCATTTTCAGACCTCCTAAGAGACTTGTAAAAAGCCCAGCTTTAGTTCTTTCTTGCGCATTTTCACATAAAACATTAGGAACTGTGACATTGAAGGCCAAACTTAGTGCTGTCACAAACAACTTTACAATCGATGGACCTAGGAGGTTGTTCATACAAAACTGCCTCTAGCTTCATCATCGGAGTCTAATAGTACATATAAATGCAACACATGGTCACTTTGCTGGATCATTTATCCCAAGAGGCCGCCCAATACTTGAACCCGACGTGAACGCTTGTTGGACATGCTCTTCTAAATGCAACACATTATCAATTCCCTTCCAAAATATGGAGTCAATCCGTAGCAGACCAAGATGGAGGCAAGGCAGAACATCAGCTTTCAACCGCATATCCCGGCGCACTTTGTGCAGACAAGTGACCCATTTATCTGCATCGCTCCTATCAAATGAGCTGACAGCCATGTGAAGGATTTGGAAACAGATGGACGAGAATGCAGTCGCACTCCAGGCTGGCCATAGAGTCTCAAGGTCCTCTGGGCGTAGCTCGTGAATAAACTCCGCCGCTGCCGAAATGCAGGTTTCCGCTCGGATTCTGGCTTGCTCACGCGCCTGTATATAATTGGCCTCATTCAAGTTTTCGACGGTTGGCTGCAGGAATGGTCTCAAAATAGCCCTGCAAATACTCAGATGAATATAATGGTAGTTCATTTCGAGTGTTCTCTCTAGTCCAATTGGTTTGCCTTGGCTTGATGATCGGAAATTGGTAGGTGGTGCTGATACCGGTCTGTGCCACGAGAAGAGATCTTCAAGCAGTGGACCAGTCAATGCGATGGTCTTTTCATAATCGGTAGATATGTTATTAGTAGCACGAGGAGAGCTAACATTGGTAAGTTGCGGGTAACGGCGAGATAATGGATCTGCGGATCGACTTACTATAGTTGGGTTAGAACACGATCAAGCAGAGCGTCAAGTTCAGCTCGCTTTATAATGTTCATCCAGGCTGGAAGGTCAAGCCCACTGACCGGACGATCCTCTTGGCTAGGACTTGTCACGAGCCAGTTATCATAATGCAGTAAAGGTGGTCGACCAAGGCTCAATGCAAGCCACTTGTCTGTCGAATAAATGAAATATGACAGGCAACGTCGCTGGGCAATTTGCCACGGAGGTATTCGCCATGACTTTGGATCCAGGTGTAGTCCAAGGGTGTGAGCGCAAGCAATAAGAGTGGCGAGTTGGGACCATTTGAAGCCACTATCCAATACGATTGGGTTTGGATAAGGCCGAATGGCTAAAAGAAGCATTGTTTGTACAATACAAAGCTTCGGTGCATGTAGCTCATGTGGAAGCGCTTTGTTGATAATCTCGTATAGTGCCACACTTGATGGCTTATCATATGCGAGATCAATGCATAGTCTTTCGTCAAATTTAGTGAATGGCTCGACTATTAGGTACACGCTCGCAAGGAGATATGGCGGGCTCGTGCTGGGATTTAATTGGCCCGGTGGACCAAGTATTGGGTAATCCGGTGCCACGATCCTCTCAAACAAGTTAATTAGTCTGAGACCGATATCTCCAGGGACCAAAGATTCGAGTTCCTGTCGTAATTCAAGAGCTGAAACGTTCTCGCATCCGTTTTCCTGCCTGCTGGCAGCAAATATAGATGGCTTTGATAGTAAGAACTGGGTCGGGTCGGTGCCCGAGGATACGGATTGGATATTGAGATTTTTGAAATGAAATGCCCCAGACGTGTCGTATTGATAACGACTCATCAACAAAGGGTCCATATCGCCACTACTGCCGAGCAATTGAGGTGTCATTACACCTTGAGTATCAAGGCAAATCGATGAGCCAGTCTCCTGCACAGGCAATGGCAGGGAGCTAGGCTGTAATGACCCTCCATCCTCCGAATGACCAGTCCCTGGCAGGCCAGGGGATGGATAGACAAAGCTCCCTGGACTAAATCCAGACGGCCATGTGCCATCTCCGAAGTCACCCGGTAATGATACTCCGGCTCCCTCGAAGAAATCGTGAAACCCTTCAGGCACAGTGGCAACTGGATGATCTACCCTATCATTATCAATTGACATCAGGATATCGTAGTTGACTGAGTCACCAACTGGTGAAATTTCCTGCTGCTCTGGGCGTGAATTTATCTCAGCTTGTTGAGGGGTCTGTGGGCTGATCACTTCGGGGAAAGGCTGGCGTGGCCTTGAGGTTGGCTGTAGGAATGTACATTCTTTCCCATAAAGCGTGCAAAGATAACAGGGAGGTGCTCGATCAATGCGACAAGCTGCCTTCCTGGCCCGACAGGAATCACAGGCGCGGTTTCGCTTACTCATGTACCTACGGGCTCTGCCTGACATCCTTGAATTGAGAAAATTGTCATCAATGCATTTATTAGTCGCCAAACCCCGGGAGTTCAAGAGATAGGATGTCCACAGAGATGGCCCTAATGCCGGTCGCCCCACATGTCACATGGCACGTGACTATGTGCTGCCTTTAAGGTCCTCTGACTATTCATCATTTATGGAGGTCCGTTCAAGTTTTTGTCTAGTATGATTGTAATTGGATCATAATGCACTAGTTCTAAGAGGGGGTTGATGCGAGATTGGCATACAAAAGCGAATATTTCCTCTCACTTTACTCTTTTCCTTGACTCGTGGGCCGAACGACCAGCTAAAATAACAAGGCTATATCGTTCACCTGAGGCAAATAACTACATACAAGGCCGCCCTTATGACAAACAAATTCATTCCCAGCGCATGTTCACCGGGGCAGGACGTGGTGGTGACTAATAATAATTAAAAATTTAGGGTTATCGTGGCGATAACCTTGTCCCCGCATCTCCCGGGCCGAACTCGGGAAGGAAAAGGTTTGTCATAAAATTCCTCGAACCATTCTATTGCATTCGAGAAAAATATGAGAAATTAGAGACGAACGAAGCTGGGAGTCCCAAGGAACCCTGTATGTGCGACATTGGCAAAAGCCGCCGCGAAAAAACCAACAGACCAGATCTACTCCGGAGGAATATATCCTAGCATCATCGTCCATCCAAGGACACGAGATTTCAGTAGTCATTTGTTTTTCTATACATACTTTCCATTACTTCACGCTCTTGCCGAAGTGCACTTGCCGAAGGAGCCGACTGGTATCTTCGATATACACAAAGCTCTGCGAGAGTCCCCTTTCAGGGTGATTGAAGTGCCCAAATGCATGTGGCACGCCGGGGTATCTCTTCATTGTGACCTCATTTCCAGCCCTTTGCATAAGCTGACCATAATACTCTCCTTCATCTCGCTCGAGATCAAACTCCGCTGTGATGATGTGTGCTTTCGCAAGGTTTTTGAATGAAGGAGCAAGCACAGGTGTGCAGATCCACTCTTTTGTCAAGATTCTTTCTTGGGTAGCTAGAAATTTATTAGTACATATTGCAAATGAGAACGAGGCAAGTAAAGACTTACCGTCATCATCGCCGAGCCAATACTTTAGGAACCACTGCTCTCTGCCTAGTGGTCCCCATGGGGCATCATGGTATAGCAAGACACTTTCATATGGACAAGTGGTGTCATTTAGCTCTTGGGTTCTTAGACAATAACGCATGTCTGTGGCTGGAACTATGATCAACTGAAGTTTCAGATCAATGCCCTCGTCGCGGGCGAAATGCGCCATTACTGCAGTCATTTGACCTCCAGCGGAAAGACCTCCGATGGAAACACTTGATGGATCAACATTGATACTAGAGGCATTGGCGATTGTCTGTCCAAATATCTCGTGTTAATGAAGTAAACCTCAAATGGTATTAAATCTTGTACGTACCCATTTCACAGCATCCCATGAATCGTAGATGCTGGTAGGATAGGGAAACTCCGGAGCTAGTCGATAGTCAACATCAATCACTTTAATTTGCGCTTTGTTGCACATGTGCCTGCACCAAGCAGCTTCAGAGTTGAGATTTCCAAGGACCCATCCACCTAGAGTCAACGAAGATGTGTTAGAATGTCAATTATAGAGAGCGGAATTACGGTGACATGAGGTGCGTACCTCCATGGAAGTTCAAATGAACAGGGAATGGCCCTGGGCCTTGGGGCGTATAGACCCTGATCATGATCTTCCCAGCTGGCTGAGTGACGGGGATCTCTATGTCCTCAACATGGAAAACAGACGGACCTTGATCATAGTCAGTAATTGTTTAAGACCCAAACACAATGAGCGAAGCTCATGAACCTTGCTTACCAGGGCATGTTGGGTAGGTGAAGCTGTATGTGGCGGGGCTCTTGCGATATTCTTCAAGAGATAGCTCGTCAGCTCTCACCATGGAGCTGCCATGCTTCTCCCATAGCTCTACCCATTCAGGATCCAACCCATTCAAGAGCTTGTCTGGTATAGACAAGCGTCCCTTCTTCTCTTCTACCACGACTGTTGTTTGTGTAGTGGCCATTGTTACGTGTCAAAGCAACAATTAACTTTGCGATAAAGAGAAATTGTGAAGGTAGAAAGATGCTAAATGGCCAATCTTAAGCGAAGATCTAAATTAATTTAAAAAAAAAAGTGACAATGTTGATAAATTTAGTCACCTACCCTTCGATATGCCTTGGATATAATGCAGGGTTCTGGTTGGCGGCATCGGCCTCATTATCGGCTCCGATCTAAGCGATAGGCGTCCGGGTGGGGGGTCTTCCTATCTGCGGGTCCCATGTGGGCCACGCACCCCGGATTCATTCCCGATATCGAACCTTCCACTGGCCGAGTTGGTTAAATTAAAACGCCGTCCCTCTGATTTGACATGGGATAGAGAAGTTTTTTTCTTCTCACATATTGCTTGACGCACCACTTAATATATTTACATCTTGTTTCGCCAAGATGGATTCTGTCTCAGTCGATAACCGGAGAGACTATGCAGAAGACGAACTGGACAAAGTTGACCAGTCTCCTACTGGTATCCATGCTGGACTCCGCCGTATTCCTGACAAATTTCCACGTGTCGCACTACTAATCCTTGTCGTCGAGGTACGTTACCCCACCCGCCACGTGTGGATGCCCAAGCTCGTCCACTAACATCCACATATTAGCTTGGCGAACGGTTCACTTATTTTGGCCTGAGTGGTCCCATGCAAAATTATATCAAGTACGTTGTTTCGGAAATCATTGAATATTTTCGGATTCTAACCTTTTACTTTATTTAGTAATCCTTATGATCCTGGTTCCGGTCTCCCTGGTGCACTAGGCAGAGGACAAGCAACCGCATCGGCCCTTGGAAACTTCTTTAAATTTTGGGCTTATGCCTCTACTATTATCGGCGCGATTGTTGCAGGTAATACACCTTCTATTGTGATCTTGCAGCATTGTTGCTAATAGTCCACCAGATCAATATGTCGGGAAATTCAAAGCCATCACAATCTCTCTGGGAATTTACATGGTCGGGTTGACAGTCCTGGTTGCCACTGCGACACCAGCTGGTCTTAAGAGCGATGCTGGTTTCGGAGGGTTGGTTGCTGCAATGGTTATCATTGGCCTGGGAACAGGAGGAATCAAGGCCAACGTGACTCCCATGTGCGCCGAGCAATACCAGAATGCAGAGCCCGTTTTGAAGACGCTCAAATCAGGGGAGCGTGTGGTTGTTGATCCTGAATTGACCGTGCAGCGACTTTTCATGTGGTTCTACTGGGTCGTCAATGTTGGCGCACTTTCCCCCTTGATTACAGTCAATGTTGAGGCAAAGCACTCTTTCTGGCTTGCATATTTGATCCCATTGATGTAAGTTGGGATGAAATCACATACCGTTACACCAACTAACATATTCCAGCGCAATCATTCTCTCGGCTATCGTGTTCTTGTCCGGCCAGAAGCGATATGTTAAGGTTCCTCCCCAGGGGTCTGCTATTATAGATGCATGCAAGGTCTTGAACATTGTCCGACAGGAGAAGCATTTCGAAGACGCAAAGCCATCCGCTCTAGAGGCCTCAGGTCGATTAAGCAAGTATCCATTTGCATCTTCACCGCGCTACACAGATCAATACGTCACAGACGTCCGCCGAGGCTTTAGAAGCTGCAGAGTAAGTCGAAGCTCAACACTCTCTCACTGATTTATACTTACCCATATTATAGATGTTCATATTCTTCCCATTCTATTTTGTTTGCTGGGTTCAGATTTGGAACAATCTTATCTCACAGGCCGGAGAAATGGCGTTACACGGAACGCCAAACGATCTCCTGCAAAACCTCGACCCGATCGCCTTGTGTATTTTTATCCCACTTCTTGACTGTGAGTATTAATATGATGATATCAAAGAAAGCATATGCTAACAAATGTATCTCCAGTGGGCGTGTACCCAGTCCTTCGCAAGTTTAAGATCAACTTTAGCCCAGTCCGCCGGATCTTCGCCGGCTTCCTTCTTGTCTCGATCTCCATGATCTACTCCAGTGTGCTACAGCATTACATTTATACATCCCCAGCAAAGAGCATACACGTATGGATTCAAGCTCCAGCGTATATCTTTGTCGCATTCTCCGAAGCGTTCGTTATTGTTACTGGCTTGGAACTTGCCTTCACACATGCGCCGAAAAAGTAAGTCCACCGCCCCTATGATCTATGATACAACTCAAACTAACCACAACTTACTTTAGCCTGCGATCTTTTATCTCGGCACTATTCTGGCTCATGATCGGCATTGCGGCAGCGATCTGCATTGGCCTAAGCCCTGTGTCGCAAGATCCGTATATTCTTTGGATGTATGCCTCTCTCGCAATTGTGGGCTTTGTGGCGGGATGTCTGTTTTACATTTGCTTCAGAAACAGTGACTCCCTTGATCCTATTGACTCGGGACTCGTCGAAGGAGTTCCAGTTGAAGGAAGCGGGCAACATGTTACACACGTTGCTGATCATGGTAAACACAGCGAAGTATAGAAGTCTTCTGTTCAATTAAATAGCCTATATAATCAATCAACTTTTACCTATTATTCTTGGGACCATTTGTCTATATCACACGCGCAAGTAGATGTTTTGTTTGAATAGATAGCTCCCTAACTTTTGGCTTCTACAAATCTCCATTTATTGTCGCGTCCACCCACTATGCACTTTTAAATATCCCTTTTGGTAAAACCTTCTCGGTATGTTTTATAGGACAGCCTCATGTTTGTGGATAATCGTTGTGAAGCCATGGATCCCGCAGTAGCCCCTTCGCCGTACTTCGCTCTTCGGGTTTCCATTTGATCATCCGGCTGACGAAGCTAATAAACATCCTCTTTTCTTCCCCATTAAACTTGGAGAGGGTGCTTTCAAAGCCAAAGTTAATAGGGATAAAGTCTTCCTTTTTGAGTGTTCCGGAAATTCAGTGTTATTTATATATAAGATATTCAATTTAAAGACGCACCTACCACCGGCCGTATAGAAGATCGATGTCCTCTTGCCGCGGCGAACAAAGTAGTTTTTTTTTTTGGAAATCTCCAATGGCATCACTCCATCTTGCCATTGTTGGCAATACTTTCCCAGTGACTTATGTAAAGGCTCAAAGACGAGACATACATGACTCGCTGATATTCCCTGGACAAAAAACGAGTCAATTCGGGATGGAAGGACGGACGAAAATGCCCAGGGCGACTAGCGAAGCGCCTTGAAGCGATGCATGATGATATCGGGAAGATTCCGCTTCATTATTCTGCATAAATCCAAAAAGACTGGCACTGGTTCATATGGCCTTCATGGGGATAAGGGCGTAGTCCGAACTTCGAGCTTCGAATATGGCTTGTTTGGGATCTCGTAGGCTCGCGCCGCAAGTGGGACGCGGTTAAGGATTAAGAGGCCATGGCTAAAATCAACCAATGATATCGATCTAATGGGAGAATTACGGAGCCTCTCACAAGGCAGTGTATCCCCCGCATGGCCCCGTAGTTGAATGCCGCCAATCGGAGTGGCCCCCAATCTATGGCCGAGATAGGCGTTTGTTGACTCGTTAATCCCATATGAATTGATAGAACTTGAAAGCTGGACACCAGATAAGCAATATGAAATTAAATGAGTCAACGAGGTCTCCCTAAAAACTGACAAGTTCCGGTTGCTTTTTGTTTAAATTAAAGGACGCCCAGACATAGACGGATTGTGTTTTTGAAAACTGATCTAGTCACAATGAAGAACGAATCTGTAGTAATTATTGGGTATGTATTCACAAAAAGGACTTTACACAACTGACACATGCTAATATTCTGCTTTGAAGTGCTGGCATCATTGGTCTGAATGTTGCCCTGGTCCTTGCTGAGCAAGGCTACGCCAGTCAAACAACCATCATAGCTGAGCACCTCCCTGGTGATACATCCATCAACTATACTTCCCCTTGGTAAGTCTGCTCGTCCGTAATGGTACCTGTAGATACCTTATTCGCTTTCAATAACACTAACGCGATCTAGGGCTGGCGCCAATTTCTCTGCTCTTTCTGCAAGCGATAAGAATGCCTTGCGATGGGATCAACTCGGGTACAAGCATCTCCTCAAACTTGCCGCGCAAGATGGGATGAAGGCATTTGTCCGGGAAACCCCCTCTACCGAGTATTGGGATGAAATGCCATCGCGCACAAAGCTCAATTCCATGGCTAGTTATCTGAAGGATGTGAGTCGATTGCCAAGAAGTCATCGTTGATATGCTCCCATTTAGGTAGCTGATATGGAAAACCCACAGTATAAAGAGATGCCTCAAAAGGACCTACCAGAAGGTGTTGCATGTGGTGTCAAGTTCACCACAGTAACCCTCAACGCCCCGATGCATATACGCTATCTTCTTCAAAGACTCAAGCAGCAGTACGGAGTTCGCGTCACTCGCAAAAAGGTCTCGGATGTCACCTCCGGCTTCCTCAGCAAGGACACAAAGATAGTCTTTAACTGCACCGGCAATGCTGCTCGTACCCTGAAGGGAGTCGAGGATCCTAAGTGCTACCCCACTAGAGGCCAAATTCTGCTTGCCAAGGCAACGCACATCAACCAAAATGTAATGAGACACGGCAAGGATTATGAGACATACATCATCCCACGACCCCACTCGAAGGGTAATGTCATTCTCGGTGGATATATGCAGAAGGGAGTCAGGTGAGTAAAATCTATTGAAGGCATTCCTTTTGTCATATTTCCTATGTGCTTGAAGGTCTAATTGTTATAGCTTGCCTGATACACTGGGAGATGAAACCGAGTCTATATTATCCCGGACCAAGGCAATGTTACCGGAGCTCGAGTCCCCCGACATAGAGATCCTAGCAGCATTTGCAGGCTTGCGCCCATCACGAGAAGGAGGTGCCCGAGTTGCCAGTGAAGTCGTGCAGGTCGATGATTCAGAACGAAAGGGCCTTGTTGTTCACAATTACGGCGCTGGAGGGACGGGATTCCAGGCTGGATATGGAATGGCAGTTGATGCGGTTGGATGCGCGTTGGGTGAACTTGAAAAACTCCAGGTCATCAAATCATCTCTCTAGGGATTATTTCTCGCGGTCGATGAAAGTGGGTTCTATAATATCACAAGATCTGGTTTATGTACTATATTACAATTTCAACTTTTACATCCTTGAGACGCGTTCGGCAAGAACGTCCATAGCTTCATCTCACAGGGAGGGATAACCTATATTATCCTCTAAAACAGATTGGATTCTGTCAAAATCAATCATGTTTAAATTATTTTAGGGACAAGGAGGGAACTCACATGCCGAAAAAGTTCTTAAATGTACCCCATCCAGGATAAGTATCTGGGTCACCGGCCTTCCGGGTCATAAAACTATGATCTTCAGTGGCGCAAGTCGGGTCTCCTTCGGCGTTTATAGGTTTAACATTCGAATCAACCAAGTTCTCACGCTGAATGAACTTATTCTGCCCACGTGTCTTTTGATCCTGCAAAGCGAGGAAGTCACCCATCGTTGATCGGGGATTAGTAGCCTGCGATATGAGAATCAGGCCGAATTGACGTATGCTGTGACGATGCACTGGCAACACTAAAACACGTACCGCTGCGTGACCCAATCCTTCTTCTTTGCCACCTAGCCAGAGCCTGTCGCCCCATCCTTCTCCACCACCGACATTGTTAGCGGGGGTCGGTTTGGCACTGCTGCCGCCAGCCACCGCGGTGGTTTGGCGATTGGGGCTACTATCGCTGCTCATTTTGATACTGCGGTTAGTTTGACCTACGTATGAGGTTATTAGTAAGACAGTCGACATGGAGAGCAAGAAGACGCTCTTAAATAATGAATTGATGTGAGAAGTGGAGGGTATAAGTCGGCATTCTATCAAGAAGTTTATATACTCACAGTGTGTTTCTTGAGTTCGGAGGTAGTTACACTTGTTTTACTTAAATTCGTAAAGATAATGGGTATTTAAGGTAAAACTGAGCTCGCTCACTTGGATTTATATATGCTCCGGACCTAACCCTTGCCACGACCCCGAGTGAAGTCATGATGAGTATACATCGCTTTTTGTGATTGGTCCACCTTTTGTTACTCACGTGCAACAACAGCACATACAGCCTCTAGAACCTGCTTTTACTGGATGTCATGTGTAGTGGTGTTTATGCATCCAATACTGGTTTTGTGTAGGTCTCACTATCTACAAATAACAATTGTTTTGGTTGTTACCAGACCTTTTTCATCATTATTGTGCTCATTTATTTGATCAACGTTGTGGAATTAATTCGGAACTTTTAGCAACCCAACAAGTAAGTTTAGTACGCTACTCGGCATACTATTGCACTGGAACATCGTTTGTTTAGCTAGTTCGTTAGACCTCTGTTTGTCACTTTGTTTCCCAATTCCTTTGAAGCTATATATATAGATTCATGGCAGTGAAAGTGCTCCATCGTTGACAATCTTATCAATTACTTTTTTACTATGGCCACATGTGCTATTTCGACGAGTTTGCCAAGTACATTATGGCCAAAGAATGGCGAGCCGTGTATTGACCGAGGGCGGCCGATCACACCAAGACCCCAGGTATGGGCCGTGACCAAGTCGTTCAGCAACATACCCCATTCTGCGCGGCACAGACTGAAATTTCTATTTCCCCATATTAATGCCAATGAGAGATCCTTCCCCTTCGCCATCGAGACGATTCTCTCTTCGAATCTCAGTTACACTCCCGGATTGCATCATTAAACTGAACAAATACTGACACGATGCCTCCCAAAAAGAAGAAGGTCTCAGGAGAAAACGCCAAAGTAATAACAAAGAGGGAGGTGAAGGACGCCATAAAGGCCATGACGCAGTTTGGCCTTGCCTAAGGACCAAACCAAATACCAGCGCAATTTAACTAAGCATACCGCCACCTCTGAAAACCAAACTCAAGGAGCAAGTTGAAGTCGGACTGCAACACTGCCGTCTAAGCTAGACATTCGACGACGAGGACCTGACCCCGCTCAACGCAATACCCCTGCCATCAATACATACCGCGTGCCACTATGCCCAATGGCAGACTTTAACAGCAATGATAAATAGTGGCAACCTCCAAACAGCACAAAGCTGAGCGATGAAGGCGTTTATATGGCAACCAAGTTCATAGCCGCCGTCGAGCGCGGCAAGAAGCACCTCTTCGATCTTGATCAAAATGGATACGTTCGAGCAGGAGGAACACCAGAGGATCCAGCACCCTTGGCATTCTCACAAAGCCGCTCTTGGAGGAGATGTTTGGACTAATGAGAGACAAGATGATGTTAAAATCTGCCCAAAAAGAATATTGAAGAAATAAATAGACGAAAAAATGACACCAAATCGATGAAGGATGAATTTATGAACTGTATATTGAATTAATAGGATTCATACGGACGAAACAGAATGAAGAAAACCCTACAAAAATACCCTATGTAAACCAGAATTTGTGAAGTTGATACTGGGCTCCATGCACTATTTATTTGAATTGTATTGGTTTAGAACGCCATTATTGCCCTCCACTTTCCAATAAACTATTCATTTCTTACGAGGGTGCTCTAGATCATACCGAACCACTTTGAAAGTTGGCCAAACCTGCAACAAGACAGCGCCAACCATCATGCATCCCGCAAAGACCTGAGCATGCAAAAAGTCTGCGGTATCAAGATTTACCAAAGCTCCTGCAATGGGAGTTCCAGCAAGCGCCCCGAGAGACGATATCCCCCACATCATGCCCAAACGAGTCCCCAAAAAGCTCGAGTCCTGACAGAAAACCGGATGTGCCACAATGGAAGTCGGCGCCGTAACCAAAACACCGCTGAGAGCTCCCCAGTAACATGCCCAGACAATAAAACCAGCCATATCGGTAGCTGCAATCCAAGTGAACATAGCAATGGCCGACGCAGTCACGGAAAATATCAGGATCCCAATAGGCTTGATATATGCGACAAGCAGATACGGAACAACACGACCAATAACCGACGTGCCGTTGACAATAGCAACCATATAAAAACTGAAATCGGTAGTGGTATGCACCACCGTGCGGGCATAGGAGGCGATATAGAAAATGGGTACATAGTAGGCGAGCATCACACACGTAAGCGATAGCGAGAACATCATAAACGAGGGCTCACGGAAGGCCCTCCAGTCGATAAGGCTTCTTGCATGGGCCCTTTGGCCCGGTTGCCGACATAAGATTAGACATGATATAATAGCAAGGAATAGGCTGATGAAGCCGATGCAACGGACTGCCCATGGGAACCCGATCCTGGGCTGGAGTTGTCGGAACATGACTGGGAAAATTACAGCCCCAACGCTGGACCCAATTGATGCGCAGCCGATGGCTATTGGTCGTTTTGTGGTGAAACTTGTGGAGATCACGACGAGGGCTGGGATGTAGGAAATGCCGCCTCCCATTCCGACGCAGAATCCTTGCGCCAGCAATACCTGTTCTCGTCAGAAAATATTCTTCTCGTGTTAGATTGTAGATTTACCTGATAGTACGAAGTAGCGAGACTGGTCATCATCATTCCGAATACAGTCAGGAAACTTCCGGATATAATTAGAGGGCGCAGATATCCGACATCAACCAATGGCCCCGTAGCAAGACCAACCATTGGGATTAGAGTTGCTTGAATACTTCCCACCCATGAGATCGTAGATGGTGTCTCATTTGGTAGAAGTTCTGTCTGGTAATACTCTTGAAAGGCGCCATATGTCGTTAGCAGGCCCCTAGAAAAAAGATTAGCTTGATATAATATAAGCATAGTATGACAACAATGTAAACTGACCAAGAGTTCACGAAAACACAGAAGCCAGCAAGGACATTTAACCACGCATCAAGGCCACCGTTGATTCTTTTTTTGGGTTGTTCGTGTTCATGTTCATGTTCATGTTCATTTTCGGCCGCCAAGTTGCCCGATGCGGGTGGCAAATGTGGTTGGGCGCCATATATCTTCTCCGTTGAAGGCATTTCGATATATGTCTGCCATGATGCATTGAAAAAGAACAGTTACTCCAGTTATAAGGAGGAAGAACCCTTTCCCCCCAACACTCCACTGTGGGGAAAACTGGGGTTTCTATTAGTCACGAACTTCTTCGGTTCAACCGGCACTGGGTAACCGAGCTCTACCGATCTGGTTGGTTATGAAGATGTGTGATTATGTGCAGCTACTCCAAATTGCACGGGGACATCCGAGTTTCCGAATTTCGACATTGGATGGTCTTCACTATATCTACTTAGCGTTGAATATCACTTCCGCTTCCGGAATATATATCGAGTCGTTCCTCTCCCTGGTTCACTTGAGATTTATTTCGGTACATCTGTTCCAGTGTGTAAGTCACATTCCAATCTTAATGCAAATATTTATCCAATATAACCGTTTTGTTCTCGGGGAATTTCTTGGCTCCTATTTAGTGTCAGTTGACGCAAGACTGGACCAATCACATCCACGTCGGATAAATGAATTCCTACGCATTAACAATCTTCGTTTTATATGAGCAATCGAAATCAGATATGGCTCAATTGAATGGCTTTGTCGCCTTTCACTTTTTGAATTACATGACCGATTTCATATCGGGACATTTTTCGAATAGTTCCACACAACAATACTGTTATTCAATATATTATGGAACTATAGGCTGATATCTCAAAAATTCCTGTTGATGATGGCCTATACATACACACTCCGTGACCATCTTTAACACCTTGATCCTGAAGTACGTGAAAATTCTATAGATGTGACCCATTGCTCAATCACGTCAGCGCACGTTGCCTCCACAGCCATCTACTAACCCCTTAAGAGAGCTACCTTTTGTCGCAAGTCGGCGGTCTCCTAGTCCCTTCCTAGTCCCTTCCTAGCTTGTCTCTCGCTGGAGATCTCCGCTTGTTTGAGGATTTCTAATCCTGCTCTATCTTGCGTCTTTACCACTGTAGCCATGAGGTGATCCCTATATCGGACTTCCTTCTCCGCGCTAAATTATCATTCCAATGCTTGTGGACAGATTGGTTCCTGCTGCGTGTTTATAGTTATCAATAGTTTGGGATAATATATATCTGGAGGTTTACGTACACCAATGGGATATTTTGTACAGCTATCACGGATATGATAATATCTTTTAAGGTCCTGGTCGATGGAGGCCATGTCATATGAAGACCATTCGCAGATCCAAAGCTCGACTTTTTGGAAGGTTCCATTTACGCCATCAGATCTCACATCCGTAGACCATCTTATCATATCTGACTCACCAGGGTAAATGGACAGTAAAAGCCGAGAAACTGAGTTTTTTCTAAAATGTACAGTGAAAGAAAGAACATGCCTAGGTGCTATCCAGGTGGTCAATCATGAGCATGTAGGAATTGTATTGATTAAATCTGGATCATTATGAACAGTTAAGCACAAAGGAGACAAAGAAGACAAAGGGGACAAAGCTCCCAGGAGTATTTATGATCCAGAGACATAGCCTGTGGTATTCTGTTTGATGCTTTTACATAACTCCCAGGGATCTTTTCTCTCTGCTTATATACTTTCAATACACGTACTTTGATTTCAGATATTCTCCAACCCCCAAGACTCGCTTCAAAGTTGACCGATGTGATCGTCTCTCATTACTTTTAGGTGATCCCACCTGGCTTCTACCATCTGGGGAAGAACATCAAGGGACACACAGCTGTATGTTGATTGACATATCCAACCATCATCGGGATTCCATTTTTACTCACAAACTTTCACCCGCAGTCTTTCTCGCTCCTTCAATGTCACCTCGACCGTTGTCGGGCCGCCCTATTTACCCAGTCCCCTAATACTCTCCACTGACACAACTTCATTGCACTTCATATTGCCCACCGCTAGTCTAGTCGGATCTGTGGGATAAGCTTTTTACCCATCAACCATCATCCATTATCCGAGCTCCTTGGGTTCCTCATGGCTGCTGTCACATCGGCAAAGCTAACAACTTGGTTGCCTGCGACCTTGTTAAGACCTTCATCCAGGCCCCCGGCGTGGTAAACTCTGCGCTGCGAATCGGTTCCACATTCTACCCATCATCCTGCGTCTTACCAGCCTGACGCGCGAGGCTGGTAACCAGATGATGGGGCCAAATGGTACTACGATTGTGATTGGAGAAGACATCACCCGCACTGTTGAGCTCCGTTACTCTCGTTCGACCTATAATGTCCACAACAGCGTCTTTGACACTCTGGTCGACGACACTCTACCGCCTCCCGAGGGCTGGCTTAGCCGCGCAACCATCAATTGGGCCACATACCGCATGCTCTGCCACCTTGCCGTGTAGCTCGACCGATTCCTCCGACGCTCCCCATCTAGTGTCCTCTCGGCGAAGGGTTTCTTCACCTAGCGCGGCGATGATATTGGTCCCGGACCACGAAGGGCCCGTTAGGCTCCGTGCCTACGAATTGCATCGCTATGGCTCGGTACCTCGCACACTAGAGCCCCCGTCTCTGCTATCTCCTCCACATCCTTGTTTACCAAGGTGTCTCGGTTAGCTCCTAGCCACGCTTCCTGATATTCTACCACTAGCTTCTTACGCTATGGCTTGTCCAAATGTTCCATAGCACTCTCCCACTCGACTATGTGCCGGTCCGTGCTGGAATGGCTACAAATATCCGCTCCGCCGTGATTGCCCGCTTGAATGACCCTAGCACGTCCACGCAGGTACTGGTGACCACATTCAATTGCGGTGCAACCGGTCTCAAAATGCACTCACAGTACAGCCGCGTCATCCTCATAGATTCTGCACTTAGCCATAACTCCCTCTTCCAAACAATTGGAATGGGATTGCTGGCATTCGCGCTGCGCTTCCTCGCTTGACGCAGGAGCTTACAGCTGTCATTCCAAGATGCAATTACGTTGAAGTTCTGTCAATGGTGTTTCAGGGCTCGCGATGGTGTGTTATATTTATTTCGAACCCTTTTCACAGCGCAATGAAGGTATCTGTTGTCATGGTTTCGTGTTACATGCGCTGTTGAGGTGAGTTTGGGACTTTTTGTTGAGCGAAGAGGAACAATATGGCTAACCGGTGATGGCTTCCAAATGAAAGGCATTTGAACCCTACTTAAAGAATCTATATAGATCAATTCAATGTCGCCGTGATGTGGTTCCACGTCAGATAATACATAATGTGAGGTCACTCTGGACGGAACTTGGAAGCCCATCAAAAGCTTCGACATTTCCGAGGAACCACAGTCATGTTTGGTAGCAATATGGAGAATGGCCTTCAAGAGTGCTGCTGTGGCAGTTCACGAGCTCTATGCCGCCTTTGGCTGCTTTCTTCTGAACAAGTGCGATCGATCAATATTCTTTGTGTTATCAAATGCACTCCTCAAACAGGACCGCTCCCTTCCATCTTGAAATACCAAGGGGATCTTAGGAGGATTTCAAGTCAGCATACACGGGAATCTTTTTCTTGCGTGCTCCCACTCTCTACATCCTCCATCTAAAACTTGCCATGAGATATTTGTACTACGGCCCACAATTTGGTATCGTTTCTGAGTTGCTATCGTACCTTCAGGCGAGAGAAAATGACGACAACATCGCATTTTCATCAATCTGTGCTGGAATGGCTACAAATATCCGCTCCGCCATGACAACTTCTTCCTTTCAGTCTCCCGTTGGATCTGGGGAAGATGGATGGAACGACTTGAAGATTGCCGAGCAACCGTTGCCCACAAAAGGCAGGAGAGAAAAGTGACGCCGTACGCTCGAGCATCGCGAATCAAGTTTATAAACGAACCATCCCCAAGACGATAGCGCCGTCACAGAAACCGAACTCCCAAATCAAGCGTGGCTGACGGTTACCAAGCTGGTCAAAAAGGCAGACAACAACGCGTACCACACAATCGTCCGATGGAACCCTATCACTGCAAGAGATTGGGAATATCAAAACGTCATGGAACAAGTTGACTAGCATCCCGGATGTCTGGATTCAGCATTCCCCACGAAAGTCTCAGAGATATCAACAGACTGTGTGAATCTGAAACTCTGTGTAAAATGGTTGTATGGATGATAAGACACGCATCACTCCGGCTGGTATTGGGAGATGTGCACCTCCCTATTCTCCATGCAGTTCTTCTTCACGAAAGGTGGATAGAAATGAGATCGACGCTACCTGCGAGCTCAAAGGGATCATATGATATTCGCTACGGGCGCGAAACGGAAGGGCTCGTTTCACAAGTCATCCCGCTCGAGAAATGGCATGGTTCTACATATTGACGCTGATACACCTCCATCAACCTCTCTATTTCTTTTGGAGCTGTTGCCATTATTTTTCTGAAAGCCAAAATGGCTAACGAGCTCGTTGCTGTATTTTTTTGGACAATCTTCATGCATTGATTGGCTTAGCCTTCGGGCAATACCTCGGCAGATACTACGGCACGAAGGAAAATATTGTCTTCAACGAGTGTATGATGGAAGCTATGTGGCAACAAACGTCTTGGGATCTTGAATCACATCTGCTTCCTGTTTTTGTAATTCTTTGAATCAGCGTCCACATCTTGCAGCATGCAGCCCTACTTGCGAAGGGAGAAGAGATCTTAAAGGGACAGACCCTTAGCAAATGTTTTACCAGAGGAGATCCAAAAGAGACGCACAAAAACGATATCCGAGACGACGTCTGAGCCTGTAGAGGTATTAATTACAGTAAAATCTTGAATACTGTTCCTTATATCATCTCGAGCCAAATGGGTCAGTCTACTGAAAGATATACTCAAGGATAGAGACCGAGAAGGGGCCGACCATGCTTGTTCTAAGATCAATACGAAGTAAAATATAACAAATGTCCAATTCCAGAAAGCAGCGTACGCTATGAGCGGCAATATACGTATATGTAATGCTGGCGGACTTTTGCATCTGACCCATCTGAGCCACCAATCAAGGCTCCTGGACAGGCGGGATATCAAATTGCAAGTGAAGGAAACAGGAGTCTGTTCATGTCATGAATGCAGAAAGAAAATCGTAAAAACTAATGAAACCAAAACCCAAAAAAGTCGTTTTCCAACGCGACATTTTATCACTCATCCTCAAACTGGTCTGCCCAAGTACCAGTAATGGGTGAAAACGTAGAGTCCAACTTGTCCATTGCCGTTTGTGACTTGGATACTGCAGGAGATGTTTCGGTTTCAGGCTCGACTTTAGTCTCAGTCTTAACCTTGGGCTCCGGCGTGGGTGCAGGTTTAGTCTCAGGCTTCTTTGTCTCAGGCTTCTTTGTCTCAGGCTTCTTTGTCTCAGGTTTCTTGGCTTCAGTCTTCTTCGTCTCAGTCTTCTTGGGTGCCTCGGGCAGAGCCGGGAATGCACTCTTATCATCCAACCCCGGTGCAGCAGGGCTCTCTGTTGCAAATATACTGTCAGCTAGGCCCTTGCGTGGCCGATCTCCTTGTGGGGTACGCGGAGATCCACGGTCACGACCGCCTCGCCCACCGCGTCCACGACCCCGGTTACCCCCAGAGTGATCAGCAGCATCTACTGTACGGGTATCTTCAAAGTCTCGTCGCACGGCGCCAGACACGCCGCCATGCATACCGCGTCGGAACTGGCTGCCTCCACCGCGGGGATCATAATCTTCCTCGCGTTTCTGCGAGTCCCACTCACGCCCCGTCTGGGCCTTGAGTTTCCGCTGTCTGTTTTTCTCGCGTTCATTATCCATCACCCGGCGGTGCGCGAGTTCCTCGCGCCGTTTCTTCGCCGCTTCCTGCTCGCGCTCCATGAACGACGCCTGATCAGCTTCGGCGCGAGCATGCGCCGCAGCTTTCTTTACGGCGTTCTCTTTGGCTGCGGCAATGCGTTTGGAGAGTTCTTCTTCGGTGAGTTTAGGCTAGAAGTAAACAGTCAGCTTGGTACTCTGTGCTCCAAGTATCTTAGTAAGAGAAGGACTACATACCTTTCTCAGGCCACCAGTGGCACTCCGATCACCACGAACAGCCGGCACACGCTGAGCCTCAGCGCCATTCGAAGATAGATCTTCACTGTTCCCCTCCTCGGCTGGAGCGGTCTGCTCTTTAGGCTCTTTAGCTTCGACGGGCTTCTCGGACTTCTCGGGCTTCGACTTCGAAGCCCCAGCCTCGCGCGAATCGGCAGCCGGCGCATTAACAGGAGTCTTTTTGCGCGGAGAGCTTTCTGACCGTTTTTGCTCCGACTCCCGTCCACTGCGCCCTCCCTTACCCCGACCCCGTCGTCCCCGGCCTCGTTCACCGCCACGGCCCCGCTGCGGAGTCTCCCCACGTGGAATTGGCTGCTCAGAAGTTGGCTTCTCAGGTACAGGTACCTCCTGCACCTCTGACTCCGGCTCGGGGGTAGCGACCTCTGTCTGCGCCTGGTGTTGTTCTGTGGAGATCGGGATAATCTCATCGTCGAATAGGTCATCGGCGCCGCGAGTCTGTGCGAACTGGTCCATCTCGGGGTCGGCCATTGCGATTGGGGCTGGAGAAGTACACTGGTGGGTCGGACAGGTCACGGGTAGGGTGTGGACTCGGAACTGGAAAGTGCGCGGGATTCTCGCCGCTATATACACGTTCCGAGGGGTAGCTTCGATGGGGGATGTCTCAAATGGTGATCCGTGCGCGGGCTAGTGGGGGTGGTAATATATTCTCGTCTCTTAAAATTTGCAGTGATTCATGTAAAAGGCATATATAGAGGAGAAACAATTAGCGGGAATTATAGTTGATCACACAGCTCGACTGATCTGCAATCCAGCCGGGGCAGTCTGGTAGGCGGTCTGCCATTGCTCCGAAGCGCATTGTTTTGCCGATGAATTCCGTCTGTTTTCTGCCGATATGACGTTCTTCCGAGCTTGTTTACATCTTCATACATGAGCTGAATTGAAGTGATCAAATATGACAACCAGCTAATGTTATTTATAGGTATTTGAAAAGATTCCTATATACAGAAAGGGCCAAGCAAGCTGCAAGCCTAAACACACTGCCAAGCGTTCTCATCGGTGTAATTCCCAGGACCCTTGAACACGTTGCGTCGAGGCCAGCGGCAGTGCTTGCGTTTGTACTCGACCTTGGAGCCAGGACCGTTGGAAAACTTAGCACCACGAACAGTCTCTGGTGCCTTGCCTTGCTCGACCCACTGAACCATTGCCATAAGAACATTGTCCTCGGGATTTGTCCCATCATAAGTACTGATGCCCTGACCAATACCATAGGCACCATCGCCCCCACCGCAATGGCCCATACCGCTGATTTGGAAGAAGCGGTAGAACTCATCCAGCTTACTGGGGGGCAGTTGCATGGTGTTTGACACGTGAGAATAGTACATCTTGGAGTCCTCGGAGCTAATCAACTGGTCTTGAAGGCCGTGGTAGTGCAGGATTTTGCCGCCAGTCTTTTTGAATGCAGAGATATCGCCTTCCCATGTTTGAATGTTGTACGGGTTCTGAGCGAGAGCCACAGCAGCATCTTTCACTGTGAAGTTGGCCCCACTCCAGGACGGGTTGTTGTAGACGACGTAACGGTACCAGTCTTCGCTGTATGGGAATGGTGTACCACTGTACATTATAGGTGCGGCGAGGATTTCAGAACCAGGCTGCATGCGGGGGTATAGCAGGGTGCCATTGATTCCGTACAGTGGCGATAACACTTGCTGAGCGGTGTTGACTTGGGCGCTGGTAAGACAGCTTGTTTTGTTTGAGGCATTAGGGTCACATGTCAATGTTTCCAAGACAGGGCGACAGAGATCGGGATCTTCGATGATTCCATCTTCGGCGCCATCAATGGTATCGCATTGGCGGATGATCTCTGCGTGGACGATCTCCCATTCGGCTGTGGACAGAAACGTGCCGGAAGTTGGCGAGCCTGTGAGAGTATAAAACCGTGCGCTCCATGAAAACAGATTGATTAGGTTTATGGCGGGGGCACCAGCAACCACCCCATCAAAGTCGTTGGGGTATTTTTGAACAGACTTCCAACCTTGGCGGCCACCAGTCGAGCATCCGAGGTAGTAGCTCTTCTTGAAGCCCTCGTCGTAGAATTGCTTGGTGAGCTCCTTGCCCACTACGACTCCAGTGTGAACAGAACGGTACGCATAATCTTTGATTACCTCAGGTTGGTGGTAGAAAGGCTTTCCCGAGGTACCATTGTGGCCGTTGTTGGCTCCGACGGTGGCAAACCCTAGTTGTGCGGTGTATGCGAGGTCATAGTATTGAATGCCTGCGCTGCGATTAACACCTAAAGATTCTTGTTTTAGAAACAACACTTACACCCAGAGATACCGCCATTTCCGGTGCTCAAGAAACGGCCCTTATATTCACGTGGGAACCAAGCCTCTAGCGTAATCTCACTGCGTTCTGACGTTGACACGGCCATAGCAACTCGGCACAGGTCTACCGAGACGACCTGACTCGATCTACCACAGCTAGGCGGATTGTCTGTCAAAGATAAGTTCGTGCCTCCCTGCACAAACTCGGCAAAGTTGACTTTGACATTGGGAATGTCGATTTGATCACCAAAATTGATACATTTTGATTGGAAGGCATCTCGACTGGCCAGGGCATCTTGGCTAGCTAGGGCTAGCGAGCCCATGCCGGCTAATAAGGGCAATGCATGAAGACAAATCATATCGGCGAGACCCCGTGGAAAATGATGAGGCTGCAATATCTGCAGGCCGGCGGGCTTTAATAGGTTATTATTTTCTCCGAGGTATGTCTCATGTTCTCATGGCGGCGGTATCATTGCGTATTGTGTACGGAGCTTCGGACGGCAAATACTAAGACCAGAACTTCCCGAAGAGCGAGTCTTGCAGATCCTTGACGAAAAGGCTAAATCGTCCGAAGTTTGGCCGAGTACCTAGTAAGTGGGGATTGGAGCTAAGAGCGAATGAGGACTGCCATGCTGCGGAGAAGACGGTTAAGAGCACCGATGACCGAGCACCGAACCCCGAAGTAGACAAAATAGCGGGGTGATGGTCAGGAGAAGCCGAAAATGGTACACGGAATTCTTATTTCCTCGAGTCAGCAGAAATCCGGGGATCTCCACAAATGCGGAGAATACCCCCTATCTAGGTTGATGGCTGTTGGAATCGGCACTTCTTGTCACTTTTAGGTATTTCACCATGAAGTTACCTGGTATTAATTCAAGGCAATGAAATGCTGCAGAATAATCTTGAAGATGTTTGTATTTTGCTGTGCTCCTTTGATCTAAATAGTAAATATATATCTTGGCTCTTATCCTTTGAACATCCACGTAGAGACTGCTACTGGTCTGCGCTCCATCGCACTTTGTAGATCCCGATCTTACACCGGCATGGCGTGAGAGATTCTCTGTCAAAGATTTATCTCGTCCGTAAAGCTCTAGACATTGTTTATCAGCATGTCTTCGGTGGCGGGAGTTCCATAAACAAGGTAAAATTTACAACGGAGTTCTACATTGTTACCATATACGTGGACGATTGGAAATTTAGAGGTTCACAGGTCAATGTGATCGTCTTAAGGCCGCATCATTGTGACGCAAAATCCGTTGGCAAAACACATTCAGATGTAGTAGAAGAACCTGAGTACTAATCGACTGTAACGAAATGGTCAAAAAGTCCAGCCAAAACCAACCGCCAGTCAGGCAGAAAGTTCGATCATTCATCGCTATGCACGATCGTCAATTACAAGTACGAAGCATTGGTAAACAGTGGTGGCTACTAACCGATATTGGTGCAGCTCTTCCTCAAAGGCTTGCAACCTGTCAGTCTGGTCCCCAAGCGTCACATGAATAGAATAAAAGTCCCTTCGTAGAGCGGCGAACTTCTGTTGAATCACCAATAATCTAACTCTGAACCTCTCTTTGTTGTCCTGCGTAACCTTAGCCTGCTCCGAGGTTGGCGTATCGCGTAGAATTAATTCCGCGTCCGCCTGCTTCTTGAGCTCAATCATCTCCTTCTCTCGTATCCTCAATTCTTCCATAGAGACTTTGATATCCTTCGCAGTATCCTCGATTATTCGCACGATTATCCATATACGGAACTGGGTAGAAAAGCGCTGGATCCACGGTGCTGCTAATGGGATAAGAGCGAGGCCGATCATTGGGAACACAACGAATAGAATGTGCTCGTTCATGATGAAGGGTTTGGAGTAATTAGAATGAGGCAAGAAGTGCTTGATTGAGTGACTGAGATATTGGGAGATTAAAAGGTGACGAAGTAACTCTGGAACCTCAAACATAATTGGAAAGAGCTACGTAGCTATTTTCTTGTCTTTCCTCTTTGACTTTTTTGTCTCACATACAATTTCATACAATTTCCTTGGATGAAAAGAGCAAAGAAGGAATCTCACCCAGGTCTCACACAATCTAAACCGTTGATGTCATCTCATATCTACAGCGGTAAGAATGACTTCTTTGGTAGCCTGAATATTCATGATCTCGCCATCATATAAGAACTCCGCTCCATTTGCCGAAATCCTACTCAAACTAGAAGCAAAGAGCACTAGAAAAACTGTTGCTCTTGTGATTATACTCACGTTGACACGTTGGGATGCTAATCTACCATATTCGTTATCTGAGCTGCTGTGAAGACCTGAGGTGGGATATATGGTGGCCATGTAATCACGGGTGCCAATCGTCTTTTTGTCTGCAAGGATTTCGACGTTATGCTCTTATCCTTGGTTTTTGAATGCATCTTTCCATGCTTCTCCGAAGGGAAGGCTCTTCTTGTCGTTCAAGGTAGGAAAGACAACATGGATTGGTCGACGAGCAGAATCAGACTAAAGCTCAGTCGCATATAGAGCGGGCTCTGGTGCATTCGAAGTATATGATCTGTGAAGAGAATCTCGCAAGGTGCCCCGGTTTCAACTGGGATTTCCCATTTGTGCGCATGCATTGATTGCAACCGCGACGGGGGAGTATATACTAGCCACCGTGAACCTTTCCCGAAAGAGGATCTAGCTCTCGGCTGTTAAAGCCGGCCATAGTCGGTTGTAGATGGGATATTTGGACACGCCATGTTCAAAGAAGGTTTATTCATTATATCAATGATATTTTAACGTTGATTGGGTGGGCATAGGATTGTTCTTATCTAAAGACTGGGCAGCCACCTGGGCAGCCACTAGGGAACGAAGGACCATTTCCAACGAGACTGTCGCATCTTGACCAGAAGCAAACCTATCACTATCAATTTGTTCCTATATACAAGCCAAGTTCATGATAACAAAATTAGTGGAGAGAGCAATGTATACAACATATGTATACATCAACCAATAAGACACCCGCTCTAACCGCTATCGTGTAGACTCCACATCTCCGCAGTCCCTTCGGAGATTCCGCCGAGTCTCCGAGCACATCATTAGCAATTTCTCTAAGACTTCAGTTCATATTTAGACACGCCATGTCTACAGATGAAACTGTTAGAGAGCCTGCATCTGAGCAGACGCCCCTCCTTCGGGATGGGCCCGATGCCAATGACAATACCCCACTACCCCAGGAACCCAGTACCAAGGAGCTGATTTGGATCCTCGGAAGCATCTGGCTCGGTGTCTTCCTGGCTGCTCTTGGTATGCACCCAGACTCTTTCGCGAGAAACAAATTTACTAACTTCAGCTTTCATTGCAGATACAACGATCGTCGCGACGCTCTCCGCCCCCATCTCTTCGTCCTTCAACTCATTCTCACTGCTCTCGTGGCTAGCCACCTCTTATCTGATCTCCAATGCCGCCTGCCAGCCTCTCAGTGGCCGATTGACTGATATTTACTCTCGTCGCTGGGGACTTGTGTTCTCCAACGTTTTCTTCGCCCTTGGCAATTTGATCTGCGGCCTAGCAAGAGCGCAATGGGTTATCATCCTTGGTCGCGTCGTGGCCGGTGTTGGAGGAGGCGGTCTTACCGCGATCTCGACCTTCGTCACTTCAGACCTGATCCCTCTCCGCAAACGAGGTATCTGGCAGGGTATCGGAAATATCTGCTACGGCGCTGGCATGGGACTTGGAGGTGTGTTTGGCGGGTGGATCAACGACACTCTGGGATGGAGATGGGCGTTTTTGCTCCAGGTTCCCTTCCTGGTCATTTCATGCATTCTAGTCGCAATTAAAGTCGACATCCCCGTGAAAGAGTCGGATACCGCACGCATCAAACGCGTTGACTTCCTCGGCGCCATCACTCTGGTTCTGACACTGGTCACATTATTGCTTGGCCTCAACACCGGCGGAAACCAAGTGCCCTGGACCCACCCGCTGGTGCTGACATCTCTAGTTTCCTCTGCTATCTTCCTCGGTCTGTTCATCTACGTTGAAGCTAAGGTTGCTTCTGAGCCTGTCATTCCCGTGCGCCTTCTGCTAGACCGCACCGTGGCAGCTGCTTGTCTGACTAATTGGTTCGGTACCATGGCTGTATTCGGTCTCCTCTTTTACCTACCGGTTTACTTCCAGGTGCAGGGACTTTCTGCGACTGCTGCCGGTGCGCGGTTAATCCCGCAGGCGATCGGCACCTCGATTGGCTCTTTGGGATCGGGTCTCATCATGCGCGCCAGTGGTCATTATGCATTCCTCAATTATGTTGCCATGGCTGTTCAGGTTCTCTCCGCTGGGCTTATCTGCACCTTGAATCTTTACACGCCTGTGGGACTACCGTTCCTCTACTTCTTCCTGGCCGGTGCATCCTATGGTAGTATGCTAACCATCACCTTGGTGGCGCTCATCTCTTCTGTAGACCACCAACACCATGCTGTGGTGACATCTGCTTCGTATGCCTTCCGCAGCACTGGAAGTACGATTGGTATCACGGTCGCTTCGGCTGTCTTCCAGAACACCCTGAAGCTTGGGCTTTGGTCTCGACTCGGTGAGCGCGAGGACGCCAAGGAGCTGATTGGACGGCTTCGAGATAGTTTGGATGAGATTTGGAAGATGCCTGCAGAATTGACTTCTGGAGTGCTTGACGCATACATGGACTCCTTGCGGGCGGTATTTGTTACATTATTGGGTTTGGCCGTCCTGGGAGCATTGACAAGTCTCGCCATGAGAGAGCACAAGCTGCACAACAACCTGGCCCGACGATAGAGTGAGCATTTATTCGGGCATAGAAAAATGTTCGAGTATTGTCATATAGATCAGCAATATACAAAGCACCTGGGGGTTGATCTAGTTCAACTCCCTTTTATACCACAGTCTCGGGTTTACATTTCAACATTGCATGAGCTGAACAACCCAACAACAAGTAATGTACAGGAAGAGACCAATAGAACAGCATTAAACAAGTATATGTGGAAGGTATTCAAACCTGAAGTTGTACTAAGAATGCGCTTGCTGATCTCAGGCATTGACCGCTTCTGTGCCCAACAACTCGCCAATCAATCTGAGCTCCTCCTGTACGGCCCCGTCTTTAACCGCCATAGACCCCCGAACTAGCATTTTGGCACACTGTCATTGGTGGATCGCCCCCTTCGAAAGAATCTCGGCATTTTTTTCGCTGTGAAACAACACTATTCATTCGGCCGCTCATCATATTGCATGTGGCAAAGACGTGGCGACGCATCCAGACAACGCAACGACCTCACCGCTCGAGGAAACCAGTTGATCGCCGTTGCACAAAACAAAGCGCCAGTCCCGATTTCAATTCCTGGGTTGCATGATTGGACCTGATCAGACCACCAGTCTGATAACTTATCTCTTCCTGCAGTACGGGAGTCCCCAATTGACCTTGTTTTACCGCCTCTTGACCTCGATTCTCTCTACTATTTGCGCCTACCTATACCTTTCCTACGAGATTTCTTCTATCCAACCGCCTTATTCTCATACAGTTCATCCCGCCTTACCGGTCGCTTTGGCATGGCAGTTGGATTCCGACCTAACATCTCACCAATTAAAAAAGGCAATACCATTACAAAGGGGTCGTGGTTAAGTGATATGGAGGTGGATGGAGGCTGTAAGGAAACCGTGATTGGAAACAAAGCGGTGCAAAATGCGACATCATCCCAACCTCGGCGCCGCCGATTGCTCTTGTCGACGGATAGTGCTTTCGCCGATACCGTCCTCCCGTCCCTCGTTCAGAACCCATACATCGAGCTGCGACTGATCACCGACGAACCCTCCGCTTTGCTCACGGGCACCAACAAGATCCCGCACTACATGGATACAGTCGATAGCCAAACATTTGATAAGAAAACCGGCGCGCGGAAATGGCTCAAGGCGAAGACGGCGGAGCTGTGTGAATGGGCGGACATGCTCTTGGTTGCGCCCATCGATGCTGGGGCTCTGGGGGCGATGTTGGCCGGCTTGACGAATACCTTGACGTTGGCGCTTCTTCGTGGCTGGGTCTCGAAGAAACCTGTGATCCTCATTCCTGGAATGACAGTGTCGGAATGGGACCACCCGCTCAGCACTCGGCAACTCGATGAAATCAGTCGTTTTTGGCCTTGGATTCGCACTGTCAAGCCTGTGCTCTGGAAGTCGAACGGGCCCGAAGACCTGACAATACTACCATGGGACGGCCTGGAGGAGTTACACCAGACACTGGAAACAACGTTAAAAGTACCGCCGTGGGAAGCTACCCTGTCGACCAGAGCAATCCCCCATGGCACCACGGTCCCGGTTAAGACTGCATCGAAATCTACATCAGGAACCGCCACCGGCTCCACACCACAAACGAAACATACCGGCAATGCCGATTTTTTACCATTGGAAATTTGGCTGAATGTGTTTGAGGATCAACTTCGAGACTGGGAAACAGCGAAAGCTGTGGGCATTCCAACTCACCTCCCAGTCCCTCAAGAATGGCAGAGCCATCTACCCAAAATGTCTACTACAGCCTCGCTCGAATATACTATTTTGCGAGGATCCTTCGCTGCAATCAAAAAACGCATTGATGCGCTACCTCGCTGGAAACCTCTCTCCGACCTCGCTTGCCACCTCATCGTCAAATTCTCCCGCACCGACATCCTCTCCTATCTCACCGAAAACCACCTGGACCTCCTCTGGACAACCTCTCGACTCACTAATATTCCATACCGAGCATCTGCAATCTACGGCAACCCGAACGTACTGACATGGTGGCGCGATGCGCCCGCTCTCCCAAATAAAGAGTACATGGCCGACGCCATGGACGGCGCCTCCCGAGCCGGGTTCGTCGACGTACTAGATTGGTGGCTCCACTCCGGGCTCCCGCTACGATACAGCGAGCGTGCCCTTGAAGCCGCCAGCGCGGAAGGCCGCGTCCCCGTACTCGACTGGTGGAAAACAGCATCCACCAACGCCCCAGTGTCCAGCCCTTTACCTCTCAAAGTCGGCAAATCCGTTTTACTCGCAGCGCAGTCAGGCCGCACCGCATCACTGGCTTGGTGGGACGCATCAGGCATCCCATATAGCCACGCCGAGAACGTTGCTCGTATCGCGAGCACGCACGGTCATGTCCACGTCCTTGAATTCTGGTACAAACTCAAGGGCCCAAAGATGATCTTTGATAACCAGGTGTTAGTGGGCCCGACGAAGAACGGCCACGACCACATTCTGCAGTGGTGGAAATCCTGCGGTATGCGCGTTGAATTCAAGACTTGTGACATTGAAGAAGCGCTTGAGGATGCCGATCCGAGCTCTGGCGCTGAGGGTCGTGTTCGGCGTTGGTGGGAGCGGAATGGGCTGAATCTTGGAGTTGGTACGAGTGAATGGATGAGATCGAAGGTTCTGTGAGAATTCATTTTGCATCACTGCATGGCTGGTTTGCGGTTTTTCCGTCTTTTGGCGTCTTGGGAAGGGACTCATCTTTCCTTTTCTGTTCATGCGGTTGCGTTCTGTTGTTCTTTTTCATTTCATGACGACAGATGATGACCACCCACAATACCCATTTGAATATTCACAATACTATCATTTTCATCGCGTGTTAGAGCTTCGGTTTCTCTCGGAGGCTCTAATGGAATATATCTTGTCTGCGAGTGATTCAAATTGAATCTACTTTTTACATATCATTCTTTTCGGTTAAATAATAATACAAAGCTATGATCATATGTAAATCATGTTATAAATTATTGAGCAAAATATATATCAACTCAGCACGAAAGTTTCCTTCGCCGTTCACTTTACGTTTAGCCTTAAACCCCAGAGACCTCGGGACGGCCCCGGGGCCTTGGAATTGCTGAGTCAAGCCCCAGCTTGCCGCTGTGGCTACAAGACTCCACCCGTAAATCGCAACCATCCAACAACCTCCAACCCAATCAATTACCAATTCTGCTGATGCTGGCACGCAAGGTTCTGCGACGCGTGCTGCGCGGCTCAAATCCAAGCGCCATATCAACCTGTACGCGACAGCCATCACCAAGTCCTTATAACAACATCCCGTCAAATCGTATCAATGGCCTCCACAGCATCACAACAAAAAGACCAAGCGTCGCTCAAAACATAAGACTAAATATCCAATCCCGAAGTCTGATCACGGCCGCTATTCCAAGCTTTGCTGTGCCACCTCTCATGTTCATCGGGCTCCTACTCGGCCTATGGACCTGGAAATGCTTCTGGATTATTATCATGCAAAATAAGCTCCTCTATCTCTCCTGGCTGCCTCCATTTACAAGATCTGAGGTCATTTCAGATTATAAGGCTGAATGCAGACCCGTGCAGTGGGAGGAGAAGCAGATTCGCAGTTTAGATGGGACTAAATTGGCCATTTGTGAGGGTCAAATTCCGGTTCCTCGGAAGGAGCATGAGTCTGTTTCAAATACTGCTGCTTTACAAAATAAACACCTGGCGAAACCGATCCCAAAACGGAAAAATTCCGTTGTGATCTGTTACTTCCAAGGCAATGGCGGATCGACTCCTATGCGATTGCCTATTCTCTCTCACGTCTTGCGCGCAATTGCGGAAACGTCAAGATCAACTTCATCTCCTATGTCTGGCGCCGAAGTCTCTCAATATACTATCGCTGCTCTATCATATCGCGGCTACTGGACATCATCTGGTCGCGCCACACAGTCTGGTATTGAGCTGGATGCCCAGGCATTCTTGAATTGGGTTTCGGAAACATATGCGTCCCCAGAAACCGATCTTGAAATTGTGATTTGGGGACACAGTCTAGGTGCGGCTGTTGCAAGCTCGGCAGTATCTACATATATTCCCCGCCAACATGAGGGTCGAATCTCCTCAGATACAAACAATAGCAAGCCCCTGGCGCCCATTTCCAGGATCATTTTGGAGGCGCCAACATCCAGCATTAAAGATATGCTCATCAGCCTTTATCCTCAGAAATGGCTTCCGTACAGGTATCTTTGGCCGTTCTCTTGGAATACCTGGGATATCAAGGCGAAGATGAAACAAATGGCTACCTGGAGAGACCAACCAAGGTCTCGAATTCCCAACCCTGAAGCTACGCCATCAATACCTCGCTCGCTTCCGCCAATCTTTCTTCTATCTGCCGAGAAAGATGAAGTCATTCCACGATACGTACCAGAGCAGTTAGAAAAGCATGCCAAATCCCTCGGCTTGGAGATCGAGAGAAAAGATGTCCGCGGCGCGATGCATATAGAGGCACCACTCAAACTGGATGGTAGGAAAGCAATGGTGCAATTTATCCTCAATGGCACATCTGTGCCTAGGACGTAACATAATAATCTCATGATAGATACCACATAAATGAATGAAAGTACCATAGTACCTTACTCCCACTTCTCAACATGCACATGTTTACCCTCCGCGTCCTTCATCAACGCCTTGATCTTCCCAAATTCTTTAGAAGCACCAGACTCCCCGAAAGCAACATGATCCTGGACTTTGTTCCACCCGCTGAAAAGAACAAACTCCTCATCTTCGCCCTCTTTATCGATGCGCCACGCACCGCAGACAGAGAACGGAGCTGTGTATGCTTCCAGGTGAGACACAGCAGCTTTGAAAACAGCGTCGAATTCATCTTTCTTGCTTGCCTCGACGAAGCATCGGGTTATAGCAAGAACAGGTGCATCTAGTGGGATTTTAGATGTAGATGGCTGGATCTGTTAGCTTGTATTTCTTGATACCACATCTTTGAACAACGAGGTTACTTCATTGTCAAGATTCAAAAATAACTCACATCAACATCTAAGTGAAACATCCAGCTAACATCAAGACTACTCTGCAGCTGTGCGAGAAGGTTCTGGTTGACTTCAGATGAAAGCCATTGGCCTTCGCCTGTGTGTTTCTCGACAGAGTCCCATCCACCTAGTAGGTAAAAGGATGATGGGTCTTCGATCTGGCTGAGATATGTGACCTGGTGACCAGAGTATCCTGTCTGTTTCTTCTGGGCTTCTAAGAGGGAGGTTTTGGTAGAAGATGAGGGGTTTTGCGCTTTGAAGCGGAGGAGGGCGATTTCGGTCACGGGCATTTTGTCGTCTCTTAGAATAGATGGCCTGTGTTTGGTGTTTTGAGAAGGAATGTGTCTGATTTGTACTCAATTGTTGAGGGTTGCGCATTGTTTTATAGGTCTATCTAGTAAGCTGATCCAGGGTGGGGGCGCTTTGTAGGCAGCTGCTGGAGGCGTCATCTAGCTAATTCTTGGCTCTATTTGACTAATCGATCACTATCTAATGTGTTTCATGTAAGACTGCTGCTTGATTTATAGCCGGTAGACGTCTCTGAATGTTGGGCTTTAGAGCTACAAGCTAAGGATTCCTTCAAAACCAAGGCAGTATATATCTTCGACCCGGAGTTTGGATGAAGTTCCTAAAAATTGCTATGCAATCAATGCCCAATCGATTTAAGAATACACACACCCGAGACGCCATCAATCAACATGGATGTTCACCTTTCAGCAACACGATAGCCAATAGCTTTGGGTATACCGATCAAGTACAAGACCAGACAATGTATGAAAGAAACGAAAACCGCAAAGCGCAAAAGTAAAGACCCCGAACTTCAGCATTGTAATCACACAGATCAGACCTCTTTCCTGTAGGAGCATTAATAACCTGAGATGTATTAGAGAGGAAGAATGACATACCAAGAAAGCCCAGGTTTCTCAATGGCCGGGGTCTTAATAGCATTCCTGTCCCCAAAGGGATTGTCGTCATCATCCTCTTCTTCCGACTCACTCTCGCTCTCAAAGATTTGGCGTGTGTGCTGCGACGAAGATGCAAGAGGCAGACTATCAGGACGATTCGGCCGTGGCGGCTTCGCGGGATTGATGTTAAGCCCAGCAAGGCCGTCATTGACGTCTGTGTCGTGCAGTCCAAGTCCATGTCTTTGCTTCCAATTTCCTTCCAAAATGTCGTCCTCACTATCACTGTCATAGTCCACACTCTTGTCTAGCACCTCATATGCCATCAATGCATCCACCAGCTCCTCATTTGCATGGATGAGACCGCCCAGGAACTCTTCTGTTTCTATATACTGGATGTATCGAAGGATCGTATGACGAAGCTCCTTGCATGTATCGAATCGGTTACTGCATTCCGCGTCCTCGCTCACTCGATGCGTCTCGCGATTGACGAGTTTAAGAGCATTCAACAGGTTGGTGCTGGCGACGGAAGACGCAGCAAGTGCTTGCAGGATCTCCGGACGCTCCTTTTCCATATCAAACCTCTTGAGACTAATTGATAATTTCTTATCTTTCTTGACTTTCTTGGGCTTGGACTTTTCTTTGGGGCTGGTCAGCAAAGTGGATGGTCCGCTGCCCCCTGACACAGATACAGCATGACCCATCGGGGGTTCGTTTGAATTCGAGCCCTCGCGGAGAACTTTGGCTTTTGCCTGCGTTGCAGGCTGCTTTCGCTTGGGAACTTGCTTGTATAGCGCCGTGACCTTCGCCATGCCGGGGGTGTCCTTATAAGTTGTTGCCCATTGTCCAAAAATCTGTTTGCATTTCTGTTTCACGAGTGGATCCGAAACGGAATCAGTAGCTGCAATTCGCAGACGTTCGAGCAGTGCCTCATCGGCGAAGTCGCGCAAGAAACGTTCTCCGGCATTTTGAACAAGGAAGTCGAGGATAGTAAGCGCGCGCAGTTGTCGGTGGATATTGCCGTATTTTCTGGACTTGTCAGACTGATTTTTAGCACTGTCATTGCTCGTAGACTCACAGCTTCTTGCGAAGAGCACGGCTTGCTTCCATTGGCCCGCTGGCCTGGATGCGAACTACTTCCACTAGATCAACGATACCGCTTGAGTCTTCGACTTCATATTGCTCGCTCGTAAGGACCTCAATTTGTACGGTCACTGCCGAATACGGTTTCTATTAAAAGCCACATCAGTCGGTGCTAGAAGGGTCTATCATCTTTTACCAGGCAGGTGACTCACGGAGGATTGGAACATTCTGGCTTAGTCAAGGGGATAGCCCTATAAAACGGTGTATACTTGTTTTGAGTAGGAACAAGTCTGGGGAGTCGAAAATTGTCCCTAGTACCAAACAGCCCACTATCACCCCACGCTGCGATGTCGGTATATAAATGACCCCGCACGGCGTTGTTTACACGAGCGTTTCGCAAGAATTGGGTATGTAGGTATGGGTTACCGGCGGTGATAGAATACAAGTTGATGCGCTAGAAAAATGCTGGGAAGGAATTAACAGTGTGAAGGGCAACATAGGGTTCAGGGAGCTTTCGCGATACCTTCACGTGGTGTTGGTGACGTCGGAGGCCCCAGGGGGTCTTGGCGTCCGTTTATCTGATAAGCGCAATGGAAAATGGCGCGAATGCAGATACAATATGTAGCCTGTTCCCAGCTTGTCCAAAAAGGCACCCAAATTGTAAAATGGCCTTGCCACAGGGGAAGAGGGGGTCCAAACAATGCCGAAACAGTTTAAGCTTATCGGCTCCTCGTGACTATTCCGGCCCAAAGGGGATTAGGGCGGGGTCTAATGCCTAAGGCCAACTACATGAGAAAGAGATCATTAAATCGCCATAAGCAAACTAGAAACAACCAATAAGACCTCGAGAAAGCAAGAGTAGTCAAGCCTGGCTACATTTCTTGCCAATTGATCTCGGATGAAGCTTTCGTCTACTCACCGGACAGATCCATCCCCACGCTCCTATTTGTTACGCGTACTGTCCCGCTTCGTGGTCTGCTCCACCCTTATTCTAGTCGTCAGCGTGGCTCTGAAATCCCGGGCTCGTCTTTCCCTCCTCCTCCCCCACCTTTCCTCCAACCAACCTACAATCATGTCTTACCAACAGGAACGTTACATTGCCGAATTGGCCGTCCAGCGAGCGTGTCTCCTTACACAGAAGGTCTTCTTCGAGAAGGCCAAGGGCACAGTCTCTAAGGATGACAAGTCCCCCGTCACCATCGGCGACTTCGGAGCTCAGGCACTGATCATCTCAGCCATCCGCAAGAACTTCCCCAACGACGAGATCGTCGCCGAGGAGGAGGCTAGCACCCTGCGTGAGGACAAAGACCTCAGCGCTGAGATCTGGCGCTTGGTCAAGGACATCAAGCTGGATGATGCGGAGAGCGATAATATCCTGGGTGGCCCCCTCACCAGTGAGCAGAGCATGCTGGACATCATTGATAACGGCAACAGTGCCGGTGGTCCTAAGGGCCGCATCTGGGCCCTCGATCCCATCGACGGCACCAAGGGCTTCCTCCGTGGCGGCCAGTATGCTGTGTGTCTTGGTCTGATGGTTGACGGTGACGTCAAGGTCGGTGCCATTGGTACTCCTAACCTCCCCGTCGACGATGCTGCCCCCATTGATGCCAGCACCGGTGCCCAGCAGTCCGCGACTGCCGGAAACGGTGTCCTGTTCTCCGCTATCCTGGGTGAGGGTGCCACCAGCCGTCCTCTGGCCAGCGGTACTCTTGCTGCTAGCAAGCCCATTTCTATGCGCCCCGTCGCCAAGATCTCCGATGCTGTCTTCTGTGAAGGTGTTGAGGCTGCTCACTCCGCCCAGGGCGACAACGCTGCCGTTGCTCAGCTTCTTGGCATCACCGCCCCCAGCGTGCGACTGGACTCGCAGGCCAAGTACTGCTCCATTGCCCGTGGTGCCGGTGACGTCTACCTCCGTCTCCCCGTCAAGAAGGACTACCAGGAGAAGATCTGGGACCACGCCGCTGGTGACTTGATTGTGCGCGAGGCTGGTGGCCAGGTGACTGACATCTACGGTAACCGCTTGGACTTCAGCAAGGGCCGGACCTTGGCTGTCAACAAGGGTGTCGTTGCTGCTCCCAAGGCCCACCAGGACCAGGTCATTGCTGCCGTCAAGACTGTCCTGAAGCTGTAATTGATTTATGATTTTTAATTTCGTCGCCTCGTCCACTGCACTTGAGCTCCTGGGGAGCAGAATCAGTCTGAAGTAGATTTGTGATACCATCGCTTGTGAGAGGAATAAAAAAATACATATGTGACGATAAGAGTACAAAACACGGAACCAAACACAAAATGTCCCGCGTAGCTGAAAAGAAATGCGCCTCCAGTCTATTTGATCTTCTTGGCCTTGAGCTTGATAGTCTCTCCGTTGACGAAGATACCCTTGCCCTTGTACGGCTCGGGGCGTCTCCATTCTCTGATCTCGGCGGCGAATTGGGTCACAATCCGCTTGTCGACACCCTCCAACAGGATTCTGGTAGGCTGCGGTGTGCTCGCCACAACACCCTGGGGAATGCCCAGTTCAATTGGGTGGGAAAAGCCGACCTTGAGGGAAACGAACTTTTGGCCGGGGAAGGCGGCTTGGACGGTGGACGCCTTGTCCTCGATGGTGGCCCTGTAACCGACACCAACCATACTCAAGACACAGACATGGCCTTCGGAGACGCCGAGGATGTGATTCTGGAGAAGTGCGCGAATGGTTCCTAGATGGAAAAACAAATTGTTAGAGGCTAATGACTTGCCGCGGAGAAAAGACAGGAGAACATACCCCACATAGCACGCTGGTGAGGAACTGTCTGATCCAAGACTGACAAACTAGCCTTCTGGCCGGTCTCATCGGGGGTGATAGTGAGGAAGGAGGGAATGCTCAGGGTCATCTCGCCTGTGAATCGGACTAGTTAGCATCCATCGGCCGGACCACATTTCAACCATAACACATTACCCTTGGGCCCCTTAATCTCAGCCATAAACTTAGGGATATCCTTTCCTCGTGTCCGGGTGAGAGTCGCGGGGAGGTCAATGAGCTTAAATGACACCTCCGGGGGGATGGAGAGCGCGGCACCTCCGACTCGGGACTGCGCCGGGGATGTGGTTGAGAAGCATTGTGTGCGGGGGGAGAATGCGGGAGCGAGGAATATGGGTAGGGAGCCGCGCTGGAAAGGTTCTCGGAGAAGCTGGCGGGCGCAGCGTTGGGGTATGGAGCACGACATGGTGATTTGCGCGTGTTGGGTCGGATGCTGTGTTGCGGACTTTGGATTTTGTTCGCAGATGGATTACCTCAATGGGTTTAGCGTGCACGTGATTATCTAGATCATTTGCTTCCAAAGTTCTTCCCAAGGTTTATCCTCTCGGCTACAGCGGTATAATATTCGAGTCCATTATGTGAAGAAATTGACTTGAGGTTGGAGATTTTATATTGGTTGTCTCTGTTGCCAAAGGTTGTTGAAACCTGCTTGGCGATTCCATATTGGATGCGTCTGTCGCCCGAGGTTGTTGAAACCTACTACCTAAGAATCCGAGGGCCATTCACGTCCACCACGCCCAAATGAAAGAAAATGACGTACACAATTTACCTATATTCATTCTCATCCAAGCATAGGTATCTCTTCAGACACCGGCATACTTCGGAGACCGACATTCCTCGAGATACAAAATCTCAGCTAGGCTTAACACAGGTGAGGCTCCATAATCCGAACCTCACGGCCAACTCAGCATCAATATCAAGCTCGTTCCCAGTGAACTCTTCCTCGGTGTTCAATCATGTTATCCCTTCGATTGAAGGACATATCGCATGAAGGACAATCGAATGAGCGCGGAGCTATATGCTGTGTGTCGACGTGACGCAGCAACGCTGGTTTTCCGGAGAAAGGATTGCGGTATGTGCAGTCTTTCCAATGGCATTGGAAAGATTGTTGAGCTTTCCTAAAGTGGAAAAAAAAGGTATCAGTTAAGTGTTAAAACCTGATGATGAATCAAGAGGTTTCTCACTCCTGTTTCTGCTGTCGTCCTTGCTTACGAACATAAGCTATCTTTCCCTTGGCATAGCTATCACCGCTAGCCTTGGCCCGAGGGGCCTTTGGAATAGATGAAGCGGGCCCTGGTAAATTGGTGCAAGCGACGTCGTGCCTAGGGCCGAGAGAGCCTGTCACCGGGCCCCCGGGGGCCATAGCTGCACGGTCATTCGCGATTGGAGATTGGTGTATGGCATTCTGGTTGAAGCGATACAGATCGCAACCAGCCGAGGGCGAGGTAGAAGGCGCAACGAAGCTAGACGCAACGGATGCAGTAGGATATTGTATGTGATAGGTACATGGAATAGGATTCACGGATGCTATGGATGGCTCAGCCAGCATAGAGGTTGATGATTGATGGACAAGAGGGACGAATTGGGAATAGTTGAGGTTTGTCATAGTCCAGTCATAACCATCTGCCACTTGTGAATGATCACAGTGCGTGTTGCAAGAAGGTGATGCCATACTAAACGACTATGATAGAAGAACAAGTATTAAAAAAAACAAAAAAAAAAAAAAAAAGCTAGTTAAGCAATGTGTCGAGTGAATGAACTGCAAGGTCTTGGGTAGAGGGCAATATTTAAACAACAATTTCAAGGTTAGGTGCAGCGAGATTGACCCCGTCACTCATCCTTATTTAGGGAGAAAGACAGCTGATGCCTCTAGAACAATAGAAAAGCTAACAAATATTAGATTAGATTTAATTTCTAAATTCAAAATTCAAAATTTAAAAATTCAAAATTCAAAATTTAAACATAAAAATAAAAATATTAGTAGTTAGAAAGCAACCATAGATGCACATGAACCCTACCTAACTCCGTACGTACATGATCAACCTAAAACAAACCTGATCCATTGCCTCCTTGCAGCTACTCTGCATAATGCTAGCCATATGAAGTTAGCAGGACTAAACTCTTCATTTCACCTGGTATCGATTGGCCCAGACTTCATCCGATTTGCTAGAGCTCCTGCCAATTGAGGCTCTCCCATATATTTTTGCCTCTTGCCCGACATTTTGCTGCCTTGATAGGATGGCCGATGAGCACGAGGACCACGATCCACCTACCCACTCCCGTTTACTTTCATGGTCAGCTTGTACCCATAACCGTGCCAAGCCCACAACAGCCACATTTTTGTTGGTACGGCGCAGTAAACCATGAATTTCGAATAAGCAGACTCTGTACTCCGTACGGTATGGGCGTATTTTTAAAAAGGCAGGTACTCAGGGTACTAAATTTAGTATATTTATCTTTCTCAACCCCCTACATAATAGTAGCAAGACGGTAGGTACCTACAATTTGTATATACATCTCTAAGGAAATCAAGTCACTTTTTTCATATCTTACTTTGTATACTAGGGCAACCCTAGAAAGACCACCCAATTAGTACTTCGGCGCGGCACTAACCCAGCACCTAGGCACCATACCTAGTACCATACCTAGGCATTATGCCGGGCAGAATACACGATTTTTCCTGATCGTATTACATATTCCTCTAATATGTAAGCTAGAATTAATGGATATTATACATTTTGTTTCCCATGTACCTTTTGTATGTCCACGCTATAAAATATGTACCTATTTTCAAAATTTATCGTTGACCAACACAGGGTGCCGCTGGGATCAGAGTCCTCGTGCTTACCACCTTGGTATAGAGGGCAAAATTATACCGTTTTTGCATGCTTCTAGTATCTAATATGTACCTCCAATAGTCTTGGTATCATCATTAGAATGAGCATTATCACAAAGTTGCTTAGCGGTAACTACTTTGGTGGATGATTTCCGTCCAACACTATGCTGCAATACATGGTTGAAACCCGGGTGTTGAAATCCCTTTTGGGCCAGGTCTGGGGAACATCATAGTTTCATGGATATCACAATACGGCAATACTTAGCTCGCTACGCAGTCTTACTCCTTACCATACACCAACAAAGCCCACTCGTAGATTAAAAAAAAGACTGCATGGGGCAAATGCCCGAGTGCTGAGGGGAAATTCCCCAGGACCAAGTAAAGTGACCCAAACAACTTGGATGTCAAGTCTCACTTCCGAAGTCACCATTCATCCATTTCTTTCCATCTTAGAACATCCTTCTCACATACCTTTTTATACCCATTCATCTCAGGAAATATACATGAGTGATCAAAACCCAGGACCCGTCTAAAGCCACACTCGTTCACCGGGCTAGCTAGACCATTCAATATGCGGGCAATCAATGGCTTTCAAGCGCTTTCATATATTTTCTCGACACTTGCACAGCTGAGTCGAGCCAGTGCCTCCCAATACAGTAAGGCATTTAGATATGGTCTATAATCATTTGACTAACACAAGAAGACATCCCAATTCTTGCGCCCAAACCGCCAGACATCGACGCGATCTCTTTCCTCAGTTCCCGAGCACCAGACCAAGACGGCATCTTCAACGAAGCCGTCAAAATTCTGAACTCGATGAAATCTTCACCCTCGTGCAACCTTCTAGCAGCGACAAAACTAGTGAACTCATGTCAAACATTCAACGATGGGAAAGATGGCGCGCAAACGGATAGCCCAGAGACGCTCGACCTTCTTCGATCCGTCTATGCCGCACGCCTGGCATTGTGTGAGATCGATGGCACTGGCACCCCAACGCCTCCCTCGTGCCTCCCTGTCACCGTGTCGCCGCCTCCACAGAAGAATCGATTCGGCTTTGTGAGCCGACACAGAGGCTCTGACCCTGTCTCGGATGAACTCCCGAAGGAATTATTGGAGCAATGTCTCAAGACACTTGAGTCGCGACCACAGTGGTGGACTTCTTACAGCAACAATCGACAGAATGCACTTGTGATTTGCCATGCTTCGCGAATGGAGACGGAAAAGGAGGAGCTTATTGACCTGCATCGATCCATTGCCAAGAGCAGTCTCAAGCTCAACAATGGACTTCAAGAGGCTTTGCAGAATGCAACTGCACAGTCTGCGCAGCAGCACTCATTTATCCAAGCTGTTCAATCTCTACAAGAGAAGATTGTTACCGATATGGAAGCGACAGACTCTGTGTTCAAACGAACATTCGGCAAATTTCTTCGAGAAATCGAAGCTGGAATATGGTCTCTTCAAAATTCTATATCTGTGGCTTTGTCGAATGTGCGGACTGGGACGGGTGTCCTCGAAAAGGTAAAATTCAAGGGAGACTATCGGAGTTGAGGTATGTACTAACATTCAATTAGGATATCCGGAACGTATCGACCCAAGTGGAAGCACTTCAACAGGCTCTACGGAATGCACATCAGGACACAATGGCTAGAAGCCATGAGACGTTGCTGGCTCAAGAAACCAATGCTGTTGCTCAGAGGGATCTCGCATCTTCTTTGCACTTGTCGCTCGAGTCACTTCTTGACTCAGATATGGACCGAGTGTACCGAGGCATGCAGAGGTTCGACGCTGCTATGGTGTGCTAAATATGGATTTACCTTTTGGTATATACTGTGGGACTAACCTTTTGCCCCTTTTTGTAGGAATGGTTAACCAGCCGAATGAACATGATTCTTGAGCAAGAAACCAGAATGACAGAGGTACGAGTACATCTCCCATATGTCAACTATCTCACTGACTTTCAAAGCGACTTCAAAACATGGAAATCTTCATCCAACAATCCGAATCGAAAGCAAGCGAGTTACAAAAGGCCCAAAACCAACAAACAGAAGCACTATCTGCACAATCGCGGGCACAGGAAGCCATTCAATCTGACGTGCAAGTATCGCAAGCTTTGCTGGCCAAAACTAGCGTTGCTGCTGCCAATTTGCAATCCGTTATCGACGATGCAGCGTTTAAGTTCAAACATGTTCCGGGTTTCGGCATCGGAGGATCCTCCGCATGGTCTCTCTGTGCTGTCCTGCTCATCGTCATCGCCGCCCAGAACCTTAGGGTTGCAATCGCTTTATTTTTTCTTATTTTGGGTACGTGTGCTCTTCCTGATCGAGACTGATTGATGCTAATATAATGTGGCTTAGGGCATTCTGCTGCCCTGACCATCTTCAAATTTCTTTAGTTATACACATCCTGCGCGGTAATTTGCGGACCGGATACCATTGATACCCCGGCGTTATTTTTCTTTATTTTCTTATTGCCTTTCTATTTTTTTGCTTCCCCATATCTGCCATTTATGCTTGCATCACTCATGTTTAAAATTCATTCATTACATCTAGATCTATAGCAATGGAACAATCCAGTCTTCCACTATTTAATCCGAGGGAGCTACCTATCTCCCCTTTATGCTAATGGTATGAAACTAAACAAATAGATTGTTTCAGAAAAATGGGACGAAAGTGCAAGTAAATTAGCGTCAGCACAGCCACAATAACCGGAGCCAGAGCCAAGATAAGCTGCGAGATAGGACCCATTTATATAGCGATCAACCAATAGAGTGCCCTCCTGTACGCATCGGAAATGACATACGAGAAGCTAATTCCCCTAAAAAAACAAAAACGGCAAGTCGACAGCATCGATGGGTAGTCACGTGGGAGTAAATAGATCGACTGCGCGCTTCTCCTCCTTTTCGTTCGCAACGCATTCCTCATCGGATCTTGATTCGTATTTATCAAATCTCCCTCTACTCCGATCTCAAATTCGCTGATCAAAATGCCTGGTGTTCGTAAGTGATCCTAACGCATCCCCCATACAACATAATCCCGACCCAACATTTGGCGCCCCTCGGAACCCCAAGTACACAGCGCTAACGTTTCCCCCAGCTCCCGACGCTCTTAACCAGGTCAAGAAGGGCTTCAAGCGGTTCTTCAGCCTTCGCAAGAAGGCTGCTAAGAAGACAGCCGAACAGAAGACTGAACCGGCCCCTGCTGCCACTACTGCGACTGCTGCCCCCGTCGCTGCCGCGGCGACCAGTGAGACACCTGCCGAGAAACCCACCGCCCCCGCTGCAACCCCGGACTCTGCCCCAGGTATGACACTCTCTTATCAAATTGATATCAACTCCGTCGCGCTTTTGTCACCCAACTGACTAATTGATCTAATGTAGATGCTGCTAAGGTGCCTGAGACAAAGGACGCGAGCACCGCGGAGCCTGTCACCTCCTCTGAGATGACGGCTACTGCCGGTCCCGTCGAGACTCATTACGAACCTGAGGCTGCTGCCGCTGCGCCTGCACCTGCACCTGCTGAGGCCCCAGTTGCTGAGCCCGAGGCCCCTGCTGCTGCGCCTGCACCTGCTGTGCAGTCTGAGGCGCCTGTCGCTAAGGCTGAGGAATCTGCTGTCAAGCCCGAGGAGCCTGTCGCTAAGGCCGAGGCCCCTGTCGCCGAGGAACCCGCCGCTAAGGTCGAAGAGTCCGCTGCTCAACCCGAGGCCACTGCTGCTGCGCCTGAGGAAGCTGCCGCCAAGACTGGTAAGTCAATTGTCTGAACGATGCAGAGAATAATGCTAACATTGACGCTAGATGCTCCCGCTAAGTAGAAGTGTGAATATCTACTCGATTGGCGAGAATAGCCCCTTTTTTTTGCGAATCTGATCTAACTTGCGAGTGCTTTTTTTTCCCGCTCCTTATTTTGTTTCATACCCTCAGCGTTGTATATTAATCAGTTTCACCAAGCTATGCATTGCATGCCTTTTTTTTTCATATCGGCCTCGATCAGACCACTCAATATCATGCAAAGCTCTACTCATCCATTTCATAATCCTTACGCGACAGTAAAACTCAGCGCTTGAATTTGATATATGATGTTATTGTTGCTATCGACAAAGGGGAAAAACCAACACTCCCACGGGTATCACATTGAGAATCTATCCTGATGCTAGATAGTTTCATTCCTCCCCGCCAGAGGAATGATCATCCCCATCAGCCATAGCGATATCTTCAACGCTAACACCCGCCGCCGCAGCCTTCTGCTCTCTCGCCTTTTGTCTGCGCTTGAGCTTCCTATCGCGGTTCTTCCGAGTCCGCTTCTCCGCTTCATTTTCCTTGGCAGCCTGTGCGGCCGCAACGCGCTTGCGCAGCTGCACTCGTCGCTTCTTGCCTGGCTTCTTGCGCGTAAGTGGACTCTTCGAGACGGGTGCGCCCTCTACCACGTAGACCGGAAGACTGTTGGCTGGCCGTGGCAGTTTGGTCTGATGTCGCTTGAGATGGATGACTCGCCAGGGGAGATGGCAGCCCGGCTATGAATTAAGTTAGTATGTATAAAACTAACCAAGTGGGTGTTCACTTACCCATACTAGCGAGTTCGCCCATGTCAGCATGTGCTGCCCGCTAACGGCCATATCCTCGAATTGTTTCTTCTTTTCCGCTATCCGGATCTCGTCTTCGGTGGTAATTTCGCCGCTCCTTGTGCCCTGGAGTGAAGGTGTAGAGAAGTAATAATCCCACCCGCGGGAGGCTTTCACAAACCGTCCCTCGGTGCCAGCTCCAGATCCCGGTGTAGGTGAATGCAGCCGAATCCTCAATTTCTGGGTAGTCGCGGCCTCTGTATTTTTCTCCTTTGTATCCTTTCCGGACTGCTTGGTGGTATCTTCCGTTGATTTGGCGGGGGCACTGAATAGCCGGAACTCGAATTCTTGTTCTTCATCCTCATCCTCCGCAGGCTGTGAGGGATCATTGTCTTGGCTAGTTGTCTCCTGTGGAGTATCCAATTGATCGAGATTGAGTAGTTTTCCTAGGCGGGCGTATGCATCCTGGGCGGCGGCGTCATTTGGTGCTGGTGATGGCGAGCGAGATGATGCTGGTGAACGCATCTCATCGCGGCGGACGCTGTATAAGCCACATTAGTTGTTGGGTACATTGAGAAAAGCCTAGGTGAATTGCTTGCTCACATACCGCTTGGCATTTGGTAGATCAAACATGGTGTGGTGTGTGGGGGAGAGTCGTAAGACCAAAATGCCAAATCAAGAAAAACGGTGTTTCCACGCCGCTCTGCGGCCACGGCCTGATGACATGGCACGGACCGCCCAGCCTCAACTTCCAACTTCGAAGAAGTCCTTTTATCTACATTGTGACTCTCTACTGCGCCATTTGTTTCACTTCATATCCTCTGTTTTCTGCATATTCCACACTCATTACCTTCCGATAATTCCCTCACCTGCTCCAAAGGGTACCCGCACCTCAACTATTGGGGTGATTAATGCCTCGTGCCTATCGCATAGCGCAAACGTGCAGCCAAGAATATCCCCGGTTCTGAACTTCCGATCCCGATCCCTATAAATGGGTATCTGTGCCTCCTGCCTCGGCGGGAATCGCCACGAGTCTCCTGAGGTGAGTTCCGAGTTTGGAGCTGGTTTCCTGTCACCATGTTCAGCGCGCATTACCTCGGTCTGATGCGCAATGCGTGGGATGCCTGTCGCAGAGCACACTTGTCTAACATTTCTTTCTCAAAGCCTGAGTCAGCCCGTCTACTCGACGAGGACCCTTATCAAGCTGGATATGGCTACGGAGCACTCAACCATGCCCACCAGGCCAGCCAGCCGGATTCGGAATATGTGAGACGTGAAAGGGAGGCGCTGGAATCAATTTGCCAGCGGACATCTGAGTGAGTATACAATACTAGTTGCCCTTTGGTCTGGCATGCGTTGAGTGGGAACTGTATTCATGCTAATCATATCTCTCAGTTCCGTCATCGATATCTGGTCCATCCAACCACAACCACACCTTCGACCCCAAGCAACTCTTCACACCCCTATCTCTGCATCTCCCGTTTCATCCCAAAGAACTGACACAACAACACTTGTTACATCCACTCATCGCAAATCACCGCCAAGCCGCCCCACCTCCGGCGCATCAGGCACCGTACCAAAACACTGGGGTGAGGTTGTCGTGAATCCGAATAAGAAACGATCTCGTACCGATATCAAATCGGATGCTAAGGCCAGCCATGATGTGTTTGGAGTTCTCAACGTCACCTAATATAAGGGGGTTGGGACATGCATCACTGCACATTGACGCTGCACATTGACGCTGCACATTGACGATGAGATGCACACGACAAAAGAGGGTGCGGGCTGTGAGGTTAAAAATCAAGTAATGCAGATAAGGGTACTGGAAGACCCGTTTTATTATTTTCTCGTGCTGCGTTGTTATTTGAGGGATGTTTGTTTCTTGCATTGATCGCAGGTCGACTGTTTTTCGCACATACATAGCCATTCCTTTTCCCTCTCTTCATGGTCTGATAATACCCAATGGCGCAGACTTTTTATTTTGTTATTGGATTTTCTTTTCTTCATCCCATGTCGATTTCTTTTCTGTTGGCGTGTTTTGTTATTTTCAGAGTTTGTTTCTTTGTCTTCATATCATCTTGTCAGTTGCGCACTGCTTGTATATGTAGTTTTGTTTTCGAGTGCCGGACTTCACCCTTTATCTTTTTGCATAGACACAATTTGAATTTCCATCGCCATTATCCAGCGAGTTGCTGTAAATCAGGAGAACGTATGGATGTAGGCGCTGAAAATGCCAATCCTTCCATGGAGGGCATATATCGTACTAAGTCAACCCATGTAGAAATTTAGTTTTGGTTGGGATGGTTCCTATATGAAAAGTATTTCGTGCTTACTATACAATTGAGATATCACGAGAAGCATCATAAAAAATGAATATCACTCCCCATACATATGAGAGATTCAGCATCATTTCAAGGTTGTTCAACCCATGACTCCGCCGATAATTAGCGGAAATGCCTCTTGGGTGGACCGAAATACATAATAATAAGATTAAGAAAAGAAACAGACTTGAGGATTGACAGGGCAAAAATAAATGGATACATGATAACTCCCCTATGATAGAAAAAAAGAAAACGCCCGCTGATATCCAGTGCCGAGATGGGCATAGAAGAGAGTAGGTTGATGCAATATGTTCATGCCGGGTCGATCCTAAACCTAACGGAAAGGCTCGGACTGCAGACCATCAGACATCGTCCATTGTACCCGCAGGCTCTTCGCCATCAGACTCGTAGCTTCCCGCCGAGCTTAGCTCATCTTCTGACTCGGTGTCCTCGCCTGCTTCGTCCACAGCCTCTTTGCTAGCGTATTTGGCAACATATTCTGGTAGTGAGTTGTTAGTATCGCGTATTAGCAAACAAAAGCCTTTTGATTGTAACACACCTTTCACCTTTGCTTCGTATGCCTTGGGTTCCCTCATCATAAGCGCAGCTGCCTCCCCGTTGAGAGGATCCGAAGGGTTGGGGTAACGGAGGAGTTGGGGAAGGAAGACCTCAAATATGTTGAGCATGTCGTACATGGGTGACCACGTTTGGTTGATCACGTCAAGGCAGACCGAGCCGGACCTAGGGCGCAAAAATCACATTAACCTCCGAGTTTTGTTTCCATGCATGTCGAACCACCCTTAACTCACAGCTCGTCGATATTTGGGTGGAAGATCCTGTTGACGAATCCAATGCTCGGGCTTTTGTATGGGTACTGATCAGGCAATTCGACGTGGATTTTCCAGAGGCCTCCGGTGAATGGTGCTAGAAAGGTTAGTATGAGGTAATACCGGTTGATTATATGTGATACGTACTCTCTTCTGGGCCCTTGAAACGAACGTAGAATTCTTGCCTGTTGGTAGTAATTGGTATCGAAGAGCTTCGTTTGGTGGATTGTGGGGTAGATAAAGTACATACACTAGATTTCCGGAGTTAGCGTATAGATCCATAGCTGTCAAGGGGCCGGAACTTACTGTTATCATTGACTAGAGTCACCTCATAGTCACTCATGAGCCTATATAAACTGTCAGAATGTTTCCTGGCAACCAAGTATGCTCGCCGAGGCCGATTAAAAATGTTGGGAAAGCGGCGGGCAAATTGAAAGGCTAGGGGATTGTCAGTCGTACATCCTAGCCAAAGGTTAGTGCCGTTCATTTTGAATATTGCCAGACTTGCAGAGCGTACTTCATGACCTGTACAATGAACAAAAAACGATATTAGCATCTCCGGCGACTCTGGGGGCTTATCGGACTATGCGCAACATTACTCACATCTGTCTCGATTCTGCGCTTTGGGCTACTCATGTTGGCGGTTTGAATAGCGAGGGAGGATTTTGGATATCGCAGGTATTGTCGGCGGCGGGCTCTCACGGACAAAGCAGACCCAGCAGTGTCAAATGTCGTGCTTCACAACCAGATATCCCCGGAGTCGGAGCGGGGAAGTAATGGGCGGGGCAGATGATAGACTTTGAAATAGATGTTGAGTGATTAAAGGCTGAGTTTATAAGGGAAGCAAAGTGAGGAGAATAACAAATATCAAATAAGGCTTCACTTGTTAGACCTGAGACTAAAAGAAGAGAGGAGAATGAGGTCTTGGATCAATGATCCATTAGATCGGGCATGATGAGTCGATGAGTCAGCGCCTGCCGAGCCCGGCGCCATGACGATGACTGGGATAGGTGGATCCATGCCTTGTATGATCCACTTGCTATATCGTACAACTTGAGAAAAATGTCCGTTCATCTTACCATGATATTGTTGCCAAGGATAGACCTCTATATGGTGCGAATCAGCCAACTACAAACACCATTGGCATTTGGTTATACGCCTGTGAGTTGTTAATTCTCGCGGCTATTCTTCATAATGGTATAATGGTATTTCAGACATGAATGTACAACAAAGAGGCACATTTTCTACCGTGGAAACGTTACAGGTCATATCATCTATAGCCAATCATGCAATAAAAGTATACATCCAAACATAGAGGCACCACGGCTACCATTAAGCGGTCAGGTCCATCTGGGTGTTTGAATACCTTTTTTCTTTTATCGTCTGGTCCAACTCGGATACATTATTTCGTCAGAGCGTTTAGATTCAATCAAAATAGGTAATGACCGTGGAGGGCTGGAGCAACAACAGTGCTCTGTTACCCTCCAGTTAGGTTAGAGCTGATCATGTGGTACCACGTGACCTACCTAGGTATAGCCCCTCGTTTGTAGTCCAGGCGCTTTGCCTCGCAATCATCATCAGGTGCCCAGGACGGGTACCCAGGCAGGTCCACTCAGGTGCACCTGGTCGATTATGTAAGAGTATTTAAGTCCCCCAGGTAGTTAAGCCAAAGATCATAACAACAATCGAAACGTCTGATTTCGCTACAGCGGTATGTATATTAGGTCCTAGTCTCCACTAGGGGTCACCGTAGGTAGTTGTGGCCGCTACGTAATATGATTATCTTCTCAGTTATCAGTGCAACATTTTCAGTCATGTTCCCCTGTCAAGTCTATGACGACCGAGTCCCATTCTGGCTTCCAAAGTAGCGGGTATGGTTTGAAATTAAAAAGAGCAGGTATTGTTGTATATTTATACCTGCCATTTATTTCTGGCCATATGGTAGATCCAACTAATACTTGTGTCGAGTCTTAATAGAGAGCGGCCAAGAATACAGATCCACGGGTTCGTCCCATATACGCCGGCCGATGAAAATGGGCGCCCAAAGCCACAGAGTCTTGTGCAGCTAGCTCAGCCTATGGGTCTTATTATTGGAGTGATTATTGCAATCAGCTTTAGGGTATTTTATTTGTGTAGGTATGGAGAAATAGCTTTCTAAAATCCAGATCTTCTACCAGTTACTAAGAGATAATCAGATTATTGCTGCTTAAAGAACAGAATTTCGTAATCATACATTTCCCCAATAGCTATAAAATACCAGCGTTCAGCACTGCCAGGTTCATCATGAATAGACCCCTCGTGTTGCTATAGCTAGCCTAGGCTTAAATTTAGGTGATACGTGTTTGAAGAGCAATGGCATGAAACCCCATCTCCTTGGGGCCTTTTCTTTCAATATCTTCTATGATTTAAAGTGTTTCTGGGGAACACCATGTGGTAAAGAAGCTCGATATACATCTGAATAGCATATATCGACCTCTATACAGGATCAAGCTCAAACAAATTTCGCCTCGCTACAGATGAGCTCGAGAAAAAGTACGCTCTTTGTATCATGATTGCCGCGTATACTGCGTATTTCTTTTACATATACCACTAAATGCAGATAGGCCACGGAGGAAGTCAACCTAAGAACTTTGGTCCTACCTATATGGTTAATGCCAATCTAGACTTCTAGCAGTGGAATATATATTTGTTGGTGGCTGGCTACTCACATACTGTATTGCAATGCGTCCGCCCATATCCAAATCGTTCAAGCATGACATTCAGCCTGAATCAATTAATCACACAACCAACTCTACTTTCCGTAGTAGCTGATCTCGCAGCAAGTCTCTGCAAACCGCAGCGGAATAATAGGAATAGTTGGTGCATTATCGATACCATCATATCATGTCTGCTACAGCTGCCTGCAGCCAGGATTCCAATTGAGACGTATGAGTCCACAGGTCAATTAGGGACTGAGTCCCCATGCGAGCAAACGAAGCGAGCGTGATGTTGTTGATGGTTGGTGGTTGTACGGGGAGGAAATGATTGGTTGAAAGAGTGGCAATAGTGGGTCTGTTGCCTAAGGTTGCCTAAAGATGCCTGGACGCTAACTCTAAGTGGATATCAAGCATATGAACCTAAACATTGGCCTCTGTCTATTTAAACTTCATGGGGTCTCTCCTGATTTTGACATTTAACTGACATACCATCTCAACATCTTAACACTCTTATTACATTTACACAATCGATATCATGACTTCTTTGCCCACCCTCCCAGTCAAGCACAATGACTTTGTGAAGTATGTCAACTCCAACCCGGAGAAGCCCATGGCCGACTTGGTTCAGCCATATAACGAGTATGATGCTGTTTTGCGCAAAAGGTTTGCCCAAGAGCCATCTCATCCATCAATTCAAGATAACCACGTCAACATTGTGCCACTATACGACCAGACTGGTTCCACAGAAATTTCCATTCGAGCTAGAGACCTTGTCTTGGAAACACCAGAGCAAACGGAGAAGTATCTTTTGCCCCTGAGTGCAAAAGACAGGAAACCACATGGTTCCATGGCAGTTGTATCCTCTTTGAATGAGTTCCAGAACAACTTTGCGCTCTTCACGGAGGGCTCATTGAGTGACATTGACTGGTCCAACGTGGTCGCTGCTGGTAGCGCTGTTGTGACCTCACTTTTGCCTGTGCCAGAGAAATATCGCAACTCCAAGCGTGGCCTCCGCAAGTACTACCATGAAGAATTTGCTCCAGCGTCAGATGTGGATCTTTTCTTGTATGGTCTGAATGAGGAGCAGGCTCTCGAGAAGATTATGCACATCGAGGATAAGATCAAGAACACTATCCTCTATGAGACTTCGACTATCCGGACTAAGAATACAATTACCATTGTTTCTCAGTATCCGAACCGCCATGTGCAGATCGTGCTTCGCATCTACCGCTCAGTTGCTGAGATTCTTACCGGCTTTGACGTTGATGTTTCGTGCGCGGCTTATGATGGGCACCAAGTATATACCTCCCCACGTGCAATCGCTGCGTACATCACGCAAGTGAATCAGATTGATCTAACTAGACGATCACCGTCATATGAGAACCGTCTCTCCAAGTATTCACACAGAGGATTTGAGGTTTTCTGGCCTGCTCTTGACAGATCGAAGATTGACCCGGTGAGAATTGAATCCAATCCTTTTACAAGATAAATGAGATTTCAGCAAAACTGATTTTCGCGATAGACTATTTTCGAGAGAAGCTTTACCAGAACCGAAGGACTTGCAAGACTTCTAGTATTGGAAAAGCTTCCTCGGTCCCAAGACCGAGACAACTATCTTCAAAAGAGGCGCGAAGAACGAGGTCGTCCTCCTCTGAATTTGTACCTGCAACGTCGTCATGGCAAAATGCTGCATGGTAATCTCAAGGATGATTGGGAAGATGAGGTACCTGAATGGCAAGAGCAAGACCAAGTGTCTGATTACCATACTTTTGTTCGTACCTCTACTACAACCGACTTGCGGGCCTTTTACTCTTACTGACCCTATAATAGACCATTCCTTACGGTCGGAGGTTCAACGCCAGGAGTATTGAGAAGCTACTTTACACCAAAGACCTGTTACTGAATGCCCAATGGAATCAGCCTAAAGACCGTAAAGTTTATCTTCATCGTCATCCAGCATTCTTCGGTGAAGCAGAACATGTCATTGGTGACTGCTGTGGCTTCTGCCCCAAGCCTGTTACCGAAGAGGAAATCAAGGTCGCGGACGAGGAGGCCAAGATTTATATCTCTAATCAAATTACGTTCATCAAAGACGATCCCGGTCGCCAGGAAATTGGAAGTTTCAATCCAATCACTGAGACTGACTGGACCGGTGAGTGAATTGTCCGACAGATTCCGCATTATGAATCGTGCACTAATACGAACATTATAGAAATGGCTTACGTTGGTCGTACCGAGAGACTTTGCCAGGCAATTGTGGCAAACGATGTTGACGCCGTTAAAGCTTTCCTTGCAGACGAGGGTACCAACCCGGACCGTCGTGACTACACTGGACGGACACCACTCCAACTCGCGTGCATGTGCTCGACCCCTGAAGTCGTCCAATGCCTTGTTGACGGCGGTGCTCGCATGATTCCCCGCATGGCTGATGGAAAGACCGCGCTCCATCTCGCTGCCGCCCGGGGACACGTCGAGATCATTCGAATTTTACTCACAAAGAGCAATGAGAATGAAGAAGAAGAATCTAAGAAACAAGACGCTCTGAAAAATAACAACAAGTCAGAGGCCACACCTAGTAAAGAGGAGGATGAAGATATCGATATGGTTGACCAAGATGATGCCATGTCCAACACCTCTGCCTCTTACGTCAAGGTTGAAGGCGAGGAGAAGGAGGATTTGACCAAATACGATACTCTCGACGAGAACGACCTCGAGCCAGATGTCTATGACATCAATGTCGTTGCATGGGATAGCCGGACTGCTCCTTTGCATCTCGCCATTCTCCATGGCCACATCGAGGCCGTGAGAGAGCTTGTCACATCCTTTGGTGCCGATGTCTTGATGCCGATCAAAATCATGAACGATCACTCCAGAACACCCCAGGCTGCAATTCTCAATCTAGTACTCGTCCATGCTCTCCCATTCGAGAAAGCAAAGGAGATGTCGCAGACCCTTCTCGATCTCGGTGCCTCTCCAGCCCAAGCAGACCTCAGGCAGAAGACACCGCTATACTACCTTGCTCATTCTGACAAGCTTGATATTCTTGATATCTACATGCAGCATGATGAACCTGCAGTAAAGCGCGCAATCAATCACTTGGCAGCTCAGGGCTCGTTCTGGACACCGGAATTTTCTTCGGCATTGATGGCCGCTCTCACTGCGAGGAGCGCACCCGCGGCAGCCAAGCTGTTGGATACAGGTGCCCATCCCGAGATTGATCTCGGCGAGCTTGTGAAGGCTATTACGGCATCTAGAGGAGCCGCAACTTACTATGGTGACATTGAAGAAGATGCAAAGAGCAGTTTGAAGCAGCCAATCTTGCTGGCTGTTGAGAATGAGCTTCCTTTGGTCGCCATTGATCTGCTTCATCGGGGTGTGAACCCTAACTCTGAATTTAAGGAGAGATATCAACAAAAGGGTCAAACGGTATTGGACGTCATGCGCCAGACTTTGCAAACTCTCCGTGAATTTGTGGCCGAGCGCAAGGACCAATGCTATGATCATTCCATTGCAACTCCCCTCGATCCAAATGACGAGACGTATCTGTCAGAATTCCAATCTGGTAGTTACAAAATGTTCATTGCAAAGGATCTGCTCCGCAACGTGCGCAAGACAAACCGAGAGGCCGAAGAACAAGCCAAGAAGGCTGAAGCCCAACCGGCTGAGCCTCCTGGCTTGGTCGAGAAGAAGGTATTCATTGCGGAGTTGATTCGCGACTACGAAAAGCTGGAGTTCATCCTGCTGCAAAAAGATGCTAAGACCTGGGACGAGCTTCATCCTCCGCTGATCGCTCCCGTGACGTACCCAGTTCAGGTTTCGACTGAGCAGACAAAGCTCACTGCTACGCCTTGGAAGGTCAACTTCAACTTTAATGTACCAGCTATTACTGACAATGCTCGCGACGGATACCTTCAACTGTACGTATTTACTTTTTATCCCCCACAGCTCAAGGACATCCTGCTGACATTGACATAACAGTTTCGAAGCAGCTTGGAATGGCGACATTGATACCATCAAAACTTTGACACTGGGCATGTGGGGATCTCTCAATGAGCAAGCACCACTTGAGATCGCCGTAACCGACAAGCAAGGCCTGTCCGCCCTTACCATTTCCATCATGCGCGGCCATTTCGCTGTCGTCAAGGCTATTCTTCAAATTCTCCAAGTACAGTACAAGGCGAAGGAGCCTCGCGGTCGGAAGCGCTTTGAGATCGACATCGATGAATGCTCTGACGACTGTGGAGACTCTGATGAAGAGAACGAAGATCTTAACATTGTCAGTGACATTGTTGATGATACCTTCACCCACGAAAACATCGGTGAAGTTACCAGTCAGGTCGAGAGCAATATTACCCCTCTTGCTGCTTTCGAGGCGCGGTTAAATGCCTACATGTTTTTAGACGAATATCAGCAGGACGGTTGGAACAAGAGAGAGAACCCTGTCAATGTTTACGGCTTGTTGAAATACGCTGTTTACACAAACAACATCTCTCTTTTGGAGTTCCTTTTGAAGACCGGACTGGATCTTGCTTCCACTAACCCATCTGGAAAGAGCGAGTTCTCGGTGAAGTCTGATGAGTTCCAGCTTGCGATCTCGCTTGGACGTACTGATTGCCTTGCCAAAATGATTCAAAGTACTGGCGCTGGCCTTCCACTTACAAAATTGAGTGATGACTGTGGCGTTGAGGAGAAGAAAGAGCCTCAGTACTACCCTGGATTGTCGATTCGTGGCACCAAGCGTGCCGATTGGGCTAATGCTGGCCGAGAGCAACCGATGAGAGCTCAAACACAGCGTCCACCCCTTCTCATTGCGGCTCGTCGGGGTAATCTGGCCAGTACGGAGTTCTTCCTTGGTACAGCACCTGCTCGCTATTACCTGGAGTATCTCAATGCAAACAAGGATGATGAGAGAGTCAAACGACTGACCAAGTCCAAGCTGGGACTCGAGGGAACACTCTTAACCTGGTTACAAGCGAGAAGTAAGTGTTCTACCTATTCAGCAATTTTAACAAAGATAACTAACCATGTAAAAGACAACCTCGTTCTCCACTGCGCAATCATGTCTGAACCAAATGACGAATCCGTTCGTCTGGTACAGTATCTTGTGGATCATCACCCCGAATGCATGGAGGTGCGATCGACAGAAGGACTGACACCTCTCGCCTGGGCCATGTCCCTCCACAAGGTCCGCTTCGCCCGAATTTTGGTAGAAGCCGGAGCCAACCAGGCCGTCCGTGACAAAGAGGCACGCAATCTCCTCCACCTGATCCTCGTATCAGACGGTGGTCGGGTCTGTAAGAACTCCTACCGATTCACCAAACTCCTAGACCTGTTGGATAAACAACTCCTCCCAACAATGCTCATAGAGCGTGCCGGCGATGGCTCAAGAACACCCTTTGCACGCTGGCTTCACGCCCAACCCCACTTCACACCACGGGATCTGGCCATCCCTCGGCCTCCTAACAGTCCCCAGACTGACGATGAAATTATAATCTCCATGACGAATCTCATTCTGGACCTAGCCAATTCCACGGACCAAAAGCATCTTGAGGTTTTTGATGAAGCTGGAAACACACCAGTGCACGATGCTGTCAAGAACGGTTTCCCCCAGGTCCTTGGACTACTCCTCGATCGTCGTGCTGATATGCTCAACCGGGAGAATGCCACTGGTACCACTCCTCTTGAAATGGCAGTTGACGCTTGGGTTAACAAGAGTACTTCTGCGCCGCCTGACAGCCCTTCATGGACGTCGCATAACCACCCTGAGTGGCAGAAGGCCGTTCATCGTGCTCCCCACTTTTTCATCCCTGGTTGCAGGGTCAAGTATGATCAAGAGAAAGTTATGCTACGGGTTTGTCAGGAACGGGCTCAGCAACGACCGGCAAAGAGAAGGCTTGTCAGTCTGTTTGAGGCGAATGAGGTCGCTAAGAGATTGGCGGCGGCGGGACGGACTACTGGTCGGGGCCGGAATGTTGGCTCTGAAGATAATGATGAGTCTGCAGGTTCTAAAGACGATCCTGAAGGATGGGGAAGCATGAATTCTCATTGGTAGTTGCTTGTGTTAGGAACAATATATTTTAGCACCATGTTTATCTATACTCAAGTTATCTTATTTGAATACATCTCGGTCATATGTCTTGCTTTATTTCCATTATTTGAATTTATAAATTTCAATCAAATAATAAACGTTCGAATATACTTTTGTATCATAAACTGCACCATTTCAGCAGCTGTTCAGTCCTCAGTGCTGCTCTTCAGCCGGCAACTGAACCTTCACTGCACCCTCCGCCAGAGCTTTATTCTGACTATTCTTACTAGCGATATAGGAATTAATATACTCGGGCACTTCCGCAACCTTACTATCGCCGCTTGGAATCGGCGTTCCAAAGGTTTCCCAGACTGGAACAACACCAGTCCAGACACTGCTAGTGACCTGCTCATTGCCAGAGTCCTTACGCTCATCCGAAACACCCCCATCACGGATCTTGCCACTGCCATCCACAATCTTGACCTTTAGAATGACAGTCGACTGCATCTCAGCACGGTCTGGCGGCACACGTGAGTGATCCCAGCGGTCTGCTAGAACAGAGTTCGTGATCAATTTCATGGCCCAGAGCTTTTCTTCCTCGTCTGTGACGAGAGTCGCGTAGCCGTGGAGGATAGCGGAGCGGTAGTTGTAGCTATGGGAGTTTGGTGTGAGTGACAGGATCAGCCCGTCTATTTTGCTGGTTGCCACGCAGATGGGGAGTCCCTCGCCATCGCTGCAGCTGCGGGCCAGGTTCATAATCCGTGAGCTGACGTAGCCGTGGAGATAGCATTCTAGAGGCTCATCGATGCTTGCGGAGGGAAACTCGAATGATCCCATTTGTCCAATCATTGGAAGGATTGCGGGGAATGGGTCATCTGGTCCTGGGTTGAAGGATACATGGAGAACTTGGGAGTCATTGATGATTGAATGAATTGGACCCAGGTCATATGTGGCTAGAATATAGTGTTAGTAGTTGGCTTCGGTATTATTTTATAGTTATATCGTACCTCGATGCTTGTACCGATTGGCGGTATTGGAAACTTTCTTAGGGTAGGTCAAGGTTCGTCCCATGATGTATATAGTAGTCTGTAGAATGAGCCTTGAAGTTAAGAGAAGCAAGAAATAAGCAACGACGAAGCAAGTATTTAAGTAGATTGATGATGAGTCAAGATAGGTGATCTGTATGAGTTAGGGCAGCACGCCTTCAAACACCCATTTTAGCAGGTCCATCCGCGCAAGATTTCCCCACAAAGGTTAGACTGGAGCATGTGATGACAAGGTGTGCACAGATCCATCAAATCAAGGATTATTGAATACCACAGGGTATAGGAGTGGATGAGAGAAGGGGTCTCCGATGCCAAACGCACCCGAGGTGATTGGCCCACACCGCCGACTGGACCGTGAACCTGGCGATAACAACACCTTCAACAGTTCACTCTTATCAACTTATTTTTGGGACCTTTAAGCATGGCGGCATGCAGGTCTCTTGTTCGCCAATGTGCGAGCTTTATGCGCTCATCTAGGCCTTTGAGTCATCCATTGCGCCAATTGCCTAGATGCAACCCTCTACCTCGCAGTTATGCTACCTCGGTGGCTGCCGCGGAACTCAAATTCGGCCAGCCGCTGCATGAGACGCATCCCCACATCCTCAGCGCAGGTGAACGTGTGTTATTATCCGTATCCATGCTGTGTGTTATTTAGCTGATCGTTTTTTGTCTAGTGACGCCCGGAATCACCGCCCTTGAATATGCGCAACGTCGATCGAAGCTCGCCAACAAGCTACCCAAAGGCGCGATTGCGGTGCTGGCTGCCTCAGAGGTCAAGTACCGTGCGCAAGGTATCTTCAATGAGTACCGCCAGGATTCGAATTTCTTTTATCTGACGGGTATGTTTGATTGGCACGCCGTTGATGCTACGGAGGACACCCGCTAAACGTTTGCGCGCCGGATAGGATTCAACGAACCCAATGCACTGGCGATCATCGGGAACGACGGCTCTGGCGACAACCATATCTTCCATTTATATGTGCGGGAAAAGGACCCCAAGGCAGAACTCTGGGACGGAGCGCGCTCCGGGACCCAGGCCGCTGTGGACGTCTTTAATGCGGATGAGGTGCCGGATATCCGATCAATGCCCAGACGAATCATCAAGCTGACACCGAGAACAGACAGGAAACATTGAACGCATTGGAGATATTCTGCCAAGTATTGTCCAGGGAGCGACAGAGGTTTACTCGGACATCCCTACATCTGATGGCTCAAGATCATCTTTGAATCGGTATCTGTATGGGCCAACAGTCGCGTCGGAAAAGCTGAAGAAGGCCATCGACCACCGCAGGGTCAAGCCGTTGAAGCATTTGCTCAATGAAATGCGGGTGTTTAAGAGTGAGAATGAGGTTGTACAGATGCGCCGACTGGGACAAGCGTCAGGGAGAGCTTTCACCGAGGCTATGCGACAGGACTTCACGCGAGAGAAAGATCTCTATTCTTTCTTGGAGTACCAGTTCAAGGTGAATGGTTGTGATACCAACGCTTTTGTCCCGGTTGTCGCTGGTGGTCAGGTAAATTACTCGATCTTTTCAAGCTGGATTCGATGCTGACGGACCCAGAACGCCTTGGCTATTCATTACACTCGAAATGATGATGTATTGAAGTTCGTATGCCCTTTCTAAATTATTATGGGATTCTGCTTACATTTAATTCCAGGGATGGTGATTTGGTTCTCGTTGATGGCGGTGGTGTGAGTTCTTTATCTGAACTTAAACTTTTCAGTTCTAGGACACTGACCAAGCTACAGGAATGGGGAGGTTATATTTCCGACATTACTCGCACATGGCCTGTCAACGGCAAGTTCTCCGACCCCCAGCGGGATCTGTACAATGCTGTGCTCAAGGTGCACCGGAACTGTCTTGCTCTGTGCCGCGAGACCTCCAATCTTTCTTTAGACAAACTCCATGGCATCGCCGAGAATGGATTGAAAGATGAGCTCAAGTCGCTTGGCTTTGATCTTTCTGGCAATGTATGCGTCCAAACTCCTTCCACGTGGAGTATGCTGCTGACTCCGACTAGGCACTGAACGTTCTTTTCCCACACCACCTAGGCCACTACGTTGGCCTGGACGTCCATGACTGCCCTGGGTATTCCAGAGGCTATGACCTGAAAGCAGGTCAATGTATAACAATTGAACCGTTCGTCCCCAGCCTCTTTTCTTCCCAGACCTGAAACAAGCTAATCCATGCTAGGGGTATCTATGTTCCTAACGATGAACGATGGCCCGCTCACTTCCGTGGGATCGGAATTCGCATCGAAGATAGTGTTTGTGTCGGAGACGAACACCCTATTGTTTTAACCCCTGAGGCTGTCAAGGAGGTATGTTTTAAACTTTAATATGGCCTTCCTTCAATCGTTACTAACTTGTACTAGGTTGAGGACATCGAGGCACTGCGTAATTAGATGCGATGTATACAGTAGCAGTCGGATCCCTGAAGTTCCCATGTACAATAGCATAAGGCCTCAAAAGATCATATTTGAGCCCCTTTATTTTATTTTATTTTGTTTCCTATGAACTATAATCTACATGTCTGAATTTTCCTTGCCTAGATTACTTTGTGGTGGCTGGTCTAGGACTGTTTGGGGGCTGATCAGAAGGCTGGTCCGGGGTGGTTGGAGACTATTGGACATTTTTAGCGGTTGTATGTTAAGAAGAGAAAGATTGGACCAAATAGCCCCAGAGAATGAGATTGAGAATGAAGTAAAGAAGGAAAGAAGGTCGAAAAGAATCCTGGTCGCGGTCAAAGAATGCAATGTTGATGTTCATGCTTCGCGCGCTGCCGTTGGTTGTCAGGCCTCCGCCCAAAACAAACTGAGCTCCACACCACACGACTTGCTTTGCTCTTCTTTCTTTCCTCCTCCAGGTCTTCCACCTCGTCTTTCTCCTCCCAACTCTTGGCCACTTCGATCTATTCCTCTTTCCTTTGGTTACCTGCTATTGTCTCTTGGGATACAATGTCCATTCTCTGATCTCCTCTAACCCTCGAAAGACGTGTAGCACGCGTGCTCTTCACCGAGTACCCCTCTTTGATATTTGACTACTGTCACTCTCCAGCATCTCCACGCGTTCTCAACCCTGGGAACTTGTTTCCCAATGGCAACGGTCTTTGTGCCCCCATCGCCACGAAACTCTATGGCCATGGCGACTCGTCGTCCACTCGCAAACGTCCCGAATGCAACCAATTCTCCACACAGGGCAGGGCTCTTGCCAGTTAAACGAGCTCGCTCTAATCAAATGGAGATTCCGTACGGACAACCACCGCCGAAGAAACAAGTTATGGAGAGCATCGAATACGAAACACGCTCCACCACCTGCCAAAACACGAACACGGACTCGAAACTATTCGCGCGGCGATCGAACAACGGCAACCCTAGCGCATTTGAGAAGAAGCTCGTCGCAGCCAGGGAGAAGGAACGTCAACCGCTCGTGAAGCACGTCAAAGCCGAGAAGGCCCCGGCAGATACCATGGACTCTATTCGACAATGGCAACGGCATTATAGGAAGGCGTTCCCTCAATTTGTGTTTTATTTCGATAGCATCCCCGAGGATGTGAGACGGCGGTTCTCTCGCCAGGTTATTGCTCTTGGAGCTGTAAGTCATACTGCCCATAGAACATTCAACTGGTCTTGGTTGCACCTCTTGTCTCCTGTCTTCATTGAACACCATTCATTGGCATCTTCTCTAACCCACTTTAATGCAGCGTGAGGAGAAGTTTTTCTCGCGATTAGTGACCCACGTTGTCACTTCGCGTGCTATCCCCCCGGAGTCAGCTACTCCAGCAGAACCGGAGTCAACTGCAGACGCCAGCAATGGTGATAGCACCGTCCAAACTGTCAACCCTTCTCTCCTCGAGAGAAATGGCGAGTCTCACCTGCATGCTTCTTTGAAAACTGAGACACGTCGAGACCAAGGCACCATGGATATTCTGCAAAGGGCCAGACAGATGGGCATGAAAATATGGGCGTTGGAAAAACTTCAGCGTATGATCACTACCATTAATGACAGTGACATTGGTGCACAATATGAACAAGCTGCCCGAAACAAGGCTGCTGGTGGTCACGCCGTCAACGGTAGGGGGGAAAATGACCTTTCACGGGTCCTTCGCCAGGAACTTCTCAATGGACCATCTGATCGTGATCCATTGGCATCAATGGAAATGATAATGTTCAAAGGACCATTTGTCTACATCCATGACATGAACGAGAAGACCAAACCAGTCATGGTTCGGGAATACTCCCGAGTCGCTAGACGCCAGGATGGATCTTGGCCACAGTTCCGAAGTGCTCCCCTCGGAAAGTGTCCCTTCATAGATGAGCCCCCGAGCAGGAAGGAATATGACCGACACCGCCTGCGCCAACTACACAAAGAGAAGAAGCCTGCCTCTCACAGGGCCGATGGAACTCATGATGCTAAACCAAAAGCAGCTGTGCCCGTTCAAGCCCCCGAGTCTGTAACCACAACAGAGATCGCACACTCCCAGCCATTGGCGAAACAAGAGGAGCGTGTTTCACCTCCAATTCAAAACGAAATCCCAAAACCATCATTTGATGAAACCCACGAGCGAAAGAGTTCTGAAAGCTTCATTCCTCCCCACTTCCCTCGCACCGGGCCCTTCTATGCTGGTCGTGAGCCGGCTGCCTCAGGTGTTCAGCCATCAAACATGACATCCGCAATTCGCTCACAAATGATCTCATCTACTGCTGCAGCACCCGGCGCGAAAGCCGGACTCAGCAAGGAGGTTCATGGCCTCAAGCGCAAGGTTCTCGAGAGGGGCACAGGTGGATTTGCAGCGGGAGCCATGGCTGCTCCTCAGCGCCGTGGTGATGGGTTTACGACAGTTCCAATGAAGACCAACATCAACCCCCCTGGAAAGCCTAACATTATCAACGAGGATGAAGCAAAGCAGTCTGAGGTGGCTGGCTCAAAGAGACAAAGGGATGACAAAGATGAGCAGAAGAAACCCGAACGCCGGAGAGATCCAAAGCCTGGCTACTGCGAGAACTGCAGGGACAAGTTTGACGACTTTGAAGAGGTATGATTTAGGTTGCCTGTTGCTGAGATCCCTATAGATACTGACCGATCTCTTAGCACACTCTAACTCGGAAACATCGCCGGTTTGCCGCGAACTCGACGAACTGGGCTGAACTTGATGCATTGCTCTCCGAAATCCGGCGCCCCCTGAAGCCTGAATATGCATATGATCAAACGATTGATTCTGACATCATTCCATGATTTCCTTTGGACCTCGGGCCCCTCTTCTATCCGATACCTTTGCATACCGATGCAGGCCGACCTTTATTTTCAAGTTATCTTTCCCCTGCCAACTTTTTTTTCCGTCATGTCCGATTTGCACCTCAAAACCTTGCATAACCATACCCTCGACATCGACACATGCATGGTGGCGTTTTTTTTTATGTCTACTTTTTGATTTATCATGCATCAGCAGTACCAGTAACCTGTCCCTCGCCGACGGTCTGGTCTCCTTGCCTTGACCTCGATGGAGGTCGTCCACTCCTTTACAGCATTTTCACTTTCTTCGAATGTATTGAATATCCGATTTTAAACTAGCATCGCATCACCTTCGAAACCGTGAGCCGACCTCCATCAACCGCCGACGGCAATTTTGGATACTTGCATTCGTCATGTTTCTCCAAGGACAACTCATCGTCGATGCTGTCTGCCTCACATGCAATCAGCTTGTGCTTTACGGTCCTTAATTGTGGCCGGTTGCGATATACCGAAGGTATAATGAACGATTTAGCATGGACTAAAGGGTTCCTAACCTTGCATTGCACTCCGTTCTAACACATCATTATCCCCCTTTTTGGTCCTACGGGGCCATATTTTCTATCAACAGCTTTTCCTTGTGTCTTTTCACCAGTGGTGTCTTGTTTCCCGATGGCTGTGGCTTGTTGCCCAGCGCAGACGGCCGAGTCTCAACGGAGACTTTTCCTTTCTCGTGACATTACTTACCTGAACAAGCATTTATTCGACTCGATGATCTGTATGCAGTTTGTATCGTGCTAATTGAATTGTCTGCTATCAAATAAAATAAATTCCGAACTAAAGAAACATCAGTCCATAGATGTACAAAGCACAAGCCCCCCTCACTTAGCCCAATGCGGCAATCACCTCGGCGGGACGTAAGCTGTGGGCGGTGACATGAGTGCTAGGCGGTGAGGGTAAAGGAAAATACATCCTAGAGCTTCCAAAGCTGATGTCTACATAATAAATACTTTATTCGCAGTATTCTTTTGGTAAACGGACAATTATCATACTCTGTATATCTACTAGCACCAAGTCAGAGAGAATGCCGTTCCTGAATCCAAAGTGCTACACAACAGCCCCGCAAAACATCTCGGTACTCGGCCCCGTAATTAGCGGCAGTAAAGAAGATCTTCACCTTCAGGAATTTTTGATGCTCCCATCTACGCCGCATAACCCAGCACGTTAGTCCGGACAGAAGGATATTTGAACATATAAAGCGGAAACTCCGGACATATCCGTCTATATACGAACCCACAATCTGTTTATTTTTTTCGCTCGCGCACCTGAAAACCCTCGCTTCGCCGCTGAGGTCATCGCCTTCGCTTTGTTATCGCCACTTCTACAGCTCGGGATACAACTAGTGCCTATAGCATTGCATACTAAGAGATATTGAGATTCATACTCACTGGACATAGACACTCTCGGTATTTAGATATCGTGCGTCTCCAGGTGCATCGCCCCACAATCATACCACAATGGCCGCGCCGGGCTCTGCGCTGCGGCGCACAGCACTCGCTTCTTCGTCGCTGTTAAGGACGAGAGTCCTTCCTGTTACCCGAACACAAGCCACATACACACTTCTCGGTTCCCGCTGTCCTACCCTGTCCTCCCACGCACCGACCCCACATTTTCTCTCCCAAACTCGACATAGTTCCTACTCCGCGCCATCAACCGGTGGTAATGGAAAGGCGCGGAAGAAGGTTACTATCCAGACGCTCCAGAACATGCATAAGAAGGGGGAGCCAATCACTATGCTCACGGCGCATGACTTCCCCAGTGCTCATGTGGCCGATGTATCGGGGATGGATATGGTCTTGGTGGGGGATAGTTTAGGGATGGTAGCTCTTGGACTGGAAAACACAACGGAGGTCGTTATGGAAGAGATGATTCTTCATTGTCGGAGTGTAGCGCGGGCGGCAAAAGCCGCTTTCATTGTGAGTTGCCGGAATTTCTTGACTGGCAAGTGCCATAGTACCACCGACTAATACCCATATTCCAATTCTAGATCGGAGATCTGCCGATGGGGTCATATGAAGTGTGCGCAGAGCAAGCTATCGAGTCATCTCTGCGCCTGATCAAGGAAGGCCGCGTACACGGCGTCAAGATTGAAGGTGGTCAGGAACTCGCGCCCACAATTAAGCGCATCACACAAGCCGGTGTCCCGGTAGTAGGCCATGTCGGTCTCACGCCACAGCGTCAGAATGCCCTCGGCGGTTTCCGCGTGCAGGGAAAGACCGCCGTCAGTGCGATGAAGCTGCTGCACGATGCATTGGCTATGCAAGAAGCTGGCGCGTTCATGCTTGTGCTTGAGGCAATGCCGTCGGAGGTTGCATCGATCATCACGCAGAAGCTGCGGATCCCGACTATCGGTATTGGCGCTGGGAATGGCTGTTCCGGGCAGGTTCTTGTGCAGGTTGACATGACCGGGAATTTCCAGCCTGGTCGGTTCGTGCCGAAGTTTGTTAAGCAGTATGCGGATGTCTGGGATGAGGCTGCGCGTGGCATCTCACTGTACCGCGATGAGGTTAAGAGTCGGGCGTTCCCTTCGGAGGAATACACGTATCCAATTGCGAAGGATGAGCTCGCTGGGTTCCAGAAAACGGTGGATGAGGTCTTCCAGGAATCATGATGTGTCTGGTTGCCATATTCTTTTTCATGGCCATTTCTTGCATGTTCTGTATTAAGCATCATCATCATCATTTGTACATATCATCATTCAGCAGTTCGTGCTGATTGTTCATAGCTTTCTCAGCCGAATGCTGGCGTCATTGAATAAGCGACGATCAATTGATCGTCCGTTTTGAAACACTATTATGAAGTCAGCATTGAAATTGTCCAATATCCAGGTAGTATAATAGTCCAGTTGAAACTCACCCTCCATAGTCCGCCCATCCCTTCATCTAACCCGGGTGCAAACACACTATTGACATAACAAAAGACAGAATCGGTCTCTTTACAGTCAAGTTTCTTGCGCAGGAACTTGACAACCGTTTCGAATTTCTGCGAAGCGCTAACCTTGAATACCCGGTTTTTCAGAATCGGCGCTGATGGGAGAGGCTGAAAGCGAACCGTAACTTGGTCATTGTTAGTTAAATTACACCATTTGTTGAGATCGCGGGGGTCCAATCAACCCAAAGCTCGTTGGAAAAGGAGGAGTGTTACCTTTCCCCGAATCAATGCTCTCCACATCCGCAAGTGCCTGGTGCGCATCACGGGGTAGGTTGGTCAGCATGACCGATGCAGACATATTCATAGGTAGATCGGCGCCATGGTCGTCATCTGGGATCGGGGCGTTTGCGGAGTTGTTGGGTGGTGTGCCTGGTTTCTGGGGCTGGCGCGGGCTTGGCCGATGGCTGAGGGTGCTTGATTGTGGATGTTGAGTTGGGGAGCTCTGTGTAGAGCGTGTTGGAGAAGATGGATTCATGATGTATGATGTACAAAGAAAAGAAAGAGGAAAGTAGATGAGATGGGAGTCAAAGGTGTAAGTTGGGAGTTGAGAGGTGGGGGACCCTTAAACGCGCTTAAAGTTTGGCCCGAACCGCTACGCTTAAATGTCAACAATCCATGATGCTTCTATCTAGTACCTGGCTTTGTCGGTATACAGAAGTTGCTCTTGTACCTCTTTGTATAGGTTAGTTTCTTATTCTCATATATAGGACTACCTGTAAAATTGGGACTACTTTAGCATCAGATCTAATTAAGCTTCCAAGTATGATATGAAAACATTGAATCATCACCCAACCTTTTAAGTGTCGGAGGTGTAATCTGACATCACTATGGATGAATTTTACTTAAGAAAGCCTTTGCATGCTCAAGTTCCCTTGACACGTTGAAACACCAGAGATGCCATTCCCTCGCCGTCCTCCATCATCAAATCACGCAAAAGCCGGAAATGGGCAATTTTAGAGCAACGATCAAATCGGGCGGGTGCCTCAGGGGTGACAGAGACTCTATGGAAGTCCGTCTCGAAAACGCAGGGGAAATAAATGTTCTCCAAAGATACCGCTTGTTGGAACACTGGCACGAAGACGAGCATGAGCCTCCGAATATCTCACACAAGCTTCTGTTCGTAGAGGAAGACCTTCGAGAAGTTGTCCAAGAGGAGAAATCTATCAAAGAGGGACTCAACAGCCTATGCAAAGACTCTAAAGAGAGACTTGATGCTTTGAATGTCAAATACTGGATTCTAGCGCAAAAATGGTGGCATTGTCGGTCCTTACTACAAGATGGGGTTCAACTAAGAGCGTTTGAGCTATGGCGGTCCCATCCTAGATGGTATATGCACCGTGTGCTTGTTGAAGATTGCGCTGGCCGACAAGGATGTTGTGCTCGTGGATGTGGCTGTTGTTATACCCGCAAGGTTGATTCCACGCGTAAGCTTGGAGTTGGACATTGTACTTTTAGATGTGGATGTTGTCGGAGATCTCGAGGCTTTGATATTCCTGAAGATAATATGAAATTGCTAAAAGAGGAATGTCGTAAAGAGGTGGGCGATCTTATTAGGCACCGGATTACGCGAGTTTCAATATGGGGGCTTGTCGGTGATAGTTTTGACAACCCGTTTGATATGATCGATGCACCACCAAGCTATTCAGGCCCCGGTAATAAGGAGGAATAAGACTAGCTCATTAGCTTCAATACATATTGCTATCGTATTTCGAAATGATAATTGTACTAATTAAGCTCTGACATCGCTCGTACCGTTAGGTTTCCGGACAGCGAGGGAAGCTCCTTCGCGGATAGGAGCGAGATTTTGATCAAACCAATGATTGCAAAGTAGAGAAAATCAGAAAACAGACTAGTAGTAAAAACTTGATAAGAAACCAGGTTATAGACTCTTCCGGATAATATAAGTGAGTGTAAATAATGAGATAAGCCAGAAGACCGGAAAGGATAATTTGAAGGAGAAGTAAAAAAGTAAGACTAGGACGTAGTTTCTCGTTTACCATAGGGAAAACGTAGAGCTTCTAGTTATCTTATAGGTGAAATAACTTCCGGATTATTAAGGAAGAATAGGAAGAAGAGCAAAAGCTTAGGGGGCTGAGGTTTAGCCTTACAATCCCCCAACCCTAACTCCCAACCTGGCCCCCTGATAGGGTTTTAGGGACTAGCGTCTTCAATTGAGCCAACAGGGTAGTCCTCTCAATGTTACATCCATTTCGGGGCTCGGTGGTAGTTTTGATAGACCTTTTGATGTGATTGAGGCATCACCAAACTATTAATTGACGTGAAAGATAAGGCTCCGGTAACAAAGAGGGACTGCATATATAAGTGTACACTTCTTTGTAGCTTATTTTGTAATTTGGAATGATGAATATACTTAAATAAACTCTGACATCACATTGTAGGCTCGTACCTTCCGTACTCTTCCCATTGTAGTCTACCAAATAGTTTCGTAGGACACACAAGAACTTCCCCTTTACCACTCATCCTGGAATCATCCGTCTATCAACAAAAGGTCTGATAGCCTTATCCTTTGGGTCTATTCTTAAGTTTTGGCGCTGTGCGGTATGTTTGACCTCTTTTTCAGCACCTTTTCCATCCTCTTTTTATGTGTCCTTTTTGGTGTCTTTTTCGGCCTCTTTCTAACGTTTTTCTTTGGCAGCAACGCACATGTGTCATAGGGAGAAAAGCGATTCCAGCGTCGCGGATCTCATGCACCTGGCCGAAGAAAAAGGCGGCACTGTGATGAACAGTGTCGCGACCAACCTAATATGGATGCCGCTTTTTGGCCCTAAAAGGAATCACATCTTCTGACTGTTGCAGCTGTTGCAATCAGTACGTTCCTTGATCATCGTATTCATGCAGGAACAACATGCTGATCTACAATGTAGCTGGTTCCTGGCTCCTGCTCTCGTCTGGCTCGAGTTTGAGGTCAGATATGCTTCTGCACCCCGGCTGTGTTCTGTTCCGATGGTGAACTGCGGCAAGTTGTGCGCGACAATGGAACTGACGCCATCACAACATCTTATATCTCTGTTATTGGTCTTAAGATGAGCATAACTCACATAGCTACCTCAATGGAGATATTTTCAAGGAATTCTGTTAGTGGCTTGTATAATTAATCAGGTGAACTATGTGCAACTTGATCTTCAAATTCCTGAATAGACAAAGTAGTGAGTGGCGCTAGGGATGGATACTCATTGAGAAAAGGATATTTCACATTATGTTGAGAATCTGAATGAGAAAGGCGTGTAGGGAAACTATCAAATCAAGTAGAGTGCTATATACGTTGATAGTGCTGCACGATGTACTTACTAAAATGGCAAGTGTGCACGGTGCCGACAATCTGATATCTTCAGATAGACATATACTTCTCCGATCACGATTGCTAAAAGGAGTATTTAAGCAAACCGAGGACTCTATCTTCATTTCCCCTTCAATCCAACTACTCTCTTCATCTCTTTGTCACATACCACACCATGGCACCTGTCTATCACGGCCAGTGGTCTTTCGACAGGGACACATTCTACGTCACTTCCTCTTGCGGCCATATCCACCCGCGCGCGACATACTCGGAGCTAGATGATATTTTCAGTGCACCATTGGGCGACACACGGAACAGAGCCGACCATGAAGACCACTGGTACGAAGCCCAACTTCTCCATTTTGGACTACCGCCGACAAAAAGCAAAGCGACAGCCAAGATGAGATTGATGGATGCCTTCCAGGACGAGACATTAGATATTCCGCCGGAGATCCTCCAAATAGAAGCAATCCTGGCAAGGAGCTGGATCAAACAAGACCTGGAGGCCCGTATCTTGGGTCCTTCAATGCAACCTCCAATCAATCCTGCCATCGCGAGGGCTATGGCGACCAACACCACTGGATTTGGCACTACCCAAGGGCCGGCGGGTCATGAAGAAGGAAAAGTGTTCGGTGCAGGTGTCGCCGGTGGAACCGGTATGCAAGGCAATGTGCGATCCCAGCAAAACAAGATGCAACAACCCTACGCTCACACAAAGAAAAGGAAACACAGCAATGGGGATCCATCCACCCGCCCGATGAAGACTGCCAGATGTCGGGGTGAAACTGGTGGAGCCGACTTGCAAGTACAGATCCAAGTTAACCCGAACGGTGAGGACTTCTATCAGAGATCAACAGATATTGCAAACTCAGTGGGAAGCGGACGCGGACACCCGGCTCTGGACAGAGAATTGCAGCAAATTGCATATCAAACCATGCCTCTATCACAACAAACTACCTCTGAAATGGTGAGCAAGAATTTCCCTACGCAAGAAATGCAGTATCACCATCTCTAACCATACTACGCTAACCATACTACGCAGGGAACGCAAATCCCTCCACCCGGGCTAATGGACACCGACGGTGCAAATGACTATTGTGGATACGGGTACAAGCCAGCGATGCTTAAGGTTGGATGGAGCTTCAGCGACAGAGATGCAGTGGCCAAGGTATGAGTGGAGCGCTTTGATTGATGGAAACAAAATCAAAATGAGTTGGAGACGTGCGAATGTACGTGGGAAAGCGTTACTCCGGGGAAATGAGGTGTCATGAGATGTTGGGAGCCCAAATTGATCGAAGATTGTTTATGGCCACTATGTAGTAAACAGAAAATACAAAAGGGTTCTTTTTACTTAAATTGATACAATGCGACGCACTTGTTCTGTAGATAGAGTCTGAATCCAGTATAGCAAATTCGATGGCTTGCTAATCTATTCTTGATATATCAATCAGTCTATAAATATGACGCTTCAATTCAAAAATGGCTGTTATCATCCATAGTTTCATCCATAGTTTCATCCATAGTTTGATCCATAGTTTTCAAGAAGCTGCGCCTCTGCACATCAACAATCGAAAATTCAAAGGGCGCATCAACAAGCCCCGTTGACTTTTCCCATTGCGGATCCAGATACCACGGCTTGATCAACAAAACCTCGAAGACGGTGGGTTGTTGAATCTGATGCAGCGGCATAAGCCAATAATCCAGACGGTTTGTGACATGAGGATACAAATGGATGGTCAATGTCTTTAGGCCAAGCAGCTTAGTAGCGAGAACCTGACAACATCTATTCCAACTTGGGCCACCAGGATCGGGAAAACCGAGCTGCAAAGTGCGAATCAGATTCATTCGCTGTGGTAGAAGTGTATTCGAAAAATCGATGATTGTATCTGTATGGTTAAAGAGAAAAGTGTTCTTTTGAAAGATCATATCAATGGCCTCGAAGTAGCTGCCAGGCTATTAGTTGGCTGATTCTGAACATAAATAGAAATACTCACACTCTTCGGCACGTTTGTAAAAGCGGCACAAAATCAGTTCTTCTCGGATCAAGTCTCCACTCGGAGTTCTCGTGGTAATAGGACCCGTAGTTCTTGGGTGTAATGCAGTTGCCTGCAGGCCGACGAGCAATAAGTCCCCAACAATGATGACTGCATGGACAGATATTGCGAGGTTCGCTGCATAGAACCCCGACAATTTTTTTGTGGGATCCTCTCCATTTTCGCTGGTTCGGTCGAATAATATGCAGCATGCGGCTACAGAGATAATGTTCCCAGATGAGAAGTCGGACTTCGGTAGGTAGACATTCGAATAGTGGAGACTGGGTTTGTTGGAAGGTAGATTGTTGCTCAGGTCGTTTTGAAAGTGATAATCGCCATCTACAAGCAGTTGACAGGACTTGAGGTTTGGAATCTTTATCCTCCGGAAGTGGTGGAGTAAGTGGCCTGGGGTGGGGGTTTGGAGATGAATTGAGATCTTCCAAGTAGTCATTTTGAACTGGATTTTTCTTCACGGGTGCAAGTTTCTTCCCATCTGACTCGTCACCCGGGTTTAGAGGTGTCATATTTGAGACTGATGGAAACGGAAGCTTAAGGCTGGCAGGATAGCGTTGTGTTGGGTGAGATATCAGCTAAACGCGCTAACGTTACAAAGGCGCGTTTGGCAAGTACCTAAGCTTGCACCACCAAAACTACAGCTTTGAACTTGAAGGCCAAGGGCCAAATAATTCGAACAAAGCCAACTGGATATGAAATAAAGATAAAACAAAACAAATCAGCCTCTATGGCCTAAAGTGAAAACATATAGTAGCCCTGGAGCCAGTAGAAGCTTACGTACAGATAACCAACCTTTGTTCGCTTTCCAAGATATCTATATTTTGCTGCACTGACGTCCTACTTACTCGGAAAAGTTGGTCAACTCTATCTCCTCTATTTCTCCTTTACCTTACCATTAGGCCAGCCGCCCTATTCCATATCTCTCAGGTATAAATCTGCCTCGGAGACGTAACAGGCAATACGTGCACAGGATGATGTTTCCCAGCTTCAATCAAACTCTGAACTTCACGGCCCAGGTATATAAAACCTCAATATCATGAATGGTGAACTTGTCGCTAATCTCGAAACTACGACAGGCGGGCACCTGGGCCCTCAAGAACCCCACCTTGGCTGCCTGTGCAGTAGCTGGTGCTGGAGGCGTTGCTGTTGCTGCCGCCCCAGTGCTGGTAACAGGCCCGATTCCAGCTGGCGTTGGCTTCAATGCTGGTGGTGTTGCCGCAGGTATTCAAAACCTCCAGGCAAGAATATTCATTTCATATAAACACTCATCTAGAATTACGTGTTGCTAACCACATGCCGAGGATAGGTTCATCCGCTGCTGTGATTCAAAGTTCTATCAGAAATGTTGCAGCGGGCAGCTTGTTTGCTCTAGGTCAAAGTGCGGGAGCAGGAGGTATGGGTTTAGCGGCTGCCAACATTGCCGCGCAGGCAGGCGGCGTGCTCACAGGTATGGGAAGTGCTGGTTTTGCTTGGCTTAAGACTAATAACTGTACTGAGTGAACTATCGTTTTTATTGGTTGCTATATGCCGTGTACCAAGTTGTTTGTCCACCGGTCTCTTGCTGTGCCTGTTGATCATATATGGGCTTTAATATCTCTAGAGGCTCCTAATTTGAAATATCCTACGTGGTTTTGCTCGGTGAAGCTTCTACACTTTAACAGTTGAGATTAGCAATGGGTTGCTTGTTTCACTTTGTTTTCCCTGTAGCTTCTTTAGCTTTCCCTAATGTGTCTAAGCCCATTTTTAGTAGTGTATTTTATGTTAGATTGGTAGGACCGCTTAGAATAATAGATTTGAACTACAGATTACCATGACATAACAGAAGATATCCCCTGCTAACTTGGTATATTCTTTTTGCGAGAAGAAAAGAACAAAAGAACAAATATCGCACAAGTCAACAGAATATAAAGTGACAGATGCTTGGGCATTGTTTATGACGCCTTATAGATCAGGCGTTGATGGGGTATGAATTCCCCGCATCTCCACTTCAGCTTCGCCCTTCGATAAGCTCAGCTCTTCCATTTTCAAACCCCCTGTGGCACAAAGGCCATGGCTTCGTCCGCAAAGCGCATTGTGCCCGCAGCTGACCTCCAGTCATTTTCTGAATATTTAGGAGGCTGCAAACGCATCGTTGCTCTTCTTGGAGCTGGAATCTCAGCATCATCAGGCTTGCCCACCTTCCGTGGCGCAGGCGGACTCTGGCGTTCCCACGATGCAACCTCCCTCGCGACCCCAGAAGCTTTTGATGAGACTCCTGATCTTGTCTGGCAGTTCTATAGCTATCGGCGACACATGGCCTTGCAGGCTGACCCAAATAAAGCACACTACGCCTTAGCGGAGCTATCGCGAAGGAATGAAGACTTCATCACATTGAGCCAAAATGTTGACGGTATGAATACCCAAAAAATCCCGTTGCTTGCTTGACTAATGGATCTTTCGCGTTTCTTCCAGGTCTCTCCCAGCGAGCGAACCATCCTTCGAAGCAGCTGCATCTCCTTCACGGCACTCTGTTCAATGTCAAATGCACCAATTTTTATTGCAACTACAGTGAAGAAAACTATACAGACCCCATCGTTCCCGCGCTCGAAATTCCAAAACAGAGTTCAGGCCTCAATCCCTCTGCGACCGACAAAACCGGGGAGGAAGCCTCAAAAGCGATCGTAGAAGCGCTGGGTAGCACAAGCAACGAGGTCGATATCTCCGATGCCAGCAATCCTCTCGCGACAGTGAACAAAAAGGAACTACCTCAATGCCCGAGATGCAAGGATGGCTTGCTCCGACCGGGAGTTGTGTGGTTTGGAGAACCCCTACCGGAGAAGACGCTCAATGCTGTCGATAAATGGATCGCGGCGGGTCCAATTGACCTGTGTTTAGTTATTGGCACCAGTGCGAGGATCTGGCCAGCTGCGGGGTATGTGCACGAGGCTCGGTCGCAGGGCGCCCGAGTTGCAGTGTGCAATATGGACCCCAAGGATACACCGGGTGAGCTTCATGACGGGGACTGGTTCTTCCAAGGAGATGCGGGTGTTATTGTCCCTGAGATACTCAAGAGCGTTATTGGCGAGATCTGAAATTTTAAGGGGCTATTGATAATTGAGAGGAGAACGGCGAAGTTTTATATTTGCCTTTGCATAAACTGGCGATGATGGGACACATAAGGATAAGGTTCGGATTTTATAGAATTTGCTATTTCAAGGATCTACAAAGCACGGAGTTGTTCCATTTCATCAATATTATGATAGGCCAATCGCAGAGACTCCGACCAATGCCGTATACAAATGCCGATCATGCCTCGGGTACTCCAATTCAAAAACCCCATAAAATAGCGGAATTATGAGGTGATCTACACTTATATTTGATTGGCCTGACCTCGGGATTCCACTTGTGTTACCTTGCGGGGGTCGGGATTCGGGGTTCGTATATAGAGCTGCATAGCCATAGCCCTAAACATTTAAGGGGTTGACATTTTAACTCTCCCCTTAACCATAACTCAATTTCAATATCTGTACACACACAATGAAGTCAACAAATACAGTCCCTCAGAAACGAAAGAAGCTAGACAGCGACGATGAGGACGAGATTGTCAAAGATGGCAGCCTCACATCGGCCGCTGACAATTTCTTCGAGGCGCTGTGTATGTGATCAAAGCTCCACGTAGTCCATTAGACAGGCTAACGCTAACCTTTCTCCCAGCTGAGGCTGGAATCACCCACTGCTTCGTCAACCTGTGAGTCTCCGTAATAAGGTTACACTAATTGATGTGTTTTGACTGGTCTAATAGGGGGAGCGACCATCCTGCGATGTTGGAAGCGATGATCAAGGCTAAGCAAGGTGCGTATCGGAGATGTTATCTAATGACGACTAACAAGGCTGAACTATAATAGAAAACAAAACCAATTTCCCAAACATCATTACCTGTCCTTCTGAGCTAGTTGGGCTATCAGCTGCATTGGGATATGCTCAAGCTACAGGAGTTCCGGTGGGTGACTATGTCCATCATATCAATTGATTCTCGCTAACTTCTCGCAAGCAATGTGTAATTGTGCATGTCGACTGCGGAACTCTCGCTATGGGACAGTCCATACATAACGCCTCTGTTAGCAGAGTTCCTGTCCTGTGCTTTGCCGGCCTGAGTCCTTTTACCCAGAATGGCGAATTGTTGGGTTCCAGAACAGAGTGAGCAAGCCCAAGAGAGACTAGTTACATTGAGCCGACTGACACTACCCCAGGTTCATCCATTGGCTGCAAGATGTACCTGATCAAGCAGCAATTGTTCGACAATACTGCAGATACACGGGTGAAATAAAAACCGGACGCAATATCAAGCAGATGGTCTCCCGAGCTTTACAGTTTGCTACATCGGACCCCAAAGGTCCGGCATATCTAATGGCTGCGAGAGAGGTACTCGAGGAAGTATGTATTGGCAGTCGTCGAAATACTCTGGAATTACCACTGACCAAACCTACTATGCAGCGTGTGGGAAAAGAAGATGTAGATGGAGATATTCTCAGTTCAATCGCTCCAAGTGCATTGCCAGAGCAAGGTACGGTAGTACTTATCCGAGCTATATCTTCACATCGCTAACAGAAATAGAGGTGGAATTAATTGCCAAGTCGCTCATGGGCGCAAAGCGACCGCTTGTCATCACAAGTTATCTTGGTCGGAATCTCAAAGCACCAGTACTTTTAGCTGAGCTTTGTGACAAACTTCCAATCACCGTCGTGGAGATGGTCGGCTCTGACGTTTCTCTGCGAAGTGACCATGAAGCGTATCGCGGCGTTACCGTTACTACTCACCCGGAAGTTCTCGAAGCAGATGTTATTCTTATTCTTGATTGTGATGTGCCTTGGATTCCTACTGCTGGGAAGCCACAGAAAGGTAAGAGTACCCAGAAAGAAATGTTTCAATGCTGTTCTGACGGGCGCTGCAGGCACGAAGGTATTCCATCTAGATGTCGATCCGTTGAAGCAACAGATGCCACGTAAGTTCACGTATCAGCTGCAGGGCTGACCTTTTTCTTTTACGGCTAATAACTGTGCATTAGTATACTCAATCAATGCTACTCGTAAGCTCAAGGTTGGCTGTGGAATTGCTCTTGAGCAAATCAACGCTTTCATAGATAAACAGAACATTGATCGGGCCGAGTACACCCTGGGATTTGAGGAGCGGTCAAAGAATTACAAAACCTGGAGGGCAACCTTACAAACACTTGAATCTCCATCGGATGATGGTGTAGTCAGTGTGCCATACCTGGCGTCAAGACTACGAGATTCTCTCCCCCAAGACACTATTTACGTTTTGGAGGCTGTAACCAATGCAGGACATCTCATCCACCACCTTAACTTGACCAAGGTAATTATTCATTCGTTCCAAGCTGTCAACACGATACTGATAAAATTCCAGCCAGGGAGTCTGATTGCCAGCGGCGCAGGCGGCCTAGGATGGGGAGGCGGTGCAGCACTGGGCGTCAAGCTAGGCAAGCCCGGTTCATTCATATGTGCAATGTAAG